CTTCAGCACAGCAACTCGAGGAATGCTCTGTGTACCCCAAATCGTCTCGAGATGAGAGCTGATTCCGTGGCTTAGGCTCAAGACGTATGCCAACTTTCCAGTAGCACCTCAGGAGGAGGCTTCTCTCAGCAATAGGTATGTGGGAGGGACCCCGAGTTTGCTGCCTCAAGGGGAATATACAGCGAGAAGCCCTAACTTGAAAGGAGGCTGGATTTCCTTGCAGTGGCTTGAATACAGGCTCGTCTTTCATCTCACAACATGAAGGGATGTCTGAATTCCCTGTGGAGACCTTAGAGACAGCCCTAGGTCCCTGCCTCATTTTGACGGAATGCCTCACATCCCGCTGACACCTCGAGAGGCACGCGGAGTTCATTGCTTCAAAAGGTGACGATGCCTGACTCCTCTTGAATACTGATAGGAATCCCAAAATCCCTGTGGCTACTGGAAAGGGTCCTTGGGTGCCCTGCCTCACCTCGAGAAGCGTCCCTTTTGCCCTGACAAGCCTCGAAGAGATTCCTGAGGTGTCCCTCTTTACTAGACAGGAGTCCTGACGTCACTGAAGAGACTCGTGTTTTGAAGGGCCATCCCCGCCGTAAGTCGAGAACATGCCCCAAGTCCCTGCCGCAACTCGAGAAAAACCATGAGACTTCCCGATAGAAGCGAGATGGGGCCCCATTCCCCTGCAGTGCATGCAGAGCTATTCTGTGATCCCGTTCAAACAAGTCAGGAGCTTCGACTTGCTTAATGGATCTCTAGACAGTCCCCAGGAACACTGTCACCAGTCTAGACGGACCCTGAGGTCACACCAGCAACGGAAAGCAGCTCCATGTGCCCCAAATCAACTCGAGATGAGGCCCGATTCCCCTGCATTGACTCCAGAGCCATTCCCCGTTCCCCATTCAACACGACCGGTGGCTCGACTTCCTTCAGGCAACTCAAGAGATGCCCCGAGAACACTGTCCCAAGTCTAGAGGAACACCAACTTCAGTACAGCAACTCGAAGAATGCTCCGTGTACCCCAAATCGTCTCGAGATGAGAGCTGATTCCCTGGCTTAGGCTCAAGACGTATGCCAACTTTCCAGAAGCACCTCAGGAGGAGGCTTCTCTCAGCAATAGGTATGTGGGAGGGACCCCGAGTTTACTGCCTCAAGGGGCATATACAGCGAGAAGCCCTAACTTGAAAGGAGGCCAGTGGCTTGAATACAGGCTCGTCTTTCATCTCACAACATGAAGGGATGTCTGAATCCCCTGTGGAGACCTTAGAGAAAGCCCTATGTCCCTGCCTCATTTTGACGGAATGCCTCACATCCCGCTGACAGCTCGAGAGGCACGCGGATTTCATTGCTTCAAAAGGTGACGATGCCTGACTCCTCTTGAATACTGATAGGAATCCCAAAATCCCTGTGGCTACTGGAAAGGGTCCTTGGGTGCCCTGCCTCACCTCGAGAAGCGTCCCTTTTGCCCTGCCAAGCCTCGAAGAGATTCCTGAAGTGTCCCTCGTTACTAGACAGGAGTCCTGACGTCACTGAAGAGACTCGTGTTTTGAAGGGCCATCCCCGCCGTAAGTCGAGAACATGCCCCAAGTCCCCGCCGCAACTCGAGAAAAACCATGAGACTTCCCCATAGAAGCGAGATGGGGCCCCATTCCCCTGCAGTGCATGCAGAGCTATTCTGTGATCCCGTTCAAACAAGTCAGGAGTTTCGGCTTACTTAATGGTTCTCGAGACAGTCCCCAAGAACACTGTCACCAGTCTAGACGGACCCTGAGGTCACCCCAGCAACGCAAAGCAGCTCCATGTGCCCCAAATCAACTCGAGATGAGGCCCGATTCCCCTGCATTGACTCCAGAGCCATTCCCCGTTCCCCATTCAACACGACCGGTGGCTCGACTTCCTTCAGGCAACTCCAGAGATGCCCCGAGAACACTGTCCCAAGTCTAGAGGAACACCAACTTCAGCACAGCAACTCGAGGAATGCTCCGTGTACCCCAAATCGTCTCGAGATGAGAGCTGATCCCCTGGCTTAGGCTCAAGACGTATGCCAACTTTCCAAAAGCACCTCAGGAGGAGGGTTCTCTCAGCAATATGTATGTGGGAGGGACCCCGAGTTTGCTGCCTCAAGGGGAATATACAGCGAGAAGCCCTAACTTGAAAGGAGGCCGGATTTCCTTGCAGTGGCTTGAATACAGGCCCGTCTTTCATCTCACAACATGAAGGGATGTCTGAATCCCCTGTAGAGACCTTAGAGAAAGCCCTAGGTCCCTCCCTCATTTTGACGGAATGCCTCACATCCCGCTGACACCTCGAGAGGCACGCGGAGTTCAATGCTTCAAAAGGTGACGATGCCTGACTCCTCTTGAATACTGATAGGAATCCCAAAATCCCTGTGGCTACTGGAAAGGGTCCTTGGGTGCCCTGCCTCACCTCGAGAAGCGTCCCTTTTGCCCTGCCAAGCCTCGAAGAGATTCCTGAGGTGTTCCTCTTTACTAGACAGGAGTCCTGACCTCACTGAAGAAACTCGTGTTTTGAAGGGCCATCCCCGCCGTATTTCGAAAACATACCCCAGGTCCCCGCCGCAACTCGAGTAAAACCATGAGACTTCCCCATAGAAGCGAGATGGGGCCCCATTCCCCTGCAGTGCATGCAGAGCTATTCTGTGATCCCGTTCAAACAAGTCAGGAGTTTCGGCTTACTTAATGGTTCTCGAGACAGTCCCCAAGAACACTGTCACTAGTCTAGACGGACCCTGAGGTCACCCCAGCAACGCAAAGCAGCTCCATGTGCCCCAAATCAACTCGAGATGAGGCCCGTTTCCCCTGCATTGACTCCAGAGCCATTCCCCGTTCCCCATTCAACACGACCGGTGGCTCGACTTCCTTCAGGCAACTCAAGAGATGCCCCGAGAACACTGTCCCAAGTCTAGAGGAACACCAACTTCAGCACAGGAACTCGAGGAATGCTCCGTGTACCCCAAATCGTCTCGGGATGAGAGCTGATTCCCTGGCTTAGGCTCAAGACGTATGCCAACTTTCCAGAAGCACCTCAGGAGGAGGCTTCTCTCAGCAATATATATGTGGGAGGGACCCCGAGTTTGCTGCCTGAAGGGGAATATACAGCGAGAAGCCCTAACTTGAAAGAAGGCCGGATTTCCTTGCAGTGGCTTGAATACAGGTCCGTCTTTCATCTCACAACATGAAGGGATGTCTGAATCCCCTGTGGAGACCTTAGAGAAAGCCCTAGTTCCCTGCTTCATTTTGACGGAATGCCTCACATCCCGCTGACACCTCGAGAGGCAGGCGGAGTTCATTGCTTCAAAAGGTGACAATGCCTGACTCCTCTTGAATACTGATAGGAATCCCAAAATCCCTGTGGCTACTGGAAAGGGTCCTTGGGTGCCCTGCCTCACCTCGAGAAGCGTCACTTTTGCCCTGCCAAGCCTCGAAGAGATTCCTGAGGTGTTCCTCTTTACTAGACAGGAGTCCTGACCTCACTGAAGAAACTCGTGTTTTGAAGGGCCATCCCCGCCGTATTTCGAAAACATACCCCAGGTCCCCGCCGCAACTCGAGAAAAACCATGAGACTTCCCCATAGAAGCGAGATGGGGCCCCATTCCCCTGCAGTGCATGCAGAGCTATTCTGTGATCCCGTTCAAACAAGTCAGGAGTTTCGGCTTACTTAATGGTTCTCGAGACAGTCCCCAAGAACACTGTCACCAGTCTAGACGGACCCTGAGGTCACCCCAGCAACGCAAAGCAGCTCCATGTGCCCCAAATCAACTCGAGATGAGGCCCGATTCCCCTGCATTGACTCCAGAGCCATTCCCCGTTCCCCATTCAACACGACCGGTGACTCGACTTCCTTCAGGCAACTCAAGAGATGCCCCGAGAACACTGTCTCAAGTCTAGAGGAACACCAACTTCAGCACAGGAACTCGAGGAATGCTCCGTGTACCACAAATCGTCTCGGGATGAGAGCTGATTCCCTGGCTTAGGCTCAAGACGTATGCCAACTTTCCAGAAGCACCTCAGGAGGAGGCTTCTCTCAGCAATATATATGTGGGAGGGACCCCGAGTTTGCTGCCTGAAGGGGAATATACAGCGAGAAGCCCTAACTTGAAAGAAGGCCGGATTTCCTTGCAGTGGCTTGAATACAGGTCCGTCTTTCATCTCACAACATGAAGGGATGTCTGAATCCCCTGTGGAGACCTTACAGAAAGCCCTAGGTCCCTGCTTCATTTTGACGGAATGCCTCACATCCCGCTGACACCTCGAGAGGCAGGCGGAGTTCATTGCTTCAAAAGGTGACGATGCCTGACTCCTCTTGAATACTGATAGGAATCCCAAAATCACTGTGGCTACTGGAAAGGGTCCTTGGGTGCCCTGCCTCACCTCGAGAAGCGTCACTTTTGCCCTGCCAAGCCTCGAAGAGATTCCTGAAGTGTTCCTCTTTACTAGACAGGAGTCCTGACCTCACTGAAGAAACTCGTGTTTTGAAGGGCCATCCCCGCCGTATTTCGAAAACATACCCCAGGTACCCGCCGCAACTCGAGAAAAACCATGAGACTTCCCCATAGAAGCAAGTAGAGGCGCCATTCCCCTGCAGTGCATGGAGAGCTATTCCGTGCTCCCTTTCAAACAAGTCAGGAGCTTCGACTTGCTTAATGGATCTCGAGACAGTCCCCAAGAACACTGTCACCAGTCTAGACGGACCCTGAGGTCACCCCAGCAACGCAAAGCAGCTCCATGTGCCCCAAATCAACTCGAGATGAGGCCCGATTCCCCTGCATTGACTCCAGAGCCATTCCCCGTTCCCCATTCAACACGACCGGTGGCTCGACTTCCTTCAGGCAACTCAAGAGATGCCCCGAGAACACTGTCCCAAGTCTAGAGGAACACCAACTTCAGCAGAGCAACTCGAGGAATGCTCCGTGTACCCCAAATCGTCTCGAGATGAGAGCTGATTCCCTGGCTTAGGCTCAAGACGTATGCCAACTTTCCAAAAGCACCTCAGGAGGAGGGTTCTCTCAGCAATATGTATGTGGGAGGGACCCCGAGTTTGCTGCCTCAAGGGGAATATACAGCGAGAATTCCTAACTAGAAAGGAGGCCGGATTTCCTTGCAGTGGCTTGAATACAGGCCCGTCTTTCATCTCACAACATAAAGGGATGTCTGAATCCCCTGTGGAGACCTTAGAGAAAGCCCTAGGTCCCTGCCTCATTTTGACGGAATGCCTCACATCCCGCTGACACCTCGAGAGGCACGCGGAGTTCAATGCTTCAAAAGGTGACGATGCCTGACTCCTCTTGAATACTGATAGGAATCCCAAAATCCCTGTGGCTACTGGAAAGGGTCCTTGGGTGCCCTGCCTCACCTCGAGAAGCGTCCCTTTTGCCCTGCCAAGCCTCGAAGAGATTCCTGAGGTGTTCCTCTTTACTAGACAGGAGTCCTGACCTCACTGAAGAAACTCGTGTTTTGAAGGGCCATCCCCGCCGTATTTCTAAAACATACCCCAGGTCCCCGCCGCAACTCGAGAAAAACCATGAGACTTCCCCATAGAAGCAAGATGAGGCGCCATTCCCCTGCAGTGCATGCAGAGCTATTCTGTGATCCCGTTCAAACAAGTCAGGAGTTTCGGCTTACTTAATGGTTCTCGAGACAGTCCCCAAGAACACTGTCACCAGTCTAGACGGACCCTGAGGTCACCCCAGCAACGCAAAGCAGCTCCATGTGCCCCAAATCAACTCGAGATGAGGCCCGAATCCCCTGCATTGACTCCAGAGCCATTCCCCGTTCCCCATTCAACACGACCGGTGGCTCGACTTCCTTCAGGCAACTCAAGAGATGCCCCGAGAACACTGTCCCAAGTCTAGAGGAACACCAACTTCAGCACAGCAACTCGAGGAATGCTCCGTGTACCCCAAATCGTCTCGAGATGAGAGCTGATTCCGTGGCTTAGGCTCAAGACGTATGCCAACTTTCCAGTAGCACCTCAGGAGGAGGCTTCTCTCAGCAATAGGTATGTGGGAGGGACCCCGAGTTTGCTGCCTCAAGGGGAATATACAGCGAGAAGCCCTAACTTGAAAGGAGGCTGGATTTTCTTGCAGTGGCTTGAATACAGGCTCGTCTTTCATCTCACAACATGAAGGGATGTCTGAATTCCCTGTGGAGACCTTAGAGACAGCCCTAGGTCCCTGCCTCATTTTGACGGAATGCCTCACATCCCGCTGACACCTCGAGAGGCACGCGGAGTTCATTGCTCCAAAAGGTGACGATGCCTGACTCCTCTTGAATACTGATAGGAATCCCAAAATCCCTGTGGCTACTGGAAAGGGTCCTTGGGTGCTCTGCCTCACCTCGAGAAGCGTCCCTTTTGCCCTGACAAGCCTCGAAGAGATTCCTGAGGTGTCCCTCTTTACTAGACAGGAGTCCTGACGTCACTGAAGAGACTCGTGTTTTGAAGGGCCATCCCCGCCGTAAGTCGAGAACATGCCCCAAGTCCCTGCCGCAACTCGAGAAAAACCATGAGACTTCCCGATAGAAGCGAGATGGGGCCCCATTCCCCTGCAGTGCATGCAGAGATATTCTGTGATCCCGTTCAAACAAGTCAGGAGCTTCGACTTGCTTAATGGATCTCGAGACAGTCCCCAGGAACACTGTCACCAGTCTAGACGGACCCTGAGGTCACACCAGCAACGGAAAGCAGCTCCATGTGCCCCAAATCAACTCGAGATGAGGCCCGATTCCCCTGCATTGACTCCAGAGCCATTCCCCGTTCCCCATTCAACAGGACCGGTGGCTCGACTTCCTTCAGGCAACTCAAGAGATGCCCCGAGAACACTGTCCCAGGTCTAGAGGAACACCAACTTCAGCACAGCAACTCGAGGAATGCTCCGTGTACCCCAAATCGTCTCGAGATGAGAGCTGATTCCCTGGCTTAGGCTCAAGACGTATGCCAACTTTCCAGAAGCACCTCAGGAGGAGGCTTCTCTCAGCAATAGGTATGTGGGAGGGACCACGAGTTTGCTGCCTCAAGGGGCATATACAGCGAGAAGCCCTAACTTGAAAGGAGGCCAGTGGCTTGAATACAGGCTCGTCTTTCATCTCACAACATGAAGGGATGTCTGAATCCCCTGTGGAGACCTTAGAGAAAGCCCTATGTCCCTGCCTCATTTTGACGGAATGCCTCACATCCCGCTGACAGCTCGAGAGGCACGCGGATTTCATTGCTTCAAAAGGTGATGATGCCTGACTCCTCTTGAATACTGATAGGAATCCCAAAATCCCTGTGGCTACTGGAAAGGGTCCTTGGGTGCCCTGCCTCACCTCGAGAAGCGTCCCTTTTGCCCTGCCAAGCCTCGAAGAGATTCCTGAAGTGTCCCTCGTTACTAGACAGGAGTCCTGACGTCACTGAAGAGACTCGTGTTTTGAAGGGCCATCCCCGCCGTAAGTCGAGAACATGCCCCAAGTCCCCGGCGCAACTCGAGAAAAACCTTGAGACTTCCCCATAGACGCGAGATGGGGCCCCATTCCCCTGCAGTGCATGCAGAGCTATTCTGTGATCCCGTTCAAACAAGTCAGGAGTTTCGGCTTACTTAATGGTTCTCGAGACAGTCCCCAAGAATACTGTCACCAGTCTAGACGGACCCTGAGGTCTCCCCAGCAACGCAAAGCAGCTCCATGTGCCCCAAATCAACTCGAGATGAGGCCCGATTCCCCTGCATTGACTCCAGAGCCATTCCCCGTTCCCCATTCAACACGACCGGTGGCTCGACTTCCTTCAGGCAACTCCAGAGATGCCTTGAGAACACTGTCCCAAGTCTAGAGGAACACCAACTTCAGCACAGGAACTCGAGGAATGCTCCGTGTACCCCAAATCGTCTCGAGATGAGAGCTGATCCCCTGGCTTAGGCTCAAGACGTATGCCAACTTTCCAAAAGCACCTCAGGAGGAGGGTTCTCTCAGCAATATGTATGTGGGAGGGACCCCGAGTTTGCTGCCTCAAGGGGAATATACAGCGAGAAGCCCTAACTTGAAAGGAGGCCGGATTTCCTTGCAGTGGCTTGAATACAGGCCCGTCTTTCATCTCACAACATGAAGGGATGTCTGAATCCCCTGTAGAGACCTTAGAGAAAGCCCTAGGTCCCTGCCTCATTTTGACGGAATGCCTCACATCCCGCTGACACCTCGAGAGGCACGCGGAGTTCAATGCTTCAAAAGGTGACGATGCCTGACTCCTCTTGAATACTGATAGGAATCCCAAAATCCCTGTGGCTACTGGAAAGGGTCCTTGGGTGCCCTGCCTCACCTCGAGAAGCGTCCCTTTTGCCCTGCCAAGCCTCGAAGAGATTCCTGAGGTGTTCCTCTTTACTAGACAGGAGTCCTGACCTCACTGAAGAAACTCGTGTTTTGAAGGGCCATCCCCGCCGTATTTCGAAAACATACCCCAGGTCCCCGCCGCAACTCGAGAAAAACCATGAGACTTCCCCATAGAAGCAAGATGAGGCGCCATTCCCCTGCAGTGCATGCAGAGCTATTCTGTGATCCCGTTCAAACAAGTCAGGAGTTTCGGCTTACTTAATGGTTCTCGAGACAGTCCCCAAGAACACTGTCACCAGTCTAGACGGACCCTGAGGTCACCCCAGCAACGCAAAGCAGCTCCATGTGCCCCAAATCAACTCGAGATGAGGCCCGATTCCCCTGCATTGACTCCAGAGCCATTCCCCGTTCCCCATTCAACACGACCGGTGGCTCGACTTCCTTCAGGCAACTCAAGAGATGCCCCGAGAACACTGTCCCAAGTCTAGAGGAACACCAACTTCAGCACAGCAACTCGAGGAATGCTCTGTGTACCCCAAATCGTCTCGAGATGAGAGCTGATTCCGTGGCTTAGGCTCAAGACGTATGCCAACTTTCCAGTAGCACCTCAGGAGGAGGCTTCTCTCAGCAATAGGTATGTGGGAGGGACCCCGAGTTTGCTGCCTCAAGGGGAATATACAGCGAGAAGCCCTAACTTGAAAGGAGGCTGGATTTCCTTGCAGTGGCTTGAATACAGGCTCGTCTTTCATCTCACAACATGAAGGGATGTCTGAATTCCCTGTGGAGACCTTAGAGACAGCCCTAGGTCCCTGCCTCATTTTGACGGAATGCCTCACATCCCGCTGACACCTCGAGAGGCACGCGGAGTTCATTGCTTCAAAAGGTGACGATGCCTGACTCCTCTTGAATACTGATAGGAATCCCAAAATCCCTGTGGCTACTGGAAAGGGTCCTTGGGTGCCCTGCCTCACCTCGAGAAGCGTCCCTTTTGCCCTGACAAGCCTCGAAGAGATTCCTGAGGTGTCCCTCTTTACTAGACAGGAGTCCTGACGTCACTGAAGAGACTCGTGTTTTGAAGGGCCATCCCCGCCGTAAGTCGAGAACATGCCCCAAGTCCCTGCCGCAACTCGAGAAAAACCATGAGACTTCCCCATAGAAGCGAGATGGGGCCCCATTCCCCTGCAGTGCATGCAGAGCTATTCTGTGATCCCGTTCAAACAAGTCAGGAGCTTCGACTTGCTTAATGGATCTTGAGACAGTCCCCAGGAACACTGTCACCAGTCTAGACGGACCCTGAGGTCACACCAGCAACGGAAAGCAGCTCCATGTGCCCCAAATCAACTCGAGATGAGGCCCGATTCCCCTGCATTGACTCCAGAGCCATTCCCCGTTCCCCATTCAACACGACCGGTGGCTCGACTTCCTTCAGGCAACTCAAGAGATGCCCCGAGAACACTGTCCCAAGTCTAGAGGAACACCAACTTCAGTACAGCAACTCGAGGAATGCTCCGTGTACCCCAAATCGTCTCGAGATGAGAGCTAATTCCCTGGCTTAGGCTCAAGACGTATGCCAACTTTCCAGAAGCACCTCAGGAGGAGGCTTCTCTCAGCAATAGGTATGTGGGAGGGACCCCGAGTTTACTGCCTCAAGGGGCATATATAGCGAGAAGCCCTAACTTGAAAGGAGGCCAGTGGCTTGAATACAGGCTCGTCTTTCATCTCACAACATGAAGGGATGTCTGAATCCCCTGTGGAGACCTTAGAGAAAGCCCTATGTCCCTGCCTCATTTTGACGGAATGCCTCACATCCCGCTGACAGCTCGAGAGGCACGCGGATTTCATTGCTTCAAAAGGTGACGATGCCTGACTCCTCTTGAATACTGATAGGAATCCCAAAATCCCTGTGGCTACTGGAAAGGGTCCTTGGGTGCCCTGCCTCACCTCGAGAAGCGTCCCTTTTGCCCTGCCAAGCCTCGAAGAGATTCCTGAAGTGTCCCTCGTTACTAGACAGGAGTCCTGACGTCACTGAAGAGACTCGTGTTTTGAAGGGCCATCCCCGCCGTAAGTCGAGAACATGCCCCAAGTCCCCGCCGCAACTCGAGAAAAACCATGAGACTTCCCCATAGAAGCGAGATGGGGCCCCATTCCCCTGCAGTGCATGCAGAGCTATTCTGTGATCCCGTTCAAACAAGTCAGGAGTTTCGGCTTACTTAATGGTTCTCGAGACAGTCCCCAAGAACACTGTCACCAGTCTAGACGGACCCTGAGGTCACCCCAGCAAAACAAAGCAGCTCCATGTGCCCCAAATCAACTCGAGATGAGGCCCGATTCCCCTGCATTGACTCCAGAGCCATTCCCCGTTCCCCATTCAACACGACCGGTGGCTCGACTTCCTTCAGGCAACTCCAGAGATGCCCCGAGAACACTGTCCCAAGTCTAGAGGAACACCAACTTCAGCACAGCAACTCGAGGAATGCTCCGTGTACCCCAAATCGTCTCGAGATGAGAGCTGATCCCCTGGCTTAGGCTCAAGACGTATGCCAACTTTCCAAAAGCACCTCAGGAGGAGGGTTCTCTCAGCAATATGTATGTGGGAGGGACCCCGAGTTTGCTGCCTCAAGGGGAATATACAGCGAGAAGCCCTAACTTGAAAGGAGGCCGGATTTCCTTGCAGTGGCTTGAATGCAGGCCCGTCTTTCATCTCACAACATGAAGGGATGTCTGAATCCCCTGTAGAGACCTTAGAGAAAGCCCTAGGTCCCTGCCTCATTTTGACGGAATGCCTCACATCCCGCTGACACCTCGAGAGGCACGCGGAGTTCAATGCTTCAAAAGGTGACGATGCCTGACTCCTCTTGAATACTGATAGGAATCCCAAAATCCCTGTGGCTACTGGAAAGGGTCCTTGGGTGCCCTGCCTCACCTCGAGAAGCGTCCCTTTTGCCCTGCCAAGCCTCGAAGAGATTCCTGAGGTGTTCCTCTTTACTAGACAGGAGTCCTGACCTCACTGAAGAAACTCGTGTTTTGAAGGGCCATCCCCGCCGTATTTCGAAAACATACCCCAGGTCCCCGCCGCAACTCGAGAAAAACCATGAGACTTCCCCATAGAAGCGAGATGGGGCCCCATTCCCCTGCAGTGCATGCAGAGCTATTCTGTGATCCCGTTCAAACAAGTCAGGAGTTTCGGCTTACTTAATGGTTCTCGAGACAGTCCCCAAGAACACTGTCACCAGTCTAGACGGACCCTGAGGTCACCCCAGCAAAGCAAAGCAGCTCCATGTGCCCCAAATCAACTCGAGATGAGGCCCGTTTCCCCTGCATTGACTCCAGAGCCATTCCCCGTTCCCCATTCAACACGACCGGTGGCTCGACTTCCTTCAGGCAACTCAAGAGATGCCCCGAGAACACTGTCCCAAGTCTAGAGGAACACCAACTTCAGCACAGGAACTCGAGGAATGCTCCGTGTACCCCAAATCGTCTCGGGATGAGAGCTGATTCCCTGGCTTAGGCTCAAGACGTATGCCAAGTTTCCAAAAGCACCTCAGGAGGAGGCTTCTCTCAGCAATATATATGTGGGAGGGACCCCGAGTTTGCTGCCTGAAGGGGAATATACAGCGAGAAGCCCTAACTTGAAAGAAGGCCGGATTTCCTTGCAGTGGCTTGAATACAGGTCCGTCTTTCATCTCACAACATGAAGGGATGTCTGAATCCCCTGTGGAGACCTTAGAGAAAGCCCTAGTTCCCTGCTTCATTTTGACGGAATGCCTCACATCCCGCTGACACCTCGAGAGGCAGGCGGAGTTCATTGCTTCAAAAGGTGACAATGCCTGACTCCTCTTGAATACTGATAGGAATCCCAAAATCCCTGTGGCTACTGGAAAGGGTCCTTGGGTGCCCTGCCTCACCTCGAGAAGCGTCTCTTTTGCCCTGCCAAGCCTCGAAGAGATTCCTGAGGTGTTCCTCTTTACTAGACAGGAGTCCTGACCTCACTGAAGAAACTCGTGTTTTGAAGGGCCATCCCCGCCGTATTTCGAAAACATACCCCAGGTCCCCGCCGCAACTCGAGAAAAACCATGAGACTTCCCCATAGAAGCGAGATGGTTCCCCATTCCCCTGCAGTGCATGCAGAGCTATTCTGTGATCCCGTTCAAACAAGTCAGGAGTTTCGGCTTACTTAATGGTTCTCGAGACAGTCCCCAAGAACACTGTCACCAGTCTAGACGGACCCTGAGGTCACCCCAGCAACGCAAAGCAGCTCCATGTGCCCCAAATCAACTCGAGATGAGGCCCGATTCCCCTGCATTGACTCCAGAGCCATTCCCCGTTCCCCATTCAACACGACCGGTGGCTCGACTTCCTTCAGGCAACTCAAGAGATGCCCCGAGAACACTGTCCCAAGTCTAGAGGAACACCAACTTCAGCACAGGAACTCGAGGAATGCTCCGTGTACCACAAATCGTCTCGGGATGAGAGCTGATTCCCTGGCTTAGGCTCAAGACGTATGCCAACTTTCCAGAAGCACCTCAGGAGGAGGCTTCTCTCAGCAATATATATGTGGGAGGGACCCCGAGTTTGCTGCCTGAAGGGGAATATACAGCGAGAAGCCCTAACTTGAAAGAAGGCCGGATTTCCTTGCAGTGGCTTGAATACAGGTCCGTCTTTCATCTCACAACATGAAGGGATGTCTGAATCCCCTGTGGAGACCTTAGAGAAAGCCCTAGGTCCCTGCTTCATTTTGACGGAATGCCTCACATCCCGCTGACACCTCGAGAGGCAGGCGGAGTTCATTGCTTCAAAAGGTGACGATGCCTGACTCCTCTTGAATACTGATAGGAATCCCAAAATCACTGTGGCTACTGGAAAGGGTCCTTGGGTGCCCTGCCTCACCTCGAGAAGCGTCACTTTTGCCCTGCCAAGCCTCGAAGAGATTCCTGAAGTGTTCCTCTTTACTAGACAGGAGTCCTGACCTCACTGAAGAAACTCGTGTTTTGAAGGGCCATCCCCGCCGTATTTCGAAAACATACCCCAGGTACCCGCCGCAACTCGAGAAAAACCATGAGACTTCCCCATAGAAGCAAGTAGAGGCGCCATTCCCCTGCAGTGCATGGAGAGCTATTCCGTGCTCCCTTTCAAACAAGTCAGGAGCTTCGACTTGCTTAATGGATCTCGACACAGTCCCCAAGAACACTGTCACCAGTCTAGACGGACCCTGAGGTCACCCCAGCAACGCAAAGCAGCTCCATGTGCCCCAAATCAACTCGAGATGAGGCCCGATTCCCCTGCATTGACTCCAGAGCCATTCCCCGTTCCCCATTCAACACGACCGGTGGCTCGACTTCCTTCAGGCAACTCAAGAGATGCCCCGAGAACACTGTCCCAAGTCTAGAGGAACACCAACTTCAGCAGAGCAACTCGAGGAATGCTCCGTGTACCCCAAATCGTCTCGAGATGAGAGCTGATTCCCTGGCTTAGGCTCAAGACGTATGCCAACTTTCCAAAAGCACCTCAGGAGGAGGGTTCTCTCAGCAATATGTATGTGGGAGGGACCCCGAGTTTGCTGCCTCAAGGGGAATATACAGCGAGAAGCCCTAACTAGAAAGGAGGCCGGATTTCCTTGCAGTGGCTTGAATACAGGCCCGTCTTTCATCTCACAACATAAAGGGATGTCTGAATCCCCTGTGGAGACTTTAGAGAAAGCCCTAGGTCCCTGCCTCATTTTGACGGAATGCCTCACATCCCGCTGACACCTCGAGAGGCACACGGAGTTCAATGCTTCAAAAGGTGACGATGCCTGACTCCTCTTGAATACTGATAGGAATCCCAAAATCCCTGTGGCTACTGGAAAGGGTCCTTGGGTGCCCTGCCTCACCTCGAGAAGCGTCCCTTTTGCCCTGCCAAGCCTCGAAGAGATTCCTGAGGTGTTCCTCTTTACTAGACAGGAGTCCTGACCTCACTGAAGAAACTCGTGTTTTGAAGGGCCATCCCCGCCGTATTTCAAAAACATACCCCAGGTGCCCGCCGCAACTCGAGAAAAACCATGAGACTTCCCCATAGAAGCAAGATGAGGCGCCATTCCCCTGCAGTGCATGCAGAGCTATTCTGTGATCCCGTTCAAACTAGTCAAGAGCTTCGACTTGCTTAATGGTTCTCGAGACAGTCCCCAAGAACACTGTCACCAGTCTAGACGGACCCTGAGGTCATGCCAGCAACGCAAAGCAGCTCCATGTGCCCCAAATCAACTCGAGATGAGGCCCGATTCCCCTGCATTGACTCCAGAGCCATTCCCCGTTCCCCATTCAACACGACCGGTGGCTCGACTTCCTTCAGGCAACTCAAGAGATGCCCCGAGAACACTGTCCCAAGTCTAGAGGAACACCAACTTCAGCACAGCAACTCGAGGAATGCTCCGTGTACCCCAAATCGTCTCGAGATGAGAGCTGATTCCGTGGCTTAGGCTCAAGACGTATGCCAACTTTCCAGTAGCACCTCAGGAGGAGGCTTCTCTCAGCAATAGGTATGTGGGAGGGACCCCGAGTTTGCTGCCTCAAGGGGAATATACAGCGAGAAGCCCTAACTTGAAAGGAGGCTGGATTTCCTTGCAGTGGCTTGAATACAGGCTCGTCTTTCATCTCACAACATGAAGGGATGTCTGAATTCCCTGTGGAGACCTTAGAGACAGCCCTAGGTCCCTGCCTCATTTTGACGGAATGCCTCACATCCCGCTGACACCTCGAGAGGCACGCGGAGTTCATTGCTCCAAAAGGTGACGATGCCTGACTCCTCTTGAATACTGATAGGAATCCCAAAATCACTGTGGCTACTGGAAAGGGTCCTTGGGTGCTCTGCCTCACCTCGAGAAGCGTCCCTTTTGCCCTGACAAGCCTCGAAGAGATTCCTGAGGTGTCCCTCTTTACTAGACAGGAGTCCTGACGTCACTGAAGAGACTCGTGTTTTGAAGGGCCATCCCCGCCGTAAGTCGAGAACATGCCCCAAGTCCCTGCCGCAACTCGAGAAAAACCATGAGATTTCCCGATAGAAGCGAGATGGGGCCCCATTCCCCTGCAGTGCATGCAGAGATATTCTGTGATCCCGTTCAAACAAGTCAGGAGCTTCGACTTGCTTAATGGATCTCGAGACAGTCCCCAGGAACACTGTCACCAGTCTAGACGGACCCTGAGGTCACACCAGCAACGGAAAGCAGCTCCATGTGCCCCAAATCAACTCGAGATGAGGCCCGATTCCCCTGCATTGACTCCAGAGCCATTCCCCGTTCCCCATTCAACACGACCGGTGGCTCGACTTCCTTCAGGCAACTCAAGAGATGCCCCGAGAACACTGTCCCAAGTCTAGAGGAACACCAACTTCAGCACAGCAACTCGAGGAATGCTCCGTGTACCCCAAACCGTCTCGAGATGAGAGCTGATTCCCTGGCTTAGGCTCAAGACGTATGTCAACTTTCCAGAAGCACCTCAGGAGGAGGCTTCTCTCAGCAATAGGTATGTGGGAGGGACCCCGAGTTTGCTGCCTCAAGGGGCATATACAGCGAGAAGCCCTAACTTGAAAGGAGGCCAGTGGCTTGAATACAGGCTCGTCTTTCATCTCACAACATGAAGGGATGTCTGAATCCCCTGTGGAGACCTTAGAGAAAGCCCTAGGTCCCTGCCTCATTTTGACGGAATGCCTCACATCCCGCTGACAGCTCGAGAGGCACGCGGATTTCATTGCTTCAAAAGGTGATGATGCCTGACTCCTCTTGAATACTGATAGGAATCCCAAAATCCCTGTGGCTACTGGAAAGGGTCCTTGGGTGCCCTGCCTCACCTCGAGAAGCGTCCCTTTTGCCCTGCCAAGCCTCGAAGAGATTCCTGAAGTGTCCCTCGTTACTAGACAGGAGTCCTGACGTCACTGAAGAGACTCGTGTTTTGAAGGGCCATCCCCGCCGTAAGTCGAGAACATGCCCCAAGTCCCCGCCGCAACTCGAGAAAAACCTTGAGACTTCCCCATAGACGCGAGATGGGGCCCCATTCCCCTGCAGTGCATGCAGAGCTATTCTGTGATCCCGTTCAAACAAGTCAGGAGTTTCGGCTTACTTAATGGTTCTCGAGACAGTCCCCAAGAACACTGTCACCAGTCTAGACGGACCCTGAGGTCTCCCCAGCAACGCAAAGCAGCTCCATGTGCCCCAAATCAACTCGAGATGAGGCACGATTCCCCTGCATTGACTCCAGAGCCATTCCCCGTTCCCCATTCAACACGACCGGTGGCTCGACTTCCTTCAGGCAACTCAAGAGATGACCCGAGAACACTGTCCCAAGTCTAGAGGAACACCAACTTCAGCACAGCAACTCGAGGAATGCTCCGTGTACCCCAAATCGTCTCGAGATGAGAGCTGATCCCCTGGCTTAGGCTCAAGACGTATGCCAACTTTCCAAAAGCACCTCAGGAGGAGGGTTCTCTCAGCAATATGTATGTGGGAGGGATCCCGAGTTTGCTGCCTCAAGGGGAATATACAGCGAGAAGCCCTAACTTGAAAGGAGGCCGGATTTCCTTGCAGTGGCTTGAATACAGGCCCGTCTTTCATCTCACAACATGAAGGGATGTCTGAATCCCCTGTAGAGACCTTAGAGAAAGCCCTAGGTCCCTGCCTCATTTTGACGGAATGCCTCACATCCCGCTGACACCTCGAGAGGCACGCGGAGTTCAATGCTTCAAAAGGTGACGATGCCTGACTCCTCTTGAATACTGATAGGAATCCCAAAATCCCTGTGGCTACTGGAAAGGGTCCTTGGGTGCCCTGCCTCACCTCGAGAAGCGTCCCTTTTGCCCTGCCAAGCCTCGAAGAGATTCCTGAGGTGTTCCTCTTTACTAGACAGGAGTCCTGACCTCACTGAAGAAACTCGTGTTTTGAAGGGCCATCCCCGCCGTATTTCGAAAACATACCCCAGGTCCCCGCCGCAACTCGAGAAAAACCATGAGACTTCCCCATAGAAGCGAGATGGGGCCCCATTCCCCTGCAGTGCATGCAGAGCTATTCTGTGATCCCGTTCAAACAAGTCAGGAGTTTCGGCTTACTTAATGGTTCTCGAGACAGTCCCCAAGAACACTGTCACCAGTCTAGACGGACCCTGAGGTCACCCCAGCAACGCAAAGCAGCTCCATGTGCCCCAAATCAACTCGAGATGAGGCCCGATTCCCCTGCATTGACTCCAGAGCCATTCCCCGTTCCCCATTCAACACGACCGGTGGCTCGACTTCCTTCAGGCAACTCCAGAGATGCCCCGAGAACACTGTCCCAAGTCTAGAGGAAAACCAACTTCAGCACAGCAACTCGAGGAATGCTCCATGTACCCCAAATCGTCTCGAGATGAGAGCTGATTCCGTGGCTTAGGCTCAAGACGTATGCCAACTTTCCAGAAGCACCTCAGGAGGAGGCTTCTCTCAGCAATAGGTATGTGGGAGGGACCCCGAGATTGCTGCCTCAAGGGGAATATACAGCGAGAAGCCCTAACTTGAAAGGTGGCCGGATTTCCTTGCAGTGGCTTGAATACAGGCTCGTCTTTCATCTCACAACATGAAGGGATGTCTGAATCCCCTGTGGAGACCTTAGAGAAAGCCCTAGTTTCCTGCCTCATTTAGACGGGATGCCTCACATCCCGCTGACACCTCGAGAGGCACGCGGAGTTCATTGCTTCAAAAGGTGATGATGCCTGACTCCTCTTGAATACTGATAGGAATCCCAAAATCCCTGTGGCTACTGGAAAGGGTCCTTGGGTGCCTTGCCTCACCTGGAGAAGCGTCCCTTTTGCCCTGCCAAGCCTCGAAGAGATTCTTGAGGTGTCCCTCGTTACTAGACAGGAATCCTGACGTCACTGAAGAAACTCGTGTTTTGAAGGGCCATTCCCGACGTAAGTCGAGAAAATACCCCAGGTCCCCGCCGTAACTGGAGAAAACCATGAGACTTCCCCATAGAAGCAAGATGAGGCCCCATTCCCCTGCAGTGCATGCAGAGCTATTCTGTGATCCCGTTCAAACAACTCAGGAGCTTCGACTTGCTTAATGGTTCTCGAGACAGTCCGCAAGAACACTGTCACCAATCTGACGGACCCTGAGGTCACCCCAGCAACGCAAAGCAGATCCATGTGCCCCAAATCAACTCGAGATGAGGCCCGATTCCCGTGCATTGACTCCAGAGCCATTCCCCATTCCCCATTCAACACGACCGGTGGCTCGACTTCCTTCAGGCAACTCCAGAGATGACCCGAGAACACTGTCCCAAGTCTAGAGGAACACCAACTTCAGCACAGCAACTCGAGGAATGCTCCGTGTACCCCAAATCATCTCGAGATGAGAGCTGATTCAGTGGCTAAGGCTCAAGACGTATGCCAACTTTCCAAAAGCACCTCAGGAGGAGGGTTCTCTCAACAATATGTATGTGGGAGGGACCCCGAGTTTGCTGCCTCAAGGGGAATATACAGCGAGAATCCCTAACTTGAAAGGAGCCCGGATTTCCTTGCAGTGGCTTGAATACAGGCCCGTCTTTCATCTCACAACATGAAGGGATGTCTGAATCCCCTGTGGAGACCTTAGAGAAAGCCCTAGTTTCCTGCCTCATTTAGACGGGATGCCTCACATCCCGCTGACACCTCGATAGGCACGCGGAGTTCATTGCTTCAAAAGGTGATGATGCCTGACTCCTCTTGAATACTGATAGGAATCCCAAAATCCCTGTGGCTACTGGAAAGGGTCCTTGGGTGCCTTGCCTCACCTGGAGAAGCGTCCCTTTTGCCCTGCCAAGCCTCGAAGAGATTCTTGAGGTGTCCCTCGTTACTAGACAGGAATCCTGACGTCACTGAAGAAACTCGTGTTTTGAAGGGCCATTCCCGACGTAAGTCGAGAAAATACCCCAGGTCCCCGCCGCAACTGGAGAAAACCATGAGACTTCCCCATAGAAGCAAGATGAGGCCCCATTCCCCTGCAGTGCATGCAGAGCTATTCTGTGATCCCGTTCAAACAACTCAGGAGCTTCGACTTGCTTAATGGTTCTCGAGACAGTCCGCAAGAACACTGTCACCAATCTAGACGGACCCTGAGGTCACCCCAGCAACGCAAAGCAGATCCATGTGCCCCAAATCAACTCGAGATGAGGCCCGATTCCCGTGCATTGACTCCAGAGCCATTCCCCATTCCCCATTCAACACGACCGGTGGCTCGACTTCCTTCAGGTAACTCCAGAGATGACCCGAGAACACTGTCCCAAGTCTAGAGGAACACCAACTTCAGCACAGCAACTCGAGGAATGCTCCGTGTACCCCAAATCGTCTCGAGATGAGAGCTGATTCAGTGGCTAAGGCTCAAGACGTATGCCAACTTTCCAAAAGCACCTCAGGAGGAGGGTTCTCTCAACAATATGTATGTGGGAGGGACCCCGAGTTTGCTGCCTCAAGGGGAATATACAGCGAGAATCCCTAACTTGAAAGGAGGCCGGATTTCCTTGCAGTGGCTTGAATACAGGCCCGTCTATCATCTCACAACATGAAGGGATGTCTGAATCCCCTGTGGAGACCTTAGAGAAAGTCCTAGGTCCCTGCCTCATTTTGACGGAATGCCTTACATCCCGCTGACACCTCGAGAGGCACGCGGAGTTCATTGCTTCAAAAGGTGACGATGCCTGACTCCTCTTGAATACTGATAGGAATCCCAAAATCCCTGTGGCTACTGGAAAGGGTCCTTGGGTGCCCTGCCTCACCTCGCGAAGCGTCCCTTTTGCCCTGCCAAGCCTCGAAGAGATTCCTGAGTTGTTCCTCTTTACTGGACAGGAGTCCTGACCTCATTGAAGAAACTCGTGTTTTGAAGGGCCATCCCCGCCGTATTTCGAAAACATACGCCAGGTCCCCGCCGCAACTCGAGAAAAACCATGAGACTTCCCCCTAGAGGCGAGATGAGGCCCCATTTCCCTGCAGTGCATGCAGAGCTATTCCTTGATCTCATTCAAACAAGTCAGGAGCTTCGACTTGCTTAATGGATCTCGACACAGTCCCCAAGAACACTGTCACCAGTCTAGACAGACCCTGAGGTTAGCCCAGCAACGCAAAGCAGCTCCATGTGCCCCAAATCAACTCGAGATGAGGCCCGATTCCCCTGCATTGACTCCAGAGCCATTCCCCGTTCCCCATTCAACACGACCGGTAGCTCGACTTCCTTCAGGCAACTCCAGAGATGACCCGAGAACACTGTCCCAAGTCTAGAGGAACACCAACTTCAGCACAGCAGCTCGAGGAATGCTCCGTGTACCCCAAATCGTCTCGAGATGAGAGCTGATTCAGTGGCTAAGGCTCAAGACGTATGCCAAGTTTCCAAAAGCACCTCAGGAGGAGGGTTCTCTCAGCAATATGTATGTGGGAGGGACCCCAAGTTTGCTGCCTCAAGGGGAATATACAGCGAGAAGCCCTAACTTGAAAAGAGCCCGGATTTCCTTGCAGTGGCTTGAATACAGGCCCGTCTTTCATCTCACAACATGAAGGGATGTCTGAATCCCCTGTGGAGACCTTAGAGAAAGCCCTAGGTCCCTGCCTCATTTTGACGGAATGCCTCACATCCCGCTGACACCTCGAGAGGCACGCGGAGTTCATTGCTTCAAAAGGTGACGATGCCTGACTCCTCTGGAATACTGATAGAAATCCCAAAACCCCTGTGGCTACTGGAAAGTGTCCTTGGGTGCCCTGCCTCACCTCGAGAAGCGTCCCTTTTGCCCTGCCAAGCCTCGAAGAGATTCCTGAGGTGTTCCTCTTTACTAGACAGGAGTCCTGACCTCACTGAAGAAACTCGTGTTTTGAAGGGCCATCCCCGCCGTATTTCGAAAACATACCCCAGGTCCCCGCCGCAACTCGAGAAAAACCATGAGACTTCCCCCTAGAGGCCAGATGAGGCCCCATTTCCCTGCAGTGCATGCAGAGCTATTCCTTGATCTCATTCAAAGAAGTCAGGAGTTTCGACTTGCTTAATGGATCTCGACACAGTCCCCAAGAACACTGTCACCAGTCTAGACAGACCCTGAGGTGAGCCCAGCAACGCAAAGCAGCTCCATGTGCCCCAAATCAACTCGAGATGAGGCCCGATTCCCCTGCATTGACTCCAGAGCCATTCCCCGTTCCCCATTCAACACGACCGGTGGCTCGACTTCCTTCAGGCAACTCCAGAGATGACCCGAGAACACTGTCCCAAGTCTAGAGGAACACCAACTTCAGCAAAGCAACTCGAGGAATGCTCCGTGTACCCCAAATCGTCTCGAGATGAGAGCTGATTCCCTGGCTTAGGCTCAAGACGTATACCAACTTTCAAAAAGCACCTCAGGAGGAGGGTTCTCTCAGCAATATGTATGTGGGAGGGACCCCGAGTTTGCTACCTCAAGGGGAATATACAGCGAGAAGCCCTAACTTGAAAGGAGGCCGGATTTCCTTACAGTGGCTTGAATACAGGCCCGATTTCATCTCACAAGATGAAGGGATGTCTGAATCCCCTGTGGAGACCTTAGAGAAAGCCCTAGGTCCCTGCCTCATTTTGACGGAATGCCTCACATCCCGCTGACATCTCGAGAGTCAAGCGGAGTTCATTGCTTCAAAAGGTGACGATGCCTGACTCCTCTTGAATACTGATAGGAATCCCAAAATCCCTGTGGCTACTGGAAAGGGTCCTTGGATGCCCTGCCTCACCTCGAGAAGCGTCCCTTTTGCCCTGACAGGCCTCGAAGAGATTCCTGAAGTGTCCCTCGTTACTAGAGAGGAGTCCTGACGTCACTGAAGAAACTCGTGTTTTGAAGGGCCCTGCCCAGTGTAAGTCGAGAACATACCCCAGGTCCCCGCCGCAACTCGAGAAAAACCATGAGACTTCCCGATAGAAGCGAGATGGGGCCCCATTCCCCTGCAGTGCATGCAGAGCTATTCTGTGATCCCGTTCAAACAAGTCAGGAGCTTCGACTTGCTTAATGGATCTCGAGACAGTCCCCAAGAACACTGTCACCAGTCTAGACGGACCCTGAGGTCACACCAGCAACGGTAAGCAGCTCCATGTGCCCCAAATCAACTCGAGATGAGGCCCGATTCCCCTGCATTGACTCCAGAGCCATTCCCCGTTCCCCATTCAACACGACCGGTGGCTCGACTTCCTTCAGGCAACTCCAGAGATGCCCCGAGAACACTGTCCAAAGTCTAGAGGAACACCAACTTCAGCACAGCAACTCGAGGAATGCTCCGTGTACCCCAAATCGTCTCGAGATGAGAGCTGATTCCCTGGCTTATGCTCAAGACGTATGCCAACTTTCCAGAAGCACCTCAGGATGAGGCTTCTCTCAGCAATAGGTATGTGGGAGGGACCCCGAGTTTGCTGCCTCAAGGGGAATATACAGGGAGAAGCCCTAACTTGAAAGGAGGCCAGTGGCTTGAATACAGGCTCGTCTTTCATCTCACAACATGAAGGGATGTCTGAATCCCCTGTGGAGACCTTAGAGAAAGCCCTATGTCCCTGCCTCATTTTGACGGAATGCCTCACATCCCGCTGACAGCTCGAGAGGCACGCGCATTTCATTGCTTCAAAAGGTGACGATGACTGACTCCTCTTGAATACTGATAGGAATGCCAAAATCCCTGTGGCTACTGGAAAGGGTCCTTGGGTGCCCTGCCTCACATGGAGAAGCGTCCCTTTTGCACTGCCAAGCCTCGAAGAGATTCCTGAAGTGTCCCTCGTTACTAGACAGGAGTCCTGACGTCACTGAAGAGACTCGTGTTTTGAAGGGCCATCCCGCCCGTAAGTCGAGAACATGCCCCAAGTCCCCGCCGCAACTCGAGAAAAACCATGAGACTTCCCCATAGAAGCGAGATGGGGCCCCATTCCCCTGCAGTGCATGCAGAGCTATTCTGTGATCCCGTTCAAACAAGTCAGGAGTTTCGGCTTACTTAATGGTTCTCGAGACAGTCCCCAAGAACACTGTCACCAGTCTAGACGGACCCTGAGGTCACCCCAGCAACGCAAAGCAGCTCCATGTGCCCCAAATCAACTCGAGATGAGGCCCGATTCCCCTGCATTGACTCCAGAGCCATTCCCCGTTCCCAATTCAACACGACCGGTGGCTCGACTTCCTTCAGGCAACTCCAGAGATGACCCGAGAACACTGTCCCAAGTCTAGAGGAACACCAACTTCTGCACAGCAACTCGAGGAATGCTCCGTGTACCCCAAATCGTCTCGAGATGAGAGCTGATTCACTGGCTAAGGCTCAAGACGTATGCCAACTTTCCAAAAGCACCTCAGGAGGAGGGTTCTCTCAGCAATATGTATGTGGGAGGGACCCCGAGTTTGCTGCCTCAAGGGGAATATACAGCGAGAAGCCCTAAGTTGAAAGGAGGCCGGATTTCCTTGCAGTGGCTTGAATACAGGCCCGTCTTTCATCTCACAACATGAAGGGATGTCTGAATCCCCTGTGGAGACCTTAGAGAAAGCCCTAGGTCCCTGCCTCATTTTGACGGAATGCCTCACATCCCGCTGACACCTCGAGAGGCACGCGGAGTTCATTGCTTCAAAAGGTGACGATGCCTGACTCCTCTTGAATACTGATAGGAATCCCAAAATCCCTGTGGCTACTGGAAAGGGTCCTTGGGTGCCCTGCCTCACCTCGAGAAGAGTCCCTTTTGCCCTGCCAAGCTTGGAAGAGATTCCTGAGATGTTCCTCTTTACTAGACAGGAGTCCTGACCTCACTGAAGAAACTCGTGTTTTGAAGGGCCATCCCCGCCGTATTTCGAAAACATACCCCAGGTCCCCGCCGCAACTCGAGAAAAACCATGAGACTTCCCCCTAGAGGCCAGATGAGGCCCCATTTCCCTGCAGTGCATGCAGAGCTATTCCTTGATCTCATTCAAACAAGTCAGGAGCTTCGACTTGCTTAATGGATCTCGAAACAGTCCCCAAGAACACTGTCACCAGTCTAGACGGACCCTGAGGTCACCCCAGCAACGCAAAGTAGCTCCATGTGCCCCAATTCAACTCGAGATGAGGCCCGATTCCCCTGCATTGACTCCAGAGCCATTCCCCGTTCCCCATTCAACACGACCGGTGGCTCGACTTCCTTCAGGCAACTCAAGAGATGCCCCGAGAACACTGTCCCAAGTCTAGAGGAACACCAACTTCAGCACAGCAACTCGAGGAATGCTCCGTGTACCCCAAATCGTCTCGAGATGAGAGCTGATTCCCTGGCTTAGGCTCAAGACGTATGCCAACTTTCCAGAAGCACCTCACGAGGAGGCTTCTCTCAGCAATAGGTATGTGGGAGGGACCCCGAGATTGCTGCCTCAAGGGAATATACAGCGAGAAGCCCTAACTTGAAAGGAGGCCGGATTTCCTTGCAGTGGCTTGAATACAGGCTCGTCTTTCATCTCACAACATGAAGGGATGTCTGAATCCCCTGTGGAGACCTTAGAGAAAGCCCTAGGTCCCTGCCTCATTTTGACGGAATGCCTCACATCCCGCTGACACCTCGAGAGGCACGCGGAGTTCATTGCTTCAAAAGGTGACGATGCCTGACTCCTCTTGAATACTGATAGGAATCCCAAAATCCCTGTGGCTACTGGATAGGGTCCTTGGGTGCCCTGCCTCACATCGAGAAGCGTCCCTTTTGCCCTGACAAGCCTTGAAGAGATTCCTGAGGTGTCCCTCGTTACTAGACAGGAGTCCTGACGTCACTGAAGAGACTCGTGTTTTGAAGGGCCATCCCCGCCGTAAGTCGAGAACATACCCCAGGTCCCCGCCGCAACTGGAGAAAACCATGAGACTTCCCCATAGAAGCAAGATGAGGCCCCATTCCCCTGCAGTGCATGCAGAGCTATTCTGTGATCCCGTTCAAACAACTCAGGAGCTTCGACTTGCTTAATGGTTCTCGAGACAGTCCGCAAGAACACTGTCACCAATCTAGACGGACCCTGAGGTCACCCCAGCAACGCAAAGCAGCTCCATGTGCCCCAAATCAACTCGAGATGAGGCCCGATTCCCCTGCATTGACTCCAGAGCCATTCCCCGTTCCCCATTCAACACGACCGCTGGCTCGACTTCCTTCAGGCAACTCAAGAGATGACCCGAGAACACTGTCCCAAGTCTAGAGGAACACCAACTTCCGCACAGCAACTCGAGGAATGCTCCGTGTACCCCAAATCGTCTCGAGATGAGAGCTGATTCCCTGGCTTAGGCTCAAGACGTATACCAACTTTCCAAAAGCACCTCAGGAGGAGGGTTCTCTCAGCAATATGTATGTGGGAGGGACCCCGAGTTTGCTGCCTCAAGGGGAATATACAGCGAGAAGCCCTAACTTGAAAGGAGGCCGGATTTCCTGGCAGTGGCTTGAATACAGGCCCGTCTTTCATCTCACAACATGAAGGGATGTCTGAATCCCCTGTGGAGACCTTAGAGAAAGCCCTAGTTTCCTGCCTCATTTTGACAGAATGCCTCACATCCCGCTGACACCTCGAGAGGCACGTGGAGTTCATTGCTTCAAAAGGTGACGATGCCTGACTCCTCTTGAATACTGATAGGAATCCCAAAATCCCTGTGGCTACTGGAAAGGGTCCTTGGGTGCCCTGCCTCACCTCGAGAAGCGTCCCTTTTGCCCTGCCAAGCCTCGAAGAGATTCCTGAGGTGTCCCTCGTTACTAGACAGGAGTCCTGACGTCACTGAAGAGACTCGTGTTTTGAAGGGCCATCCCCGCCGTAAGTCGAGAACATACCCCAAGTCCCCACACCAACTCGAGAAAAACCATGAGACTTCCCCATAGAAGCGAGATGGGGCCCCATTCCCCTGCAGTGCATGCAGAGCTATGCTGTGATCCCGTTCAAACAACTCAGGAGCTTCGACTTACTTAATGGTTCTCGAGACAGTCCCCAAGAACACTGTCACCAGTCTAGCGGACCCTGAGGTCACCCCAGCAACGCAAAGCAGTTCCATGTGCCCCAAATCAACTCGAGATGAGGCCCGATTCCACTGCATTGACTCCAGAGCCATTCCCCGTTCCCCATTCAACACGACCGGTGGCTCGACTTCCTTCAGGCAACTCAAGAGATGCCCCGAGAACACTGTACCAAGTCTAGAGGAACACCAACTTCAGCACTGCAACTCGAGGAATGCTCCGCGTACCCCAAATCGTCTCGAGATGAGAGCTGATTCCCTGGCTTAGGCTCAAGACGTATGCAACTTTCCAGAAGCACCTCAGGAGGAGGCTTCTCTCAGCAATAGGTATGTGGGAGGGACCCCGAGGTTGCTGCCTCAAGGGGAATATACATCGAGAAGCCCTAACTTGAAAGGAGGCCGGATTTCCTTACAGTGGCTTGAATACAGGCCCGACTTTCATCTCACAACATGAAGGGATGTCTGAATCCCCTGTGGAGACCTTAGAGAAAGCCCTAGGTCCCTGCCTCATTTTGACGGAATGCCTCACATCCCGCTGATATCTCGAGAGTCAAGCGGAGTTCATTGCTTCAAAAGGTGACGATGCCTGACTCCTCTTGAATACTGATAGGAATCCCAAAATCCCTGTGGCTACTGGAAAGGGTCCTTGTGTGCCGTGCCTCACCTCGAGAAGCGTCCCTTTTGCCCTGCCAAGCCTCGAAGAGATTGCTGAGGTGTTCCTCTTTACTAGACAGGAGTCCTGACCTCACTGAAGAAACTCGTGTTTTGAAGGGCCATCCCCGCCGTATTTCGAAAACATACCCCAGGTCCCCGCCGCAACTCGAGAAAAACCATGAGACTTCCCCATAGAAGCAAGATGAGGCGCCATTCCCCTGCAGTGCATGCAGAGCTATTCCGTGCTCCCGTTCAAACAAGTCAGGAGCTTCGACTTGCTTAATGGTTCTCGAGACAGTCCCCAAGAACACTGTCACCAGTCTAGACGGACCCTGAGGTCACCCGAGCAACGCAAAGTAGCTCCTTGTGCCCCAATTCAACTCGAGATGAGGCCCGATTCCCCTGCATTGACTCCAGAGCCATTCCCCGTTCCCCATTCAACACGACCGGTGGCTCGACTTCCTTCAGGCCACTCAAGAGATGCCCCGAGAACACTGTCCCAAGTCTAGAGGAACACAAACTTCACCACAGCAACTCGAGGAATGCTCCGTGTACCCCAAATCGTCTCGAGATGAGAGCTGATTCCCTGGCTTAGGCTCAAGACGTATGCCAACTTTCCAGAAGCACCTCAGGAGGAGGCTTCTCTCAGCAATAGGTATGTGGGAGGGACCCCGAGTTTGCTGCCTCAAGGGGAATATACAGCGAGAAGCCCTAACTTGAAAGGAGGCCGGATTTCCTTGCAGTGGCTTGAATACAGGCTCGTCTTTCATCTCACAACATGAAGGGATGTCTGAATCCCCTGTGGAGACCTTAGAGAAAGCCCTAGGTCCCTGCCTCATTTTGACGGAATGCCTCACATCCCGCTGACACCTCGAGAGGCACGCGGAGTTCATTGCTTCAAAAGGTGACGATGCCTGACTCCTCTTGAATACTGATAGGAATCCCAAAATCCCTGTGGCTACTGGAAAGGGTCCTTGGGTGCCCTGCCTCACATCGAGAAGCGTCCCTTTTGCCCTGACAAGCCTTGAAGAGATTCCTGAGGTGTCCCTCGTTACTAGACAGGAGTCCTGACGTCACTGAAGAGACTCGTGTTTTGAAGGGCCATCCCCGCCGTAAGTCGAGAACATAAACCCAGGTCCCCGCCGCAACTGGAGAAAACCATGAGACTTCCCCATAGAAGCAAGATGAGGCCCCATTCCCCTGCAGTGCATGCAGAGATATTCTGTGATCCCGTTCAAACAACTCAGGAGCTTCGACTTGCTTAATGGTTCTCGAGACAGTCCGCAAGAACACTGTCACCAATCTAGACGGACCCTGAGGTCACCCCAGCAACGCAAAGCAGCTCCATGTGCCCCAAATCAACTCGAGATGAGGCCCGATTCCCCTGCATTGACTCCAGAGCCATTCCCCGTTCCCCATTCAACACGACCGGTGGCTCGACTTCCTTCAGGCAACTCAAGAGATGACCCGAGAACACTGTCCCAAGTCTAGAGGAACACCAACTTCAGCACTGCAACTCGAGGAATGCTCCGCGTACCCCAAATCGTCTCGAGATGAGAGCTGATTCCCTGGCTTAGGCTCAAGACGTATGCAACTTTCCAGAAGCACCTCAGGAGGAGGCTTCTCTCAGCAATAGGTATGTGGGAGGGACCCCGAGGTTGCTGCCTCAAGGGGAATATACAGCGAGAAGCCCTAACTTGAAAGGAGGCCGGATTTCCTTACAGTGGCTTGAATACAGGCCCGACTTTCATCTCACAACATGAAGGGATGTCTGAATCCCCTGTGGAGACCTTAGAGAAAGCCCTAGGTCCCTGCTCATTTTGACGGAATGCCTCATATCCCGCTGATATCTCGAGAGTCAAGCGGAGTTCATTGCTTCAAAAGGTGACGATGCCTGACTCCTCTTGAATACTGATAGGAATCCCAAAATCCCTGTGGCTACTGGAAAGGGTCCTTGTGTGCCGTGCCTCACCTCGAGAAGCGTCCCTTTTGCCCTGCCAAGCCTCGAAGAGATTGCTGAGGTGTTCCTCTTTACTAGACAGGAGTCCTGACCTCACTGAAGAAACTCGTGTTTTGAAGGGCCATCCCCGCCGTATTTCGAAAACATACCCCAGGTCCCCGCCGCAACTCGAGAAAAACCATGAGACTTCCCCATAGAAGCAAGATGAGGCGCCATTCCCCTGCAGTGCATGCAGAGCTATTCCGTGCTCCCGTTCAAACAAGTCAGGAGCTTCGACTTGCTTAATGGTTCTCGAGACAGTCCCCAAGAACACTGTCACCAGTCTAGACGGACCCTGAGGTCACCCCAGCAACGCAAAGTAGCTCCTTGTGCCCCAATTCAACTCGAGATGAGGCCCGATTCCCCTGCATTGACTCCAGAGCCATTCCCCGTTCCCCATTCAACACGACCGGTGGCTCGACTTCCTTCAGGCCACTCAAGAGATGCCCCGAGAACACTGTCCCAAGTCTAGAGGAACACCAATTTCAGCACAGCAACTCGAGGAATGCTCCGTGTACCCCAAATCGTCTCGAGATGAGAGCTGATTCCCTGGCTTAGGCTCAAGACGTATGCCAACTTTCCAGAAGCACCTCAGGAGGAGGCTTCTCTCAGCAATAGGTATGTGGGAGGGACCCCGAGTTTGCTGCCTCAAGGGGAATATACAGCGAGAAGCCCTAACTTGAAAGGAGGCCGGATTTCCTTGCAGTGGCTTGAATACAGGCTCGTCTTTCATCTCACAACATGAAGGGATGTCTGAATCCCCTGTGGAGACCTTAGAGAAAGCCCTAGGTCCCTGCCTCATTTTGACGGAATGCCTCACATCCCGCTGACACCTCGAGAGGCACGCGGAGTTCATTGCTTCAAAAGGTGACGATGCCTGACTCCTCTTGAATACTGATAGGAATCCCAAAATCCCTGTGGCTACTGGAAAGGGTCCTTGGGTGCCCTGCCTCACATCGAGAAGCGTCCCTTTTGCCCTGACAAGCCTTGAAGAGATTCCTGAGGTGTCCCTCGTTACTAGACAGGAGTCCTGACGTCACTGAAGAGACTCGTGTTTTGAAGGGCCATCCCCGCCGTAAGTCGAGAACATACCCCAAGTCCCCACCCCAACTCGAGAAAAACCATGAGACTTCCCCATAGAAGCGAGATGAGGCCCCATTCCCCTGCAGTGCATGCAGAGCTATTCTGTGATCCCGTTCAAACAAGTCAGGAGTTTCGGCTTACTTAATGGTTCTCGAGACAGTCCCCAAGAACACTGTCACCAGTCTAGACGGACCCTGAGGTCACCCCAGCAGCGCAAAGCAGCTCCATGTGCCCCAAATCAACTCAAGATGAGGCCCGATTCCCCTGCATTGACTCCAGAGCCATTCCCCGTTCCCCATTCAACACGATCGGTGGCTCGACTTCCTTCAGGCAACTCCAGAGATGCCCCGAGAACACTGTCCCAAGTCTAGAGGAAAACCAACTTCACCACAGTAACTCGAGGTATGCTCCATGTACCCCAAATCGTCTCGAGATGAGAGCTGATTCCCTGGCTTAGGCTCAAGACGTATGCCAACTTTCCAGAAGCACCTCAGGAGGAGGCTTCTCTCAGCAATAGGTATGTGGGAGGGACCCCGAAATTGCTGCCTCAAGGGGAATATACAGCGAGAAGCCTTAACTTGAAAGGAGGCCAGATTTCCTTGCAGTGACTTGAATACAGGCTCGTCTTTCATCTCACAACATGAAGGGATGTCTGAATCCCCTGTGGAGACCTTAGAGAAAGCCCTAGTTTCCTGCCTCATTTAGACGGGATGCCTCACATCCCGCTGACACCTCGATAGACAGGCGGAGTTCATTGCTTCAAAAGGTGACGATGCCTGACTCCTCTTGAATACTGATAGGAATCCCAAAATCCCTGTGGCTACTGGAAAGGGTCCTTGGGTGCCTTGCCTCACCTCGAGAAGCGTCCCTTTTGCCCTGCCAAGCCTCGAAGAGATTTTTGAGGTGTCCCTCATTACTAGACAGGAATCCTGACGTCACTGAAGAAACTCGTGTTTTGAAGGGCCATCCCCGCCGTAAGTCGAGAACATACCCCAGGTCCCCGCCGCAACTGGAGAAAACCATGAGACTTCCCCATAGAAGCAAGATGAGGCGCCATTCCCCTGCAGTGCATGCAGAGCTAGTCCGTGCTCCCGTTCAAACAAGTCAGGAGCTTCGACTTGCTTAATGGTTCTCGAGACAGTCCCCAAGAACACTGTCACCAGTCTAGACGGACCCTGAGGTCACCCCAGCAACGCAAAGTAGCTCCATGTGCCCCAATTTAACTCGAGATGAGGCCCGATTCCCCTGCATTGACTCCAGAGCCATTCCCCGTTCCCCATTCAACACGACCGGTGGCTCGACTTCCTTCAGGCAACTCAAGAGATGCCCCGAGAACACTGTCCCAAGTCTAGAGGAACACCAACTTCAGCACAGCAACTCGAGGAATGCTCCGTGTACCCCAAATCGTCTCGAGATGAGAGCTGATTCCCTGGCTTAGGCTCAAGACGTATGCCAACTTTCCAGAAGCACCTCAGGAGGAGGCTTCTCTCAGCAATAGGTATGTAGGAGGGACCCCGAGTTTGCTGCCTCAAGGGGAATATACAGCGAGAAGCCCTAACTTGAAAGGAGGCCGGATTTCCTTGCAGTGGCTTGAATACAGGCTCGTCTTTCATCTCACAACATGAAGGGATGTCTGAATCCCCTGTGGAGACCTTAGAGAAAGCCCTATGTCCCTGCCTCATTTTGACGGAATGCCTCACATCCCGCTGACAGCTCGAGAGGCACGCGCATTTCATTGCTTCAAAAGGTGACGATGACTGACTCCTCTTGAATACTGATAGGAATCCCAAAATCCCTGTGGCTACTGGAAAGGGTCCTTGGGTGCCCTGCCTCACCTCGAGAAGCGTCCCTTTTGCCCTGCCAAGCCTCGAAGAGATTCCTGAAGTGTCCCTCGTTACTAGACAGGAGTCCTGACGTCACTGAAGAGACTCGTGTTTTGAAGGGCCATCCCGGCCGTAAGTCGAGAACATGCCCCAAGTCCCCGCCGCAACTCGAGAAAAACCATGAGACTTCCCCATAGAAGCGAGATGGGGCCCCATTCCCCTGCAGTGCATGCAGAGCTATTCTGTGATCCCGTTCAAACAAGTCAGGAGTTTCGGCTTACTTAATGGTTCTCGAGACAGTCCCCAAGAACACTGTCACCAGTCTAGACGGACCCTGAGGTCACCCCAGCAACGCAAAGCAGCTCCATGTGCCCCAAATCAACTCGAGATGAGGCCCGATTCCCCTGCATTGACTCCAGAGCCATTCCCCGTTCCCCATTCAACACGACCGGTGGCTCGACTTCCTTCAGGCAACTCCAGAGATGACCCGAGAACACTGTCCCAAGTCTAGAGGAACACCAACTTCAGAACAGCAACTCGAGGAATGCTCCGTGTACCCCAAATCGTCTCGAGATGAGAGCTGATTCCCTGGCTTAGGCTCAAGACGTATGCCAACTTTCCAGAAGCACCTCAGGAGGAGACTTCTCTCAGCAATAGGTATGTGGGAGGGACCCCGAGTTTGCTGCCTCAAGGGGAATATACAGCGAGAAGCCCTAACTTGAAAGGAGGCCGGATTTCCTTGCAGTGGCTTGAATACAGGCCCGTCTTTCATCTCACAACAAGAAGGGATGTCTGAATCCCCTGTGGAGACCTTAGAGAAAGCCCTAGGTCCCTGCCTCATTTTGACGGAATGCCTCACATCCCGCTGACTTCTCGAGAGGCAGGCGGAGTTCATTGCTTCAAAAGGTGACGATGCCTGACTCCTCTTGAATACTGATAGGAATCCCAAAATCCCTGTGGCTACTGGAAAGGGTCCTTGTGTGCCGTGCCTCACCTCGAGAAGCGTCCCTTTTGCCCTGCCAAGCCTCGAAGAGATTCCTGAGGTGTTCCTCTTTACTAGACAGGAGTCCTGACCTCACTGAAGAAACTCGTGTTTTGAAGGGCCATCCCCGCCGTATTTCAAAAACATACCCCAGGTCCCCGCCGCAACTCGAGAAAAACCATGAGACTTCCCCATAGAAGCAAGATGAGGCGCCATTCCCCTGCAGTGCATGCAGAGCTATTCCGTGCTTCCGTTCAAACAAGTCAGGAGCTTCAACTTGCTTAATGGTTCTCGAGACAGTCCCCAAGAACACTGTCACCAGTCTAGACAGACCCTGAGGTCACCCCAGCAACGCAAAGTAGCTCCATGTGCCCCAATTCAACTCGAGATGAGGCCCGATTCCCCTGCATTGACTCCAGAGCCATTCCCCGTTCCCCATTCAACACGACCGTTGGCTCGACTTCCTTCAGGCAACTCCAGAGATGCCCCGAGAACACTGTCACAAGTCTAGAGGAACACCAACTTCAGCACAGCAACTCGAGGAATGCTCCGTGTACCCCAAATCGTCTCGAGATGAGAGCTGATTCCCTGGCTTAGGCTCAAGACGTATGCCAACTTTCCAGAAGCACCTCAGGAGGAGGCTTCTCTCAGCAATAGGTATGTGGGAGGGACCCCGAGTTTGCTGCCTCAAGGGGAATATACAGCGAGAAGCCCTAACTTGAAAGGAGGCCGGATTTCCTTGCAGTGGCTTGAATACAGGCTCGTCTTTCATCTCACAACATGAAGGGATGTCTGAATCCCCTGTGGAAACCTTAGAGAAAGCCCTAGATTCCTGCCTCATTTTGACGGAATGCCTCACATCCCGCTGACATCTCGAGAGGCACGCGGAGTCCATTGCTTCAAAAGGTGACGAGGCCTGACTCCTCTTGAATACTGATAGGAATCCCAAAATCCCTGTGGCTACTGGAAAGGGTCCTTGGGTGCCTTGCCTCACCTCGAGAAGCGTCCCTTTTGCCCTGCCAAGCCTCGAAGAGATTCTTGAGGTGTCCCTCGTTACTAGACAGGAATCCTGACGTCACTGAAGAAACTCGTGTTTTGAAGGGCCATCCCCGCCGTAAGTGGAGAACATACCCCAGGTCCCCGCCGCAACTGGAGAAAAACCATGAGACTTCCCCATAGAAGCAAGATGAGGCCCCATTCCCCTGCAGTGCATGCAGAGCTATTCTGTGATCCCGTTCAAACAACTCAGGAGCTTCGACTTGCTTAATGGTTCTCGAGACAGTCCCCATGAACACCGTCACCAGTCTAGCGGACCCTGAGGTCACCCCAGCAACGCAAAGCAGCTCCATGTGCCCCAAATCAACTCGAGATGAGGCCCGATTCCATTGCATTGACTCAAGAGCCATTCCCCGTTCCCCATTCAACACGACCGGTGGCTCGACTTCCTTCAGGCAACTCCAGAGATGCCTTGAGAACACTGTCCCAAGTCTAGAGGAACACCAACTTCAGCACAGCAACTCGAGGAATGCTCCGTGTACCCCAAATCGTGTCGAGATGAGAGCTGATTCCCTGGCTTAGGCTCAATACGTATGCAACTTTCCAGAAGCACCTCAGGAGGCAGCTTCTCTCAGCCATAGGTATGTGGGAGGGACCCCGAGTTTGCTGCCTTAAGGGGAATATACAGCGAGAAGCCCTAACTTGAAAGGAGGCCGGATTTCCTTACAGTGTCTTGAGTACAGGCCCGACTTTCATCTCACAACATGAAGGGATGACTGAATCCCCTGTGGAGACCTTAGAGAAAGCCCTAGGTCCCTGCCTCATTTTGACGGAATGCCTCACATCCCGCTGACATCTCGAGAGTCAAGCGGAGTTCATTGCTTCAAAAGGTGACGATGCCTGACTCCTCTTGAATACTGATAGGAATCCCAAAATCCCTGTGGCTACTGTAAAGGGTCCTTGGATGCCCTGCCTCACCTCGAGAAGCGTCCCTTTTGCCCTGACAAGCCTCGAAGAGATTCCTGAAGTGTCCCTCGTTACTAGACAGGAATCCTGACGTCACTGAAGAAACTCGTGTTTGGAAGGGCCATGCACAATGTAAGTCGAGAACATACCCCAGGTCCCCGCCGCAACTCGAGAAAAACCATGAGACTTCCCCATAGAAGCGAGATGGGGCCCCATTCCCCTGCAGTGCATGCAGAGCTATTCTGTGATCCCGTTCAAACAAGTCAGGAGCTTCGACTTGCTTAATGGTTCTCGAGACAGTCCCCAAGAACACTGTCACCAGTCTAGGCGGACCCTGAGGTCATCCCAGCAAGGCAAAGCAGCTCCATGTGCCCCAAATCAACCCGAGATGAGGCCCGATTCCCCTGCATTGACTCCAGAGCCATTCCCCGTTAAATATTCAACACGACCGGTGGCTCGACTTCCTTCAGGCAACTCCAGAGATGCCCCGAGAACACTGTCCCAAGTCTAGAGGAACACCACCGTCAGCACAGCAACTCGAGGAATGCTCCGTGTACCCCAAATCATCTCGAGATGAGAGCTGATTCCCTGACTTAGGCTCAAGACGTATGCCAACTTTCCAGAAGCTCCTCAGGATGAGGCTTCTCTCAGCAATATGTATGTGGGAGGGACCCCGAGTTTGCTGCCTCAAGGGGAATATACAGCGAGAAGCCCTAACTTGAAAGGAGCCCGGATTTCCTTGCAGTGGCTTGAATATAGGCCCGTCTTTCATCTCACAACATGAATGGATGTCTGAATCCCCTGTGGAGACCTTAGAGAAAGCCCTAGGTCCCTGCCTCATTTTGACGGAATGCCTCACATCCCGCTGACACCTCGAGAGGCACGCGGAGTTCATTGCTTCAAAAGGTGACGATGCCTGACTCCTCTTGAATACTGATAGGAATCCCAAAATCCCTGTGGCTACTGGAAAGGGTCCTTGGGTGCCCTGCCTCACCTCGAGAAGCGTCCCTTTTGCCCTGCCAAGCCTCGAAGAGATTCCTGAGGTATTCCTCTTTACTAGACAGGAGTCCTGACCTCACTGAAGAAACTCGTGTTTTGAAGGGCCATCCCCGCCGTATTTCGAAAATATACCCCAGGTCCCCGCCGAAACTCGAGAAAAACCATGAGACTTCCCCATAGAAGCAAGATGAGGCGCCATTCCCCTGCAGTGCATGCAGAGCTATTCCATGTTCCCGTTCAAACAAGTCAGGAGCTTCGACTTGCTTAATGGTTCTCGAAACAGTCCCCAAGAACACTGTCACCAGTCTAGACGGACCCTGAGGTCACCCCAGCAACGCAAAGTAGCTCCATGTGCCCCAATTCAACTCGAGATGAGGCCCGATTCCCCTGCATTGACTCCAGAGCCATTCCCCGTTCCCCATTCAACACGACCGGCGGCTCGACTTCCTTCAGGCAACTCAAGAGATGCCCCGAGAACACTGTCCCAAGTCTAGAGGAACACCAACTTCAGCACAGCAACTCGAGGAATGCTCCGTGTACCCCAAATCGTCTCGAGATGAGAGCTGATTCCCTGGCTTAGGCTCAAGACGTATGCCAACTTTCCAGAAGCACCTCAGGAGGAGGCTTCTCTCAGCAATAGGTATGTGGGAGGGACCCCGAGTTTGCTGCCTCAAGGGGAATATACAGCGAGAAGCCCTAACTTGATAGGAGGCCAGTGGCTTGAATACAGGCTCGTCTTTCATCTCACAACATGAAGGGATGTCTGAATCCCCTGTGGAGACCTTAGAGAACGCCCTATGTCCCTGCCTCATTTTGACGGAATGCCTCACATTCCGCTGACAGCTCGAGAGGCACGCGCATTTCATTGCTTCAAAAGGTGACGATGACTGACTCCTCTTGAATACTGATAGGAATCCCAAAATCCCTGTGGCTACTGGAAAGGGTCCTTGGGTGCCCTGCCTCACCTCGAGAAGCGTCCCTTTTGCCCTGCCAAGCCTCGAAGAGATTCCTGAAGTGTCCCTCGTTACTAGACAGGAGTCCTGACGTCACTGAAGAGACTCGTGTTTTGAAGGGCCATCCCCGCCGTAAGTCGAGAACATACCCCAGGTCCCCGCCGCAATTCGAGAAAAACCATGAGACTTCCCCCTAGAGGCGAGATGAGGCCCCATTTCCCTGTAGTGCATGCAGAGCTATTCCTTGATCTCATTCAAACAAGTCAGGAGCTTCGACTTGCTTAATGGATCTCGACACAGTCCCCAAGAACACTGTCACCAGTCTAGACAGACCCTGAGGTCAGCCCAGCAACGCAAAGCAGCTCCATGTGCCCCAAATCAACTCGAGATGAGGCCCGATTCCCCTGCATTGACTCCAGAGCCATTCCCCGTTCCCCATTCAACACGACCGGTGGCTCGACTTCCTTCAGGCAACTCCAGAGATGCCCCGAGAACACTGTCCCAAGTCTAGAAGAACACCACCATCAGTACGGCAACTCGAGGAATGCTCCCTGTACCGCAAATCGTCTCCAGATGAGAGCTGATTCCCTGGCTTAGGCTCAAGACTTATGCCAACTTTCCAGAAGCACCTCAGGAGGTGGCTTCTCTCAGCAATATGTATGTGGGAGGGACCCCGAGTTTGCTGCCTCAAGGGGAATATACAGCGAGAAGCCCTAACTTGAAAGGAGGCCGGATTTCCTTGCAGTGGCTTGAATACAGGCCCGTCTTTCATCTCACAACATGAAGGGATGTCTGAATCCCCTGTGGAGACCTTAGAGAAAGCCCTAGGTCCCTGCCTCATTTTGACGGAATGCCTCACATCCCGCTGACACCTCGAGAGGCACGCGGAGTTCATTGCTTCAAAAGGTGACGATGCCTGACTCCTCTTGAATACTGATAGGAATCCCAAAATCCCTGTGGCTACTGGAAAGGGTCCTTGGGTGCCCTGCCTCACCTCGAGAAGCGTTCCTTTTGCCCTGCCAAGCCTCGAAGAGATTCCTGAGGTGTCCCTCGTTACTAGACAGGAGTCCTGACGTCACTGAAGAAACTCGTGTTTTGAAGGGCCATCCCCGCCGTATTTCGAAAACATACCCCAGGTCCCTGCCGCAACTCGAGAAAAACCATGAGACTTCCCCATAGAAGCAAGATGAGGCGCTATTCCCCTGCATTGCATGGAGAGCTACTCCGTGCTCCCATTCAAACAAGTCAGGAGCTTCGACTTGCTTAATGGTTCTCGAGACAGTCCCCAAGAACACTGTCACCAGTCTAGACGGACCCTGAGGTCACCCCAGCCAAGCAAAGTAGCTCCATGTGCCCCAATTCAACTCGAGATGAGGCCCGATTCCCCTGCATTGACTCCAGAGCCATTCCCCGTTCCCCATTCAACACGACCGGTGGCTCGACTTCCTTCAGGCAACTCCAGAGATGCCACGAGAACACTGACCCAAGTCTAGAGGAAAACCAATTTCAGCACAGCAACTCGAGGAATGCTCCATGTACCCCAAATCGTCTCGAGATGAGAGCTGATTCCGTGGCTTAGGCTCAAGACGTATGCCAACTTTCCAGAAGCACCTCAGGAGGAGGCTTCTCTCAGCAATAGGTATGTGGGAGGGACCCCGAGATTGCTGCCTCAAGGGAATATACAGCGAGAAGCCCTAACTTGAAAGGAGGCCGGATTTCCTTGCAGTGGCTTGAATACAGGCTCGTCTTTCATCTCACAACATGAAGGGATGTCTGAATCCCCTGTGGAGACCTTAGAGAAAGCCCTAGTTTCCTGCCTCATTTAGACGGGATGCCTCACATCCCGCTGACACCTCGATAGGCACGCGGAGTTCATTGCTTCAAAAGGTGACGATGCCTGACTCCTCTTGAATACTGATAGGAATCCCAAAATCCCTGTGGCTACTGGAAAGGGTCCTTGGGTGCCTTGCCTCACCTCGAGAAGCGTCCCTTTTGCCCTGCCAAGCCTCGAAGAGATTCTTGAGGTGTCCCTCGTTACTAGACAGGAATCCTGACGTCACTGAAGAAACTCGTGTTTTGAAGGGCCATCCCCGCCGTATGTCGAGAAGATACCCCAGGTCCCCGCCGCAACTGGAGAAAACCATGAGACTTCCCCATAGAAGCAAGATGAGGCGCCATTCCCCTGCAGTGCATGCAGAGCTATTCTGTGATCCCGTTCAAACAACTCAGGAGCTTCGACTTGCTTAATGGTTCTCGAGACAGTCCGCAAGAACACTGTCACCAATCTAGACGGACCCTGAGGTCAACCCAGCAAAGCAAAGCAGCTCCATGTGCCCCAAATCAACTCGAGATGAGGCCCGATTCCCCTACATTGACTCCAGAGCCATTCCCCGTTCCCCATTCAACACGACCGGTGGCTCGACTTCCTTCAGGCACCTCAAGAGATGCCCCGAGAACACTGTCCCAAGTCTAGAGGAACACCAACTTCAGCACAGCAACTCAAGGAATGCTCCGTGTACCCCAAATCGTCTCGAGATGAGAGCTGATTCCCTGGCTTAGGCTCAAGACGTATGCCAACTTTCCAAAAGCACCTCAGGAGGAGGGTTCTCTCAGCAATATGTATGTGGGAGGGACCCCGAGTTTGCTGCCTCAAGGGGAATATACATCGAGAAGCCCTAACTTGAAAGGAGGCCGGATTTCCTTGCAGTGGCTTGAATACAGGCCCGTCTTTCATCTCACAACATGAAGGGATGTCTGAATCCCCTGTGGAGACCTTAGAGAAAGCCCTAGGTCCCTGCCTCATTTTGACGGAATGCCTCACATCCCGCTGACACCTCGAGAGGCACGCGGAGTTCATTGTTTCAAAAGGTGACGATGCCTGACTCCTCTTGAATACTGATAGGAATCCCAAAATCCCTGTGGCTACTGGAAAGGGTCCTTGGATGCCCTGCCTCACCTCGAGAAGCGTCCCTTTTGCCCTGACAAGCCTCGAAGAGATTCCTGAAGTGTCCCTCGTTACTAGACAGGAGTCCTGACGTCACTGAAGAAACTCGTGTTTTGAAGGGCCATGCCCACTGTAAGTCGAGAACATACCCCAAGTCCCCGCCGCAACTCGAGAAAAACCATGAGACTTCCCCCTAGAGGCGAGATGAGGCTCCATTCCCCTGCAGTGCATGCAGAGCTATTCCTTGATCCCGTTCAAACTAGTCAAGAGCTTCGACTTGCTTAATGGTTCTCGAGACAGTCCCCAAGAACACTGTCACCAGTCTAGACGGACCCTGAGGTCATGCCAGCAACGCAAAGCAGCTCCATGTGCCCCAAATCAACTCGAGATGAGGCCCGATTCCCCTGCATTGACTCCAGAGCCATTCCCCGTTCCCCATTCAACACGACCGGTGGCTCGACTTCCTTCAGGCAACTCCAGAGATGCCCCGAGAACACTGTCCCAAGTCCAGAGGAACACCACCTTCAGCACAGCAACTCGAGGAATGCTCCGTGTACCCCAAATCGTCTCGAGATGAGAGCTGATTCCCTGGCTTAGGCTCAAGACGTATGCCAACTTTCCAGAAGCACCTCAGGAGGAGGCTTCTCTCAGCAATAGGTATGTGGGAGGGACCCCGAGATTGCTGCCTCAAGGGGAATATACAGCGAGAAGCCCTAACTTGAAAGGAGGCTGGATTTCCTTGCAGTGGCTTGAATACAGGCCCGTCTTTCATCTCACAACATGAAGGGATGTCTGAATCCCCTGTGGAGACCTTAGAGAAAGCCCTAGGTCCCTGCCTCATTTTGACGGAATGCCTCACATCCCGCTGACACCTCGAGAGGCACGCGGAGTTCATTGCTTCAAAAGGTGACGATGCCTGACTCCTCTTGAATACTGATAGGAATCCCAAAATCCCTGTGGCTACTGGAAAGGGTCCTTGGGTGCCTTGCCTCACCTCGAGAAGCGTCCCTTTTGCCCTGCCAAGCCTCGAAGAGATTCTTGAGGTGTCCCTCGTTACTAGACAGGAATCCTGACGTCACTGAAGAAACTCGTGTTTTGAAGGGCCATCCCCGCCGTATGTCGAGAAGATACCCCAGGTCCCCGCCGCAACTGGAGAAAACCATGAGACTTCCCCATAGAAGCAAGATGAGGCGCCATTCCCCTGCAGTGCATGCAGAGCTATTCTGTGATCCCGTTCAAACAACTCAGGAGGTTCGACTTGCTTAATGGTTCTCCAGACAGTCCCCAAGAACACTGTCACCAGTCTAGACGGACCCTGAGGTCACCCCAGCAACGCAAAGCAGTTCCATGTGCCCCAAATCAATTCGAAATGAGGCCTGATTCCCCTGCACTGACTCCAGAGCCATTCCTCGTTCCCCATTCAACACGACCGGTGGCTCGACTTCTTTCAGGCAACTCCAGAGATGCCCCGAGAACACTGTCCCAAGTCTAGAGGAACACCAACTTCAGCACAGCAACTCGAGGAATGCTCCGTGTACCCCAAATCGTCTCGAGATGAGAGCTGATTCCCTGGCTTAGGCTCAAGACGTATGCCAACTTTCCAGAAGCACCTCAGGAGGAGGCTTCTCTCAGCAATAGGTATGTGGGAGGGACCCCGAGTTTGCTGCCTCAAGGGGAATATACAGCGAGAAGCCCTAACTTGAAAGGAGGCCGGGTTTCCTTGCAGTGGCTTAAATACAGGCCCGTCTTTCATCTCACAACATGAAGGGAGGTCTGAATCCCCTGTGGAGACCTTAGAGAAAGCCCTAGGTCCCTGCCTTATTTTGACGGAATGCCTCACATCCCGCTGACACCTCGAGAGGCACGCGGAATTCATTGCTTCAAAAGGTGACGATGAGTGACTCCTCTTGAATACTGATAGGAATCCCAAAATCCCTGTGGCTACTGGAAAGGGTTCTTGGGTGCCCTGCCTCACCTCGAGAAGCGTCCCTTTTGCCCTGCCAAGCCTCGAAGAGATTCCTGAGGTGTCCCTCGTTACTAGACAGGAGTCCTGACGTCACTGAAGAAACTCGTGTTTTGAAGGGCCAAGCCGCCATAAGTCGAGAACATACCCCAGGTCCCTGCAGCAACTCGAGAAAAACCATGAGACTTCCCCCTAGAGGCGAGATGAGGCCCCATTTCCCTGTAGTGCATGCAGAGCTATTCCTTGATCTCATTCAAACAAGTCAGGAGCTTCGACTTGCTTAATGGATTTCGACACAGTCCCCAAGAACACTGTCACCAGTCTAGACAGACCCTGAGGTCAGCCCAGCAATGCAAAGCAGCTCCATGTGCCCCAAATCAACTCGAGATGAGGCCCGATTCCCCTGCACTGACTCCAGAGCCATTCCTCGTTCCCCATTCAACACGACCGGTGGCTCGACTTCTTTCAGGCAACTCCAGAGATGCCCCGAGAACACTGTCCCAAGTCTAGAGGAACACCAACTTCAGCACAGCAACTCGAGGAATGCTCCGTGTAACCCAAATCGTCTCGAGATGAGAGCTGATTCCCTGGCTTAGGCTCAAGACGTATGCCAACTTTCCAGAAGCACCTCAGGAGGAGGCTTCTCTCAGCAATAGGTATGTGGGAGGGACCCCGAGTTTGCTGCCTCAAGGGGAATATACAGCGAGAAGCCCTAACTTGAAAGGAGGCCGGGTTTCCTTGCAGTGGCTTAAATACAGGCCCGTCTTTCATCTCACAACATGAAGGGAGGTCTGAATCCCCTGTGGAGACCTTAGAGAAAGCCCTAGGACCCTGCCTCATTTTGACGGAATGCCTCACATCCCGCTGACTCCTCGAGAGGCACGCGGAATTCATTGCTTCAAAAGGTGACGATGAGTGACTCCTCTTGAATACTGATAGGAATCCCAAAATCCCTGTGGCTACTGGAAAGGGTTCTTGGGTGCCCTGCCTCACCTCGAGAAGCGTCCCTTTTGCCCTGCCAAGCCTCGAAGAGATTCCTGATGTGTCCCTCGTTACTAGACAGGAGTCCTGACGTCACTGAAGAAACTCGTGTTTTGAAGGGCCAAGCCGCCATAAGTCGAGAACATACCCCAAGTCCCTGCAGCAACTCGAGAAAAACCATGAGACTTCCCCCTAGAGGCGAGATGAGGCCCCATTTCCCTGTAGTGCATGCAGAGCTATTCCTTGATCTCATTCAAACAAGTCAGGAACTTCGACTTGCTTAATGGATTTCGACACAGTCCCCAAGAACACTGTCACCAGTCTAGACAGACCCTGAGGTCAGCCCAGCAATGCAAAGCAGCTCCATGTGCCCCAAATCAACTCGAGATGAGGCCCGATTCCCCTGCATTGACTCCAGAGCCATTCCCCGTTCCCCATTCAACACGACCGGTGGCTCGACTTCCTTCAGGCAACTCCAGAGATGCCCCGAGAACACTGTCCCAAGTCTAGAAGAACACCACCATCAGTACAGCAACTCGAGGAATGCTCCCTGTACCGCAAATCGTCTCCAGATGAGAGCTGATTCCCTGGCTTAGGCTCAAGACGTATGCCAACTTTCCAGAAGCACCTCAGGAGGTGGCTTCTCTCAGCAATATGTATGTGGGAGGGACCCCGAGTTTGCTGCCTCAAGGGGAATATACAGCGAGAAGCCCTAACTTGAAAGGAGGCCGGATTTCCTTGCAGTGGCTTGAATACAGGCCCGTCTTTCATCTCACAACATGAAGGGATGTCTGAATCCCCTGTGGAGACCTTAGAGAAAGCCCTAGGTCCCTGCCTCATTTTGACGGAATGCCTCACATCCCGCTGACACCTCGAGAGGCACGCGGAGTTCATTGCTTCAAAAGGTGACGATGCCTGACTCCTCTTGAATACTGATAGGAATCCCAAAATCCCTGTGGCTACTGGAAAGGGTCCTTGGGTGCCCTGCCTCACCTCGAGAAGCGTTCCTTTTGCCCTGCCAAGCCTCGAAGAGATTCCTGAGGTGTCCCTCGTTACTAGACAGGAGTCCTGACGTCACTGAAGAGACTCGTGTTTTGAAGGGCCATCCCCACCGTATTTCGAAAACATACCCCAGGTCCCTGCCGCAACTCGAGAAAAACCATGAGACTTCCCCATAGAAGCAAGATGAGGCGCTATTCCACTGCATTGCATGGAGAGCTACTCCGTGCTCCCATTCAAACAAGTCAGGAGCTTCGACTTGCTTAATGGTTCTCGAGACAGTCCCCAAGAACACTGTCACCAGTCTAGACGGACCCTGAGGTCACCCCAGCAAAGCAAAGTAGCTCCATGTGCCCCAATTCAACTCGAGATGAGGCCCGATTCCCCTGCATTGACTCCAGAGCCATTCCCCGTTCCCCATTCAACACGACCGGTGGCTCGACTTCCTTCAGGCAACTCCAGAGATGCCTCGAGAACACTGACCCAAGTCTAGAGGAAAACCAATTTCAGCACAGCAACTCGAGGAATGCTCCATGTACCCCAAATCGTCTCGAGATGAGAGCTGATTCCATGGCTTAGGCTCAAGACGTATGCCAATTTTCCAGAAGCACCTCAGGAGGAGGCTTCTCTCAGCAATAGGTATGTGGGAGGGACCCCGAGATTGTTGCCTCAAGGGAATATACAGCGAGAAGCCCTAACTTGAAAGGAGGCCGGATTTCCTTGCAGTGGCTTGAATACAGGCTCGTCTTTCATCTCACAACATGAAGGGATGTCTGAATCCCCTGTGGAGACCTTAGAGAAAGCCCTAGTTTCCTGCCTCATTTAGACGGGATGCCTCACATCCCGCTGACACCTCGATAGGCACGCGGAGTTCATTGCTTCAAAAGGTGACGATGCCTGACTCCTCTTGAATACTGATAGGAATCCCAAAATCCCTGTGGCTACTGGAAAGGGTCCTTGGGTGCCTTGCCTCACCTCGAGAAGCGTCCCTTTTGCCCTGCCAAGCCTCGAAGAGATTCTTGAGGTGTCCCTCGTTACTAGACAGGAATCCTGACGTCACTGAAGAAACTCGTGTTTTGAAGGGCCATCCCCGCCGTATGTCGAGAAGATACCCCAGGTCCCCGCCGCAACTGGAGAAAACCATGAGACTTCCCCATAGAAGCAAGATGAGGCGCCATTCCCCTGCAGTGCATGCAGAGCTATTCTGTGATCCCGTTCAAACAACTCAGGAGCTTCGACTTGCTTAATGGTTCTCGAGACAGTCCGCAAGAACACTGTCACCAATCTAGACGGACCCTGAGGTCAACCCAGCAAAGCAAAGCAGCTCCATGTGCCCCAAATCAACTCGAGATGAGGCCCGATTCCCCTACATTGACTCCAGAGCCATTCCCCGTTCCCCATTCAACACGACCGGTGGCTCGACTTCCTTCTGGCACCTCAAGAGATGCCCCGAGAACACTGTCCCAAGTCTAGAGGAACACCAACTTCAGCACAGCAACTCAAGGAATGCTCCGTGTACCCCAAATCGTCTCGAGATGAGAGCTGATTCCCTGGCTTAGGCTCAAGACGTATGCCAACTTTCCAAAAGCACCTCAGGAGGAGGGTTCTCTCAGCAATATGTATGTGGGAGGGACCCCGAGTTTGCTGCCTCAAGGGGAATATACATCGAGAAGCCCTAACTTGAAAGGAGGCCGGATTTCCTTGCAGTGGCTTGAATACAGGCCCGTCTTTCATCTCACAACATGAAGGGATGTCTGAATCCCCTGTGGAGACCTTAGAGAAAGCCCTAGGTCCCTGCCTCATTTTGACGGAATGCCTCACATCCCGCTGACACCTCGAGAGGCACGCGGAGTTCATTGTTTCAAAAGGTGACGATGCCTGACTCCTCTTGAATACTGATAGGAATCCCAAAATCCCTGTGGCTACTGGAAAGGGTCCTTGGATGCCCTGCCTCACCTCGAGAAGCGTCCCTTTTGCCCTGACAAGCCTCGAAGAGATTCCTGAAGTGTCCCTCGTTACTAGACAGGAGTCCTGACGTCACTGAAGAAACTCGTGTTTTGAAGGGCCATGCCCACTGTAAGTCGAGAACATACCCCAAGTCCCCGCCGCAACTCGAGAAAAACCATGAGACTTCCCCCTAGAGGCGAGATGAGGCTCCATTCCCCTGCAGTGCATGCAGAGCTATTCCTTGATCCCGTTCAAACTAGTCAAGAGCTTCGACTTGCTTAATGGTTCTCGAGACAGTCCCCAAGAACACTGTCACCAGTCTAGACGGACCCTGAGGTCATGCCAGCAACGCAAAGCAGCTCCATGTGCCCCAAATCAACTCGAGATGAGGCCCGATTCCCCTGCATTGACTCCAGAGCCATTCCCCGTTCCCCATTCAACACGACCGGTGGCTCGACTTCCTTCAGGCAACTCCAGAGATGCCCCGAGAACACTGTCCCAAGTCTAGAGGAACACCAACTTCAGCACAGCAACTCGAGGAATTCTCCGTGTACCCCAAATGGTCTCGAGATGAGAGCTGATTCCCTGGCTTAGGCTCAAGACGTATGCCAACTTTCCAGAAGCACCTCAGGAGGAGGCTTCTCTCAGCAATAGGTATGTGGGAGGGACCCCGAGTTTGCTGCCTCAAGGGGAATATACAGCGAGAAGCCCTAACTTGAAAGGAGGCCGGATTTCCTTGCATTGGCTTGAATACAGGCTCGTCTTTCATCTCACAACATGAAGGGATGTCTGAATCCCCTGTGGAGACCTTAGAGAAAGCCCTAGGTCCCTGCCTCATTTTGACGGAATGCCTCACATCCCGCTGACACCTCGAGAGGCACGCGGAGTTCATTGCTTCAAAAGGTGACGATGCCTGACTCCTCTTGAATACTGATAGGAATCCCAAAATCCTTGTGGCTACTGGAAAGGGTCCTTGGGTGCCCTGCCTCACCTCGAGAAGCGTCCCTTTTGCCCTGCCAAGCCTCGAAGAGATTCCTGAGGTGTCCCTCGTTACTAGACAGGAGTCCTGACGTCACTGAAGAAACTCGTGTTTTGAAGGGCCAAGCCGCCATAAGTCGAGAACATACCCCAGGTCCCTGCCGCAACTCGAGAAAAACCATGAGACTTCCCCCTAGAGGCGAGATGAGGCCCCATTTCCCTGCAGTGCATGCAGAGCTATTCTGTGATCCCATTCAAACAAGTCAGGAGATTCGACTTGCTTAATGGTTCTCGAGACAGTCCCCAAGAACACTGTCACCAGTCTAGGCGGACCCTGAGGTCATCCCAGCAAGGCAAAGCAGCTCCATGTGCCCCAAATCAACTCGAGATGAGGCCCGATTCCCCTGCATTGACTCCAGAGCCATTCCCCGTTCCATATTCAACACGACCGGTGGCTCGACTTCTTTCAGGCAACTCCAGAGATGCCCCGAGAACACTGTCCCAAGTCTAGAGGAACACCAACTTCAGCACAGCAACTCGAGGAATGCTCCGTGTACCCCAAATCGTCTCGAGATGAGAGCTGATTCCCTGGCTTAGGCTCAAGACGTATGCCAACTTTCCAGAAGCACCTCAGGAGGAGGCTTCTCTCAGCAATATGTATGTGGGAGGGACCCCGAGTTTGCTGCCTCAAGGGGAATATACAGCGAGAAGCCCTAACTTGAAAGGAGGCTGGATTTCCTTGCAGTGGCTTAAATACAGGCCCGTCTTTCATCTCACAACATGAAGGGATGTCTGAATCCCCTGTGGAGACCTTAGAGAAAGCCCTAGGTCCCTGCCTCATTTTGACGGAATGCCTCACATCCCGCTGACACCTCGAGAGCCACGCGGAGTTCATTGCTTCAAAAGGTGACAAGGCCTGACTCCTCTTGAATACTGATAGGGATCCCAAAATCCCTGTGGCTACTGGAAAGGGTCTTTGGGTGCCCGGCCTCACCTCGAGAAGCGTCCCTTTTGCCCTGCCAAGCCTCGAAGACATTCCTGAGGTGTCCCTCGTTACTAGACAGGAGTCCTGACGTCACTGAAGAGACTCGTGTTTTGAAGGGCCATCCCCGCCGTAAGTCGAGAACATACCCCAAGTCCCCACCGCAACTCGAGAAAAACCATGAGACTTCCCCATAGAAGCGAGATGGGGTCCCATTCCCCTGCAGTGCATGCAGAGCTATTCTGTGATCCCGTTAAAACAAGTCAGGAGGTTCGACTTGCTTAATGGTTCTCGAGACAGTCCCCAAGAACACTGTCACCAGTCTAGACGGACCCTGAGGTCACCCCAGCAAAGCAAAGTAGCTCCATGTGCCCCAATTCAACTCGAGATGAGGCCCGATTCCCCTGCATTGACTCCAGAGCCATTCCCCGTTCCCCATTCAACACGACCGGTGGCTCGACTTCCTTCAGGCAACTCCAGAGATGCCACGAGAACACTGACCCAAGTCTAGCGGAAAACCAATTTCAGCACAGCAACTCGAGGAATGCTCCATGTACCCCAAATCGTCTCGAGATGAGAGCTGATTCCGTGGCTTAGGCTCAAGACGTATGCCAACTTTCCAGAAGCACCTCAGGAGGAGGCTTCTCTCAGAAATAGGTATGTGGGAGGGACCCCGAGATTGCTGCCTCAAGGGAATATACAGCGAGAAGCCCTAACTTGAAAGGAGGCCGGATTTCCTTGCAGTGGCTTGAATACAGGCTCGTCTTTCATCTCACAACATGAAGGGATGTCTGAATCCCCTGTGGAGACCTTAGAGAAAGCCCTAGGTCCCTGCCTCATTTTGACGGAATTCCTCACATCCCGCTGACACCTCGAGAGGCACGCGGAGTTCATTGCTTCAAAAGGTGACGATGCCTGACTCCTCTTGAATACTGAAAGGAATCCCAAAATCCCTGTGGCTACTGGAAAGTGTCCTTGCGTGCCCTGACTCACCTCGAGAAGCGTCCCTTTTGCCCTGAGAAGCCTCGAAGAGATTCCTGAGGTGTCCCTCGTTACTAGACAGGAGTCCTGACGTCACTGAAGAGACTCGTGTTTTGAAGGGCCATCCCCGCCGTAAGTCGAGAACATGCCTCAAGTCACCGCCGCAACTGGAGAAAAACCATGAGACTTCCCCATAGAAGCAAGATGAGGCCCCATTCCCCTGCAATGCATGCAGAGCTATTCTGTGATCCCGTTCAAACAACTCAGGAGCTTCGACTTGCTTAATGGTCCTCGAGACAGTCCCCAAGAACACTGTCACCAGTCTAGACGGACCCTGAGGTCACCCCAGCAACGCAAAGCAGTTCCATGTGCCCCAAATCAACACGAGATGAGGCCCGATTCCCCTGAATTGACTCCAGAGCCATTCCCCGTTCCCGATTCAACACGACCGGTGGCTCGACTTCCTTCAGGCAACTCCAGAGATGCCCCTAGAACACTGTCCCAAGTCTAGAAAAACACCAACTTCAGCACAGCAACTCGAGGAATGCTACGTGTACCCCAAATCGTCTCGAGATGAGAGCTGATTCCCTGGCTTAGGCTCAAGACGTATGCCAACTTTCCAGAAGCACCTCAGGATGAGGCTTCTCTCAGCAATAGGTATGTGGGAGGGACCCCGAGTTTGCTGCCTCAAGGGGAATATAGAGCGAGAAGGCCTAACTTGAAAGGAGGCCGGATTTCCTTGCAGTGGCTTGAATACAGGCTCGTCTTTCATCTCACAACATGAAGGGATGTCTGAATCCCCTGTGGAGACCTTAGAGAAAGCCCTAGGTCCCTGCCTCATTTTGACGGAATGCCTCAGATCCCGCTGACACCACGAGAGGCACGCGGAGTTCATTGCTTCAAAGGGTGACGATGCCTGACTCCTCTTGAATACTGATAGGAATCCCAAAATCCCTGTGGCTAGTGGAAAGGGTCCTTGGGTGCCCTGCCTCACATCGAGAAGCGTCCCTTTTGCCCGGACAAGCCTCAAAGAGATTCATGAGGTGTCCCTCGTTACTAGACAGGAGTCCTGATGTCACTGAAGAGACTCGTGTTTTGAAGGGCCATCCCCGCCGTAAGTCGAGAACATACCCCAAGTCCCCGCCGCAACTCGAGAAAAACCATGAGACTTCCCCATAGAAGCGAGATGGGGCCCCATTCCCCTGCAGTGCATGCAGAGCTATTCTGTGATCCCGTTAAAACAAGTCAGGAGTTTCGGCTTGCTTAATGGTTCTCGAGACAGTCCCCAAGAACACTGTCACCAGTCTAGGCGGACCCTGAGGTCACCCCAGCAACGCAAAGCAGCTCCATGTGCCCCAAATCAACTCGAGATGAGGCCCGATTCCCCTGCATTGACTCCAGAGCCATTCCCCGTTCCCCATTCAACACGACCGGTGGCTCGACTTCCTTCAGGCAACTCCAGAGATGCCCCGAGAACACTGTCCCAAGTCTAGAGGAACACCAACTTCAGCACTGCAACTCGAGGAATGCTCTGTGTACCCCAAATCGTCTCGAGATGAGAGCTGATTCCGTGGCTTAGGCTCAAGACGTATGCCAACATTCCAGAAGCACCTCAGGAGGAGGCTTCTCTCAGCAATAGGTATGTGGGAGGGACCCCGAGATTGCTGCCTCAAGGGGAATATACAGCGAGAAGCCCTAACTTGAAAGGAGGCCGGATTTCCTTGCAATGGCTTGAATACAGGCTCGTCTTTCATCTCACAACATGAAGGGATGTCTGAATCCCCTGTGGAGACCTTAGAGAAAGCCCTAGTTCCCTGCCTCATTTTGACAGAATGCCTCACATCCCGCTGACACCTCGAGAGGCACGCGGAGTTCATTGCTTCAAAAGGTGACGATGCCTGACTCCTCTTGAATACTGATAGGAATCCCAAAACCCCTGTGGCTACTGGAAAGGGTCCTTGGGTTCCCTGCCTCACTTCGAGAAGCGTCCCATTTGCCCTGACAAGCCTCGAAGAGATTCCTGAGGTGTCCCTCGTTACTAGACAGGAGTCCTGACGTCACTGAAGAGACTCGTGTTTTGAAGGGCCAACCCCGCTTTAAGTCGAGAACATACCCCAAGTCCCCGCCGCAACTCGAGAAAAACCATGAGACTTCCCCATAGAAGCGAGATGGGGCCCCATTCCCCTGCAGTGCATGCAGAGCGATTCTGTGATCCCGTTCAAACAAGTTAGGTGTTTCGGCTTACTTAATGGTTCTCGAGACAGTCCCCAAGAACACTTTCACCAGTCTAGACGGACCCTGAGGTCACCCCAGCAACGCAAAGCAGCTCCATGTGCCCCAAATCAACTCGAGATGAGGCCCGATTCCCCTGCATTGAGTGAAGAGCCATTCCCCGTTCCCCATTCAACAGGACCGGTGGCTCGACTTCCTTCAGGCAACTCCAGAGATGCCCGGAGAACACTGTCCCAAGTCTAGAGGAACACCAACTTCATCACAGGAACTCGAGGAATGCTCCGTGTACCCCAAATCGTCTCGAGATGAGAGCTGATTCCCTGGCTTAGGCTCAAGACGTATGCAACTTTCCAGAAGCACCTCAGGAGGAGGCTTCTCTCAGCAATAGGTATGTGGGAGGGACCCCGAGTTTGCTGCCTCAAGGGGAATATACAGCGAGAAGCCCTAACTTGAAAGGAGGCCGGATTTCCTTGCAGTGGCTTGAATACAGGCCCGTCTTTCATCTCACAACATGAAGGGATGTCTGAATCCCCTGTGGAGACCTTAGAGAAAGCCCTAGGTCCCTGCCTCATTTTGACGGAATGCCTCACATCCCGCTGACACCTCGAGAGGCACGCGGAGTTCATTGCTTCAAAAGGTGACGATGCCTGACTCCTCTTGAATAATGATAGGAATCCCAAAATCCCTGTGGCTCCTGGAAAGGGTCCTTGGGTGCCCTGCCTCACCTCGAGAAGCGTCCCTTTTGCCCTGCCAAGCCTCGAAGAGATTCCTGAGGTGTTCCTCTTTACTAGACAGGAGTCCTGACCTCACTGAAGAAACTCGTGTTTTGAAGGGCCATCCCCGCCGTATTTCGAAAACATACCCCAGGTCCCCGCCGCAACTCGAAAAAAACCATGAGACTTCCCCATAGAAGCAAGATGAGGCGCCATTCCACTGCAGTGCATGCAGAGCTATTCCGTGCTCCCGTTCAAACAAGTCAGGAGCTTCGACTTGCTTAATGGTTCTCGAGACAGTCCCCAAGAACACTGTCACCAGTCTAGACGGACCCTGAGGTCACCCCAGCAAAGCAAAGTAGCTCCATGTGCCCCAATTCAACTCGAGATGAGGCCCGATTCCACTGCATTGACTCCAGAGCCATTCCCCGTTCCCCATTCAACACGACCGGTGGCTCGACTTCCTTCAGGCAACTCCAGAGATGCCACGAGAACACTGACCCAAGTCTAGAGGAAAACCAATTTCAGCACAGCAACTCGAGGAATGCTCCATCTACCCCAAATCGTCTCGAGATGAGAGCTGATTCCGTGGCTTAGGCTCAAGACGTATGCCAACTTTCCAGAAGCACCTCAGGAGGAGGCTTCTCTCAGCAATAGGTATGTGGGAGGGACCCCGAGATTGCTGCCTCAAGGGAATATACAGCGAGAAGCCCTAACTTGAAAGGAGGCCGGATTTCCTTGCAGTGGCTTGAATACAGGCTCGTCTTTCATCTCACAACATGAAGGGATGTCTGAATCCCCTGTGGAGACCTTAGAGAAAGCCCTAGGTCCCTGCCTCATTTTGACGGAATGCCTCACATCCCGCTGACACCTCGAGAGGCACGCGGAGTTCATTGCTTCAAAAGGTGACGATGCCTGACTCCTCTTGAATACTGATAGGAATCTCAAAATTCCTGTGGCTACTGGAAAGTGTCCTTGGGTGCCCTGCCTCACCTCGAGAAGCGTCCCTTTTGCCCTGACAAGACTCGAAGAGATTCCTGAGGTGTCCCTCGTTACTAGACAGGAGTCCTGACGTCACTGAAGAGACTCGTGTTTTGAAGGGCCATCCCCGCCGTAAGTCGAGAACATGCCCCAAGTCCCCGCCGCAACTGGAGAAAAACAATGAGACTTCCCCATAGAAGCAAGATGAGGCCCCATTCCCCTGCAATGCATGCAGAGCTATTCTGTGATCCCGTTCAAACAACTCAGGAGCTTCGACTTGCTTAATGGTCCTCGAGACAGTCCCCAAGAACACTGTCACCAGTCTAGACGGACCCTGAGGTCACCCCAGCAACGCAAAGCAGTTCCATGTGCCCCAAATCAACACGAGATGAGGCCCGATTCCCCTGAATTGACTCCAGAGCCATTCCCCGTTCCCGATTCAACACGACCGGTGGCTCGACTTCCTTCAGGCAACTCCAGAGATGCCCCTAGAACACTGTCCCAAGTCTAGAAAAACACCAACTTCAGCACAGCAACTCGAGGAATGCTACGTGTACCCCAAATCGTCTCGAGATGAGAGCTGATTCCCTGGCTTAGGCTCAAGACGTATGCCAACTTTCCAGAAGCACCTCAGGATGAGGCTTCTCTCAGCAATAGGTATGTGGGAGGGACCCCGAGTTTGCTGCCTCAAGGGGAATATAGAGCGAGAAGGCCTAACTTGAAAGGAGGCCGGATTTCCTGGCAGTGGCTTGAATACAGGCCCGTCTTTCATCTCACAACATGAAGGGATGTCTGAATCCCCTGTGGAGACCTTAGAGAAAGCCCTAGGTCCCTGCCTCATTTTGACGGAATGCCTCAGATCCCGCTGACACCACGAGAGGCACGCGGAGTTCATTGCTTCAAAGGGTGACGATGCCTGACTCCTCTTGAATACTGATAGGAATCCCAAAATCCCTGTGGCTACTGGAAAGGGTCCTTGGGTTCCCTGCCTCACTTCGAGAAGCGTCCCATTTGCCCTGACAAGCCTCGAAGAGATTCCTGAGGTGTCCCTCGTTACTAGACAGGAGTCCTGACGTCACTGAAGAGACTCGTGTTTTGAAGGGCCAACCCCGCTTTAAGTCGAGAACATACCCCAAGTCCCCGCCGCAACTCGAGAAAAACCATGAGACTTCCCCATAGAAGCGAGATGGGGCCCCATTCCCCTGCAGTGCATGCAGAGCGATTCTGTGATCCCGTTCAAACAAGTTAGGTGTTTCGGCTTACTTAATGGTTCTCGAGACAGTCCCCAAGAACACTGTCACCAGTCTAGACGGACCCTGAGGTCACCCCAGCAACGCAAAGCAGCTCCATGTGCCCCAAATCAACTCGAGATGAGGCCCGATTCCCCTGCATTGAGTGAAGAGCCATTCCCCGTTCCCCATTCAACAGGACCGGTGGCTCGACTTCCTTCAGGCAACTCCAGAGATGCCCCGAGAACACTGTCCCAAGTCTAGAGGAACACCAACGTCAGCACAGGAACTCGAGGAATGCTCCGTGTACCCCAAATCGTCTCGAGATGAGAGCTGATTCCCTGGCTTAGGCTCAAGACGTATGCAACTTTCCAGAAGCACCTCAGTAGGAGGCTTCTCTCAGCAATAGGTATGTGGGAGGGACCCCGAGTTTGCTGCCTCAAGGGGAATATACAGCGAGAAGCCCTAACTTGAAAGGAGGCCGGATTTCCTTGCAGTGGCTTGAATACAGGCTCGTCTTTCATCTCACAACATGAAGGGATTTCTGAATCCCCTGTGGAGACCTTAGAGAAAGCCCTAGGTCCCTGCCTCATTTTGACGGAATGCCTCACATCCCGCTAACACCTCGAGAGGCACGGGGAGTTCATTGCTTCAAAAGGTGACGATGCCTGACTCCTCTTGAATACTGATAGGAATCCCAAAATCCCTGTGGCTACTGGAAAGGGTCCTTGGGTGCCCTGCCTCACCTCGAGAAGCGTCCCTTTTGCCCTGACAAGCCTCGAAGAGATTCCTGAGGTGTCCCTCGTTATTAGACAGGAGTCCTGACTTCACTGAAGAGACTCGTGTTTTGAAGGACCATCACCGCCGTAAGTCGAGAACATGCCCCAAGTCCCCGCCGCAACTGGAGAAAAACCATGAGACTTCCCCATAGAAGCAAGATGAGGCCCCATTCCCCTGCAATGCATGCAGAGCTATTCTGTGATCCCGTTCAAACAACTCAGGAGCTTCGACTTGCTTAATGGTCCTCGAGACAGTCCCCAAGAACACTGTCACCAGTCTAGACGGACCCTGAGGTCACCCCAGCAACGCAAAGCAGTTCCATGTGCCCCAAATCAACTCGAGATGAGGCCCGATTCCCCTGAATTGACTCCAGAGCCATTCCCCGTTCCCGATTCAACACGACCGGTGGCTCGACTTCCTTCAGGCAACTCCAGAGATGCCCCGAGAACACTGTCCCAAGTCTAGAAAAACACCAACTTCAGCACAGCAACTCGAGGAATGCTACGTGTACCCCAAATCGTCTCGAGATGAGAGCTGATTCCCTGGCTTAGGCTCAAGGCGTATGCCAACTTTCCAGAAGCACCTCAGGATGAGGCTTCTCTCAGCAATAGGTATGTGGGAGGGACCCCGAGTTTGCTGCCTCAAGGGGAATATAGAGCGAGAAGGCCTAACTTGAAAGGAGGCCGGATTTCCTTGCAGTGGCTTGAATACAGGCTCGTCTTTCATCTCACAACATGAAGGGATGTCTGAATCCCCTGTGGAGACCTTAGAGAAAGCCCTAGGTCCCTGCCTCATTTTGACGGAATGCCTCAGATCCCGCTGACACCACGAGAGGCACGCGGAGTTCATTGCTTCAAAGGGTGACGATGCCTGACTCCTCTTGAATACTGATAGGAATCCCAAAATCCCTGTGGCTACTGGAAAGGGTCCTTGGGTGCCCTGCCTCACATCGAGAAGCGTCCCTTTTGCCCGGACAAGCCTCAAAGAGATTCATGAGGTGTCCCTCGTTACTAGACAGGAGTCCTGACGTCACTGAAGAGACTCGTGTTTTGAAGGGCCATCCCCGCCGTAAGTCGAGAACATACCCCAAGTCCCCGCCGCAACTCGAGAAAAACCATGAGACTTCCCCATAGAAGCGAGATGGGGCCCCATTCCCCTGCAGTGCATGCAGAGCTATTCTGTGATCCCGTTAAAACAAGTCAGGAGTTTCGACTTGCTTAATGGTTCTCGAAACAGTCCCCAAGAACACTGTCACCAGTCTAGACGGACCCTGAGGTCACCCCAGCAACGCAAAGCAGCTCCATGTGCCCCAAATCAACTCGAGATGAGGCCCGATTCCCCTGCATTGACTCCAGAGCCATTCCCCGTTCCCCATTCAACACGACCGGTGGCTCTACTTCCTTCAGGCAACTCCAGAGATGCCCCGAGAACACTGTCCCAAGTCTAGAGGAACACTAACTTCAGTACAGCAACACGAGGAATGCTCCGTGTACCCCAAATCGTCTCGAGATGAGAGCTGATTCCCTGGCTTAGGCTCAAGACGTATGCCAACTTTCCAGAAGCACCTCAGGAGGAGGCTTCTCTCAGCAATAGGTATGTGGGAGGGACCCCGAGTTTGCTGCCTCAAGGGGAATATACAGCGAGAAGCCCTAACTTGAAAGGAGGCCGGATTTCCTTGCAGTGGCTTGAATACAGGCTCGTCTTTCATCTCACAACATGAAGGGATGTCTGAATCCCCTGTGGAGACCTTAGAGAAAGACCTAGGTCCCTGCCTCATTTTGACGGAATGCCTCACATCCCGCTGACACCTCGAGAGGCACGCGGAGTTCATTGCTTCAAAAGGTGACGATGCCTGACTCTTCTTGAATACTGATAGGAATCCCAAAATCCCTGTGGCTACTGGAAAGGGTCCTTGGGTGCCCTGCGTCACCTCGAGAAGCGTCCCTTTTGCCCTGCCAAGCCTCGAAGAGATTCCTGAGGTGTCCCTCGTTACTAGACAGGAGTCCTGACGTCACTGAAGAAACTCGTGTTTTGAAGGGCCATCCCCGCCGTAAGTCGAGAACATACCCCATGTCCACGCCGCAACTCGAGAAAAACCATGAGACTTCCCCATAGAAGCGAGATGAGGCCCCATTCCCCTGCAGTGCATTCAGAGCTATTCTGTGAACCCGTTCAAACAAGTCAGGAGCTTCGACTTGCTTAATGGATCTCGAGACATTCCCCAAGAACACTGTCACCAGCCTAGACGGACCCTGAGGTCACCCCAGCAACGCAAAGCAGCTCCATGTGCCCCAAATCAACTCTTGATGAGGCCCGATTCCCCTGCATTGACTCCAGAGCGATTCCCCGTTCCCCATTCAACACGACCGGTGGCTCGACTTCCTTCAGGCAACTCCAGAGATGCCCCGAGAACACTCTCCCAAGGCTAGAGGAACACAAACTTCAGCACAGGAACTCGAGGAATGCTCCGTGTACCCCAAATCGTCTCGAGATGAGAGCTGATTCCCTGGCTTAGGCTGAAGACGTATGCAACTTTCCAGAAGCACCTCAGTAGGAGGCTTCTCTCAGCAATAGGTATGTGGGAGGGACCCCGAGTTTGCTGCCTCAAGGGGAATATACAGCGAGAAGCCCTAACTTGAAAGGAGGCCGGATTTCCTTGCAGTGGCTTGAATCCCGGCTAGTCTTTCATCTCACAACATGAAGGGATTTCTGAATCCCCTGTGGAGACCTTAGAGAAAGCCCTAGGTCCCTGCCTCATTTTGACGGAATGCCTCACATCCCGCTGACACCTCGAGAGGCACGCGGAGTTCATTGCTTCAAAAGGTGACGATGCCTGCCTCCTCTTGAATACTGATAGGAATCCCAAAATCCCTGTGGCTACTGGAAAGGGTCCTTGGGTGCCCTGCCTCACCTCGAGAAGCGTCCCTTTTGCCCTGACAAGCCTCGAAGAGATTACTGAGGTGTCCCTCGTTATTAGACAGGAGTCCTGACTTCACTGAAGAGACTCGTGTTTTGAAGGACCATCCCCGCCGTAAGTCGAGAACATGCCCCAAGTCCCCGCCGCAACTGGAGAAAAACCATGAGACTTCCCCATAGAAGCAAGATGAGGCCCCATTCCCCTGCAGTGCATGCAGAGCTATTCTGTGATCCCGTTCAAACAAGTCAGGAGCTTCGACTTGCTTAATGGATCTCGAGACAGTCCCCAAGAACACTGTCACCAGTCTAGACGGACCCTGAGGTCACTCAAGCAACGCAAAGCAGTTACATGTGCCCCAAATCAACTCGAGATGAGGCCCGATTCCCCTGCATTGACTCCAGAGCCATTCCCCGTTCCCCATTCAAGACGACCGGTGGCTCGACTTCCTTCAGGCAACTCCAGAGATGCCCCGAGAACACTGTCCCAAGTCTAGAGGAACACCAACTTAAGCACAGCAACTCGAGGAATGCTCCGTGTACCCCAAATCGTCTCGAGATGAGAGCTGATTCCCTGGCTTAGGCTCAAGACGTATGCCAACTTTCCAGAAGCACCTCAGGAGGAGGCTTCTCTCAGCAATAGGTATGTGGGAGGGACCCCGAGTTTGCTACCTCAAGGGGAATAAACAGCGAGAAGCCCTAACTTGAAAGGAGGCCGGATTTCCTTGCAGTGGCTTAAATACAGGCCCGTCTTTCATCTCACTACATGAAGGGATGTCTGAATCCCCTGTGGAGACCTTAGAGAAAGCCCTAGGTCCCTGACTCATTTTGACGGAATGCCTCACATCCCGCTGACACCTCGAGAGGCACGCGGAGTTCATTGCTTCAAAAGGTGACGATGCCGGCCTCCTCTTGAATACTGATAGGAATCCCAAAATCCCTGTGGCTACTGGAAAGGGTCCTTGGGTGCCCTGCCTCACCTCGAGAAGCGTCCCTTTTGCCCTGCCAAGCCTCGAAGAGATTCCTGAGGTGTCCCTCGTTACTAGACAGGAGTCCTGAAGTCACTGAAGAAACTCGTGTTTTGAAGGGTCAACCCGTCGTAAGTCGAGAACATACCCCAGGTCCCCGCCGCAACTCGAGAAAAACCATGAGACTTCCCCCTAGAGGCGAGATGAGGCCCCATTTACCTGCAGTGCATGTAGAGCTATTCCTTGATCCCGTTCAAACAAGTCAGGAGCTTCGACTTGCTTAATGGTTCTCGAGACAGTCCCCAAGAACACTGTCACCAGCCTAGACGGACCCTGAGGTCCCACCAGCAACGCAAAGCAGCTCCATGTGCCCCAAATCAACTCTTGATGAGGCCCGATTCCCCTGCATTGACTCCAGAGCCATTCCCCGTTCCCCATTCAACACGACCGGTGGCTCGACTTCCTTCAGGCAACTCCAGAGATGCCCCGAGAACACTGTCCCAAGGCTAGAGGAACACCAACTTCAGCACAGCAACTCGAGGAATGCTCCGTGTACCCCAAATCGTCTCGAGATGAGAGCTGATTCCCTTGCTTAGGCTCAAGACGTATGCCAACTTTCCAGAAGCACCTCAGGAGGAGGCTTCTCTCAGCAATAGGTATGTGGGAGGGACCCCGAGTTTGCTGCCTCAAGGGGAATATACAGCGAGAAGCCCTAACTTGAAAGGAGGCCGGATTTCCTGCAGTGGCTTAAATACAGGCCCGTCTTTCATCTCACAACATGAAGGGATGTCTGAATCCCCTGTGGAGACCTTAGAGAAAGCCCTAGGTCCCTGCCTTATTTTGACGGAATGCCTCACATCCCGCTGACACCTCGAGAGGCACGCGGAGTTCATTGCTTCAAAAGGTGACGATGCCTGACTCCTCTTGAATACTGATAGGAATCCCAAAATCGCTGTGGCTACTGGAAAGGGTCCTTGGGTGCCCTGCCTCACCTCGACAAGCGTCCCTTTTGCCCTGCCAAGCCTCGAAGAGATTCCTGAGGTGTCCCTCGTTACTAGACAGGAGTCCTGACGTCACTGAAGAAACTCGTGTTTTGAAGGGCCAAGCCGCCGTAAGTCGAGAACATACCCCAGGTCCCCGCAGCAACTCGAGAAAAACCATGAGACTTCGCCCTAGAGGCGAGATGAGGCCCCATTCCCCTGCAGTGCATGCAGAGCTATTCCTTGATCCCGTTCAAACAAGTCAGGAGCTTCGACTTGCTTAATGGTTCTCGAGACAGTCCCCAGGAACACTGTCACCAGTTTAGACGGACCCTGAGGTCACCCCAGCAACGCAAAGCAGCTCCATGTGCCCCAAATCAACTCGAGATGAGGCCTGATTCCCCTGCATTGACTCCAGAGCCATTCCCCGTTCCCCATTCAACACGACCGGTGGCTCGACTTCCTTCAGGCAACTCCAGAGATGCCCCGAGAACACTGTCCCAAGGCTAGAGGAACACCAACTTCAGCACAGCAACTCGAGGAATGCTCCGTGTACGCCAAATCGTCTCGAGATGAGAGCTGATTCCCTTGCTTAGGCTCAAGACGTATGCCAACTTTCCAGAAGCACCTCAGGAGGAGGCTTCTCTCAGCAATAGGTATGTGGGAGGGACCCCGAGTTTGCGGCCTCAAGGGGAATATACAGCGAGAAGCCCTAACTTGAAAGGAGGCCGGATTTCCTTGCAGTGGCTTAAATACAGGCCCGTCTTTCATCTCACAACATGAAGGGATGTCTGAATCCCCTGTGGAGACCTTAGAGAAAGCCCTAGGTCCCTGCCTCATTTTGACGGAATGCCTCACATCCCGCTGACACCTCGAGAGGCACGCGGAGTTCATTGCTTCAAAAGGTGACGATGCCTGACTCCTCTTGAATACTGATAGGAATCCCAAAATCCCTGTGGCTACTGGAAAGGGTCCTTGGGTGCCCTGCCTCACCTCGACAAGCGTCCCTTTTGCCCTGCCAAGCCTCGAAGAGATTCCTGAGGTGTCCCTCGTTACTAGACAGGAGTCCTGACGTCACTGAAGAAACTCGTGTTTTGAAGGGCCAAGCCGCCGTAAGTCGAGAACATACCCCAGGTCCCCGCAGCAACTCGAGAAAAACCATGAGACTTCCCCCTAGAGGCGAGATGAGGCCCCATTCCCCTGCAGTGCATGCAGAGCTATTCCTTGATCCCGTTCAAACAAGTCAGGAGCTTCGACTTGCTTAATGGTTCTCGAGACAGTCCCCAGGAACACTGTCACCAGTTTAGACGGACCCTGAGGTCACCCCAGCAACGCAAAGCAGCTCCATGTGCCCCAAATCAACTCGAGATGAGGCCTGATTCCCCTGCATTGACTCCAGAGCCATTCCCCGTTCCCCATTCAACACGACCGGTGGCTCGACTTCCTTCAGGCAACTCCAGAGATGCCCCGAGAACACTGTCCCAAGTCTAGAGGAACACCAACTTCAGCACAGCAACTCGAGGAATGCTCCGTGTACCCCAAATAGTCTCGAGATGAGAGCTGATTTCCTGGCTTAGGCTCAAGACGTATGCCAACTTTCCAGAAGCACCTCAGGAGGAGGCTTCTCTCAGCAATAGGTATGTGGGAGGGACCCCGAGTTTGCTGCCTCAAGGGGAATATACAGCGAGAAGCCCTAACTTGAAAGGAGGCCGGATTTCCTTGCAGTGGCTTGAATACAGGCTCGTCTTTCATCTCACAACATGAAGGGATGTCTGAATCCCCTGTGGAGACCTTAGAGAAAGCCCTAGGTCCCTGCCTCATTTTGACGGAATGCCTCACATCCCGCTGACACCTCGAGAGGCACGCGGAGTTCATTGCTTCAAAAGGTGACGATGCCTGACTCCTCTTGAATACTGATAGGAATCCCAAAATCCCTGTGGCTACTGGAAAGGGTCCTTGGATGCCCTGCCTCACCTCGAGAAGCGTCCCTTTTGCCCTGCCAAGCCTCGAAGAGATTCCTGAGGTGTCCCTCATTACTAGACAGGAGTCCTGACGTCACTGAAGAAACTCGTGTTTTGAAGGGCCATCCCCGCCGTAAGTCGAGAACATACCCCATGTCCACGCCGCAACTCGAGAAAAACCATGAGACTTCCCCATAGAGGCGAGATGAGGCCCCATTCCCCTGCAGTGAATTCAGAGCTATTCTGTGAACCCGTTCAAACAAGTCAGGAGCTTCGACTTGCTTAATGGATCTCGAGACAGTTCCCAAGAACACTGTCACCAGCCTAGACGTACCCTGAGGTCCCACCAGCAACACAAAGCAGCTCCATGTGCCCCATATCAACTCGAGATGAGGCCCGATTCCCCTGCATTGACTCCAGAGCCATTCCCCGTTCCCCATTCAACACGACCGGTGGCTCTACTTCCTTCAGGCAACTCCAGAGATGCCCCGAGAACACTGTCCCAAGTCTAGAGGAACACTAACTTCAGTACAGCAACTCGAGGAATGCTCCGTGTACCCCAAATCGTCTCGAGATGAGAGCTGATTCCCTGGCTTAGGCTCAAGACGTATGCCAACTTTCCAGAAGCACCTCAGGAGGAGGCTTCTCTCAGCAATAGGTATGTGGGAGGGACCCCGAGTTTGCTGCCTCAAGGGGAATATACAGCGAGAAGCCCTAACTTGAAAGGAGGCCGGATTTCCTTGCAGTGGCTTGAATACAGGCTCGTCTTTCATCTCACAACATGAAGGGATGTCTGAATCCCCTGTGGAGACCTTAGAGAAAGCCCTAGGTCCCTGCCTCATTTTGACGGAATGCCTCACATCCCGCTGACACCTCGAGAGGCACGCGGAGTTCATTGCTTCAAAAGGTGACGATGCCTGACTCTTCTTGAATACTGATAGGAATCCCAAAATCCCTGTGGCTACTGGAAAGGGTCCTTGGGTGCCCTGCCTCACCTCGAGAAGCGTCCCTTTTGCCCTGCCAAGCCTCGAAGAGATTCCTGAGCTGTCCCTCGTTACTAGACAGGAGTCCTGACGTCACTGAAGAAACTCGTGTTTTGAAGGGCCATCCCCGCCGTAAGTCGAGAACATACCCCATGTCCACGCCGCAACTCGAGAAAAACCATGAGACTTCCCCATAGAAGCGAGATGAGGCCCCATTCCCCTGCAGTGCATTCAGAGCTATTCTGTGAACCCGTTCAAACAAGTCAGGAGCTTCGACTTGCTTAATGGATCTCGAGACATTCCCCAAGAACACTGTCACCAGCCTAGACGGACCCTGAGGTCCCACCAGCAACGCAAAGCAGCTCCATGTGCCCCAAATCAACTCTTGATGAGGCCCGATTCCCCTGCATTGACTCCAGAGCCATTCCCCGTTCCCCGTTCAACACGACCGGTGGCTCGACTTCCTTCAGGCAACTCCAGAGATGCCCCGAGAACACTGTCCCAAGTCTAGAGGAACACCAACTTCAGCACAGCAACTCGAGGAATGCTCCGTGTACCCCAAATAGTCTCGAGATGAGAGCTGATTTCCTGGCTTAGGCTCAAGACGTATGCCAACTTTCCAGAAGCACCTCAGGAGGAGGCTTCTCTCAGCAATAGGTATGTGGGAGGGACCCCGAGTTTGCTGCCTCAAGGGGAATATACAGCGAGAAGCCCTAACTTGAAAGGAGGCCGGATTTCCTTGCAGTGGCTTGAATACAGGCTCGTCTTTCATCTCACAACATGAAGGGATGTCTGAATCCCCTGTGGAGACCTTAGAGAAAGCCCTAGGTCCCTGCCTCATTTTGACGGAATGCCTCACATCCCGCTGACACCTCGAGAGGCACGCGGAGTTCATTGCTTCAAAAGGTGACGATGCCTGACTCCTCTTGAATACTGATAGGAATCCCAAAATCCCTGTGGCTACAGGAAAGGGTCCTTGGGTGCCCTGCCTCACATCGAGAAGCGTCCCTTTTGCCCTGCCAAGCCTCGAAGAGATTCCTGAGTTGTCCCTCGTTACTAGACAGGAGTCCTGAAGTCACTGAAGAAACTCGTGTTTTGAAGGGCCATCCCCGCCGTTGCTCGAGAACATACGCCAGGTCCCCGCCACAACTCGAGAAAAACCATGAGACTTCCCCCTAGAGGCGAGATGAGGCCCCATTCCCCTGCAGTGCATACAGAGCTATTCCGTGATCCCATTCAAACAAGTCAGGAGCTTCGACTTGCTTAATGGATCTCGAGACAGACCCCAAGAACACTGTCACCAGTCTAGACGGACCCTGAGGTCACCCCAGCAATGCAAAGCAGCTCCATGTTCCCCAAATCAACTCGAGATGAGGCCCGATTCCCCTGCATTGACTACAGAGCCATTCCCCGTTCCCCATTCAACAGGACCGGTGGCTCGACTTCCTTCAGGCAACTCCAGAGATGACCCGAGAACACTGTCCCAAGTCTAGAGGAACACGAACTTCAGCACAGCAACTCGAGGAATGCACCGTGTACCCCAAATCGTCTCGAGATGAGAGCTGATTCCGTGGCTTAGGCTCAAGACATATGCCAACTTTCCAGAAGCACCTCAGGAGGAGGCTTCTCTTAGCAATAGGTATGTGGGAGGGACCCCGAGTTTGCTGCCTCAGGGGGAATATACAGCGAGAAGCCCTAACTTGAAAGGAGGCCGGATTTCCTTGCAGTGGCTTAAATACAGGCCCGTCTTTCATCTCACAACATGAAGGGATGTCTGAATCCCCTGTGGAGACCTTAGAGAAAGCCCTAGGTCCCTGCCTCAATTTGACGGAATGCCTCACATCCCGATGACACCTCGAGAGGCACGCGGAGTTCATTGCTTCAAAAGGTGACGATGCCTGACTCCTCTTGAATACTGATAGGAATCCCAAAATCCCTGTGGCTACTGGAAAGGGTCCTTGGGTGCCCTGCCTCACCTCGAGAAGCGTCCCTTTTGCCCTGCCAAGCCTCGAAGAGATTCCTGAGGTGTCCCTCGTTACTAGACAGGAGTCCTGACGTCACTGAAGAAACTCGTGTTTTGAAGGGCCATCCCCGCCGTAAGTCGAGAACATACCCCATGTCCACGCCGCAACTCGAGAAAAACCATGAGACTTCCCCATAGAAGCGAGATGAGGCCCCATTCCCCTGCAGTGCATGCAGAGCTATTCTGTGAACCCGTTCAAACAAGTCAGGAGCTTCGACTTGCTTAATGGATCTCGAGACAGTCCCCAAGGACACTGTCACCAGCCTAGACGGATCCTGAGGTCCCACCAGCAATGCAAAGCAGCAACATGTGCCCCATATCAACTCGGGATGAGGCCCGATTCCCCGGCATTGACTCCAGAGCGATTCCCCGTTCCCCATTCAACACGACCGGTGGTTCGACTTCCTTCAGGCAACTCCAGAGATGCCCCGAGAACACTGTCCCAAGGCTAGAGGAACACCAACTTCAGCACAGCAACTCGAGGAATGCTCCGTGTACCCCAAATCGTCTCGAGATGAGAGCTGATTCCCTTGCTTAGGCTCAAGACGTATGCCAACTTTACAGAAGCACCTCAGGAGGAGGCTTCTCTCAGCAATAGGTATGTGGGAGGGACCCCGAGATTGCTGCCTCAAGGGGAATATACAGCGAGAATTCCTAACTTGAAAGGAGGCCGGATTTCCTTGCAGTGGCTTGAATACAGGCTCGTCATTCATCTCACAACATGAAGGGATGTCTGAATCCCCTGTGGAGACCTTAGAGAAAGCCCTAGTTCCCTGCCTCATTTTGACAGAATGCCTCACATCCCGCTGACACCTCGAGAGGCACGCGGAGTTCATTGCTTCAAAAGGTGACGATGCCTGACTCCTCTTGAATACTGATAGGAATCCCAAAATCCCTGTGGCTACTGGAAAGGGTCCTTGGGTTCCCTGCCTCACTTCGAGAAGCGTCCCATTTGCCCTGACAAGCCTCGAAGAGATTCCTGAGGTGTCCCTCGTTACTAGACAGGAGTCCTGACGTCACTGAAGAGACTCGTGTTTTGAAGGGCCAACCCCGCTTTAAGTCGAGAACATACCCCAAGTCCCCGCCGCAACTCGAGAAAAACCATGAGACTTCCCCATAGAAGCGAGATGGGGCCCCATTCCCCTGCAGTGCATGCAGAGCGATTCTGTGATCCCGTTCAAACAAGTTAGGTGTTTCGGCTTACTTAATGGTTCTCGAGACAGTCCCCAAGAACACTGTCACCAGTCTAGACGGACCCTGAGGTCACCCCAGCAACGCAAAGCAGCTCCATGTGCCCCAAATCAACTCGAGATGAGGCCCGATTCCCCTGCATTGAGTGAAGAGCCATTCCCCGTTCCCCATTCAACAGGACCGGTGGCTCGACTTCCTTCAGGCAACTCCAGAGATGCCCCGAGAACACTGTCCCAAGTCTAGAGGAACACCAACTTCAGCACAGGAACTCGAGGAATGCTCCGTGTACCCCAAATCGTCTCGAGATGAGAGCTGATTCCCTGGCTTAGGCTCAAGACGTATGCAACTTTCCAGAAGCACCTCAGTAGGAGGCTTCTCTCAGCAATAGGTATGTGGGAGGGACCCCGAGTTTGCTGCCTCAAGGGGAATATACAGCGAGAAGCCCTAACTTGAAAGGAGGCCGGATTTCCTTGCAGTGGCTTGAATACAGGCTCGTCTTTCATCTCACAACATGAAGGGATTTCTGAATCCCCTGTGGAGACCTTAGAGAAAGCCCTAGGTCCCTGCCTCATTTTGACGGAATGCCTCACATCCCGCTAACACCTCGAGAGGCACGGGGAGTTCATTGCTTCAAAAGGTGACGATGCCTGACTCCTCTTGAATACTGATAGGAATCCCAAAATCCCTGTGGCTACTGGAAAGGGTCCTTGGGTGCCCTGCCTCACCTCGAGAAGCGTCCCTTTTGCCCTGACAAGCCTCGAAGAGATTCCTGAGGTGTCCCTCGTTATTAGACAGGAGTCCTGACTTCACTGAAGAGACTCGTGTTTTGAAGGACCATCACCGCCGTAAGTCGAGAACATGCCCCAAGTCCCCGCCGCAACTGGAGAAAAACCATGAGACTTCCCCATAGAAGCAAGATGAGGCCCCATTCCCCTGCAATGCATGCAGAGCTATTCTGTGATCCCGTTCAAACAACTCAGGAGCTTCGACTTGCTTAATGGTCCTCGAGACAGTCCCCAAGAACACTGTCACCAGTCTAGACGGACCCTGAGGTCACCCCAGCAACGCAAAGCAGTTCCATGTGCCCCAAATCAACTCGAGATGAGGCCCGATTCCCCTGAATTGACTCCAGAGCCATTCCCCGTTCCCGATTCAACACGACCGGTGGCTCGACTTCCTTCAGGCAACTCCAGAGATGCCCCGAGAACACTGTCCCAAGTCTAGAAAAACACCAACTTCAGCACAGCAACTCGAGGAATGCTACGTGTACCCCAAATCGTCTCGAGATGAGAGCTGATTCCCTGGCTTAGGCTCAAGGCGTATGCCAACTTTCCAGAAGCACCTCAGGATGAGGCTTCTCTCAGCAATAGGTATGTGGGAGGGACCCCGAGTTTGCTGCCTCAAGGGGAATATAGAGCGAGAAGGCCTAACTTGAAAGGAGGCCGGATTTCCTTGCAGTGGCTTGAATACAGGCTCGTCTTTCATCTCACAACATGAAGGGATGTCTGAATCCCCTGTGGAGACCTTAGAGAAAGCCCTAGGTCCCTGCCTCATTTTGACGGAATGCCTCAGATCCCGCTGACACCACGAGAGGCACGCGGAGTTCATTGCTTCAAAGGGTGACGATGCCTGACTCCTCTTGAATACTGATAGGAATCCCAAAATCCCTGTGGCTACTGGAAAGGGTCCTTGGGTGCCCTGCCTCACATCGAGAAGCGTCCCTTTTGCCCGGACAAGCCTCAAAGAGATTCATGAGGTGTCCCTCGTTACTAGACAGGAGTCCTGACGTCACTGAAGAGACTCGTGTTTTGAAGGGCCATCCCCGCCGTAAGTCGAGAACATACCCCAAGTCCCCGCCGCAACTCGAGAAAAACCATGAGACTTCCCCATAGAAGCGAGATGGGGCCCCATTCCCCTGCAGTGCATGCAGAGCTATTCTGTGATCCCGTTAAAACAAGTCAGGAGTTTCGACTTGCTTAATGGTTCTCGAAACAGTCCCCAAGAACACTGTCACCAGTCTAGACGGACCCTGAGGTCACCCCAGCAACGCAAAGCAGCTCCATGTGCCCCAAATCAACTCGAGATGAGGCCCGATTCCCCTGCATTGACTCCAGAGCCATTCCCCATTCCACATTCAACACGACCGGTGGCTCGACTTCCTTCAGGCAACTCAGAGATGCCCCGAGAACACTGTGCCAAGTCTAGAGGAACACCAACTTCAGCACAGCAACTCGAGGAATGCTCCGTGTACCCCAAATCGTCTCGAGATGAGAGCTGATTCCCTGGCCTAGGCTCAAGACGTATGCCAACTTTCCAAAAGCACCTCAGGAGGAGGCTTCTCTCAGCAATAGGTATGTGGGAGGGACCCCGAGTTTGCTGCCTCAAGGGGAATATACAGCGAGAAGCCCTAACTTGAAAGGAGGCCGGATTTGCTTGCAGTGGCTTGAATACAGGCCCGTCTTTCATCTCACAACATGAAGGGATGTCTGAATCCCCTGTGGAGACCTTAGAGAACGCCCTAGGTCCCTGCCTCATTTTGACAGAATGCCTCACATCCCGCTGACACCTCGAGAGGCACGCGGAGTTCATTGCTTCAAAAGGTGACGATGCCTGACTCCTCTTGAATAATGATAGGAATCCCAAAATCCCTGTGGCTCCTGGAAAGGGTCCTTGGGTGCCCTGCCTCACCTCGAGAAGCGTCCCTTTTGCCCTGCCAAGCCTCGAAGAGATTCCTGAGGTGTTCCTCTTTACTAGACAGGAGTCCTGACCTCACTGAAGAAACTCGTGTTTTGAAGGGCCATCCCCGCCGTATTTCGAAAACATACCCCAGGTCCCCGCCGCAACTCGAAAAAAACCATGAGACTTCCCCATAGAAGCAAGATGAGGCGCCATTCCACTGCAGTGCATGCAGAGCTATTCCGTGCTCCCGTTCAAACAAGTCAGGAGCTTCGACTTGCTTAATGGTTCTCGAGACAGTCCCCAAGAACACTGTCACCAGTCTAGACGGACCCTGAGGTCACCCCAGCAAAGCAAAGTAGCTCCATGTGCCCCAATTCAACTCGAGATGAGGCCCGATTCCACTGCATTGACTCCAGAGCCATTCCCCGTTCCCCATTCAACACGACCGGTGGCTCGACTTCCTTCAGGCAACTCCAGAGATGCCACGAGAACACTGACCCAAGTCTAGAGGAAAACCAATTTCAGCACAGCAACTCGAGGAATGCTCCATGTACCCCAAATCGTCTCGAGATGAGAGCTGATTCCGTGGCTTAGGCTCAAGACGTATGCCAACTTTCCAGAAGCACCTCAGGAGGAGGCTTCTCTCAGCAATAGGTATGTGGGAGGGACCCCGAGATTGCTGCCTCAAGGGAATATACAGCGAGAAGCCCTAACTTGAAAGGAGGCCGGATTTCCTTGCAGTGGCTTGAATACAGGCTCGTCTTTCATCTCACAACATGAAGGGATGTCTGAATCCCCTGTGGAGACCTTAGAGAAAGCCCTAGGTCCCTGCCTCATTTTGACGGAATGCCTCACATCCCGCTGACACCTCGAGAGGCACGCGGAGTTCATTGCTTCAAAAGGTGACGATGCCTGACTCCTCTTGAATACTGATAGGAATCCCAAAATCCCTGTGGCTACTGGAAAGTGTCCTTGGGTGCCCTGCCTCACCTCGAGAAGCGTCCCTTTTGCCCTGACAAGCCTCGAAGAGATTCCTGAGGTGTCCCTCGTTACTAGACAGGAGTCCTGACGTCACTGAAGAGACTCGTGTTTTGAAGGGCCATCCCCGCCGTAAGTCGAGAACATACCCCAAGTCCCCGCCGCAACTCGAGAAAAACCATGAGACTTCCCCCTAGAAGCAAGATGAGGCCCCATTCCCCTGCAATGCATGCAGAGCTATTCTGTGATCCCGTTCAAACAACTCAGGAGCTTCGACTTGCTTAATGGTCCTCGAGACAGTCCCCAAGAACACTGTCACCAGTCTAGACGGACCCTGAGGTCACCCCAGCAACGCAAAGCAGTTCCATGTGCCCCAAATCAACTCGAGATGAGGCCCGATTCCCCTGAATTGACTCCAGAGCCATTCCCCGTTCCCGATTCAACACGACCGGTGGCTCGACTTCCTTCAGGCAACTCCAGAGATGCCCCGAGAACACTGTCCCAAGTCTAGAAAAACACCAACTTCAGCACAGCAACTCGAGGAATGCTACGTGTACCCCAAATCGTCTCGAGATGAGAGCTGATTCCCTGGCTTAGGCTCAAGACGTATGCCAACTTTCCAGAAGCACCTCAGGATGAGGCTTCTCTCAGAAATAGGTATGTGGGAGGGACCCCGAGTTTGCTGCCTCAAGGGGAATATACAGCGAGAAGGCCTAACTTGAAAGGAGGCCGGATTTCCTTGCAGTGGCTTGAATACAGGCTCGTCTTTCATCTCACAACATGAAGGGATGTCTGAATCCCCTGTGGAGACCTTAGAGAAAGCCCTAGGTCCCTGCCTCATTTTGAAGGAATGCCTCAGATCCCGCTGACACCACGAGAGGCACCCGGAGTTCATTGCTTCAAAGGGTGACGATGCCTGACTCCTCTTGAATACTGATAGGAATCCCAAAATCCCTGTGGCTACTGGAAAGGGTCCTTGGGTGCCCTGCCTCACATCGAGAAGTGTCCCTTTTGCCCGGACAAGCCTCAAAGAGATTCATGAGGTGTCCCTCGTTACTAGACAGGAGTCCTGACGTCACTGAAGAGACTCGTGTTTTGAAGGGCCATCCCCGCCGTAAGTCGAGAACATACCCCAAGTCCCCGCCGCAACTCGAGAAAAACCATGAGACTTCCCCATAGAAGCGAGATGGGGCCCCATTCCCCTGCAGTGCATGCAGAGCTATTCTGTGATCCCGTTAAAACAAGTCAGGAGTTTCGGCTTACTTAATGGTTCTCGAGACAGTCCCCAAGAACACTGTCACCAGTCTAGACGGACCCTGAGGTCACCCCAGCAACGCAAAGCAGCTCCATGTGCCCCAAATCAACTCGAGATGAGGCCCGATTCCCCTGCATTGACTCCAGAGCCATTCCCCGTTCCCCATTCAACACGACCGGTGGCTCGACTTCCTTCAGGCAACTCCAGAGATGCCCCGAGAACACTGTCCCAAGTCTAGAGGAACACCAACTTCAGCACAGCAACTCGAGGAATGCTCTGTGTACCCCAAATCGTCTCGAGATGAGAGCTGATTCCGTGACTTAGGCTCAAGACGTATGCCAACTTTCCAGAAGCACCTCAGGAGGAGGCTTCTCTCAGCAATAGGTATGTGGGAGGGACCCCGAGATTGCTGCCTCAAGGGGAATATACAGCGAGAAGCCCTAACTTGAAAGGAGGCCGGATTTCCTTGCAATGGATTGAATACAGGCTCGTCTTTCATCTCACAACATGAAGGGATGTCTGAATTCCCTGTGGAGACCTTAGAGAAAGCCCTAGTTCCCTGCCTCATTTTGACAGAATGCCTCACATCCCGCTGACACCTCGAGAGGCACGCGGAGTTCATTGCTTCAAAAGGTGACGATGCCTGACTCCTCTTGAATACTGATAGGAATCCCAAAATCCCTGTGGCTACTGGAAAGGGTCCTTGGGTTCCCTGCCTCACTTCGAGAAGCGTCCCTTTTGCCCTGACAAGCCTCGAAGAGATTCCTGAGGTGTCCCTCGTTACTAGACAGGAGTCCTGACTTCACTGAAGAGACTCGTGTTTTGAAGGACCATCACCGCCGTAAGTCGAGAACATGCCCCAAGTCCCCGCCGCAACTGGAAAAAAACCATGAGACTTCCCCATAGAAGCGAGATGGGGCCCCATTCCCCTGCAGTGCATGCAGAGCTATTCTGTGATCCCGTTCAAACAAGTCAGGAGTTTCGGCTTACTTAATGGTTCTCGAGACAGTCCCCAAGAACACTGTCACCAGTCTAGACGGACCCTGAGGTCACCCCAGCAACGCAAAGCAGTTCCATGTGCCCCAAATCAACTCGAGATGAGGCCCGATTCCCCTGCATTGACTGAAGAGCCATTCCCCGTTCCCCATTCAACAGGACCGGTGGCTCGACTTCCTTCAGGCAACTCCAGAGATGCCCCGAGAACACTGTCCCAAGTCTAGAGGAACACCAACTTCAGCACAGGAACTCGAGGAATGCTCCGTGTACCCCAAATCGTCTCGAGATGAGAGCTGATTCCCTGGCTTAGGCTCAAGACGTATGCAACTTTCCAGAAGCACCTCAGTAGGAGGCTTCTCTCAGCAATAGGTATGTGGGAGGGACCCCGAGTTTGCTGCCTCAAGGGGAATATACAGCGAGAAGCCCTAACTTGAAAGGAGGCCGGATTTCCTTGCAATGGCTTGAATACAGGCTCGTCTTTCATCTCACAACATGAAGGGATTTCTGAATCCCCTGTGGAGACCTTAGAGAAAGCCCTAGGTCCCTGCCTCATTTTGACGGAATGCCTCACATCCCGCTAACACCTCGAGAGGCACGCGGAGTTCATTGCTTCAAAAGGTGACGATGCCTGACTCCTCTTGAATACTGATAGGAATCCCAAAATCCCTGTGGCTACTGGAAAGGGTCCTTGGGTGCCCTGCCTCACCTCGAGAAGCGTCCCTTTTGCCCTGACAAGCCTCGAAGAGATTCCTGAGGTGTCCCTCGTTATTAGACAGGAGTCCTGACTTCACTGAAGAGACTCGTGTTTTGAAGGACCATCCCCGCCGTAAGTCGAGAACATGCCCCAAGTCCCCGCCGCAACTGGAAAAAAACCATGAGACTTCCCCATAGAAGCAAGATGAGGCCCCATTCCCCTGCAATGCATGCAGAGCTATTCTGTGATCCCGTTGAAACAACTCAGGAGCTTCGACTTGCTTAATGGTCCTCGAGACAGTCCCCAAGAACACTGTCACCAGTCTAGACGGACCCTGAGGTCACCCCAGCAACGCAAAGCAGTTCCATGTGCCCCAAATCAACTCGAGATGAGGCCCGATTCCCCTGAATTGCCTCCAGAGCCATTCCCCGTTCCCGATTCAACACGACCGGTGGCTCGACTTCCTTCAGGCAACTCCAGAGATGCCCCGAGAACACTGTCCCAAGTCTAGAAAAACACCAACTTCAGCACAGCAACTCGAGGAATGCTACGTGTACCCAAAATCGTCTCGAGATGAGAGCTGATTCCCTGGCTTAGGCTCAAGACGTATGCCAACTTTCCAGAAGCACCTCAGGATGAGGCTTCTCTCAGCAATAGGTATGTGGGAGGGACCCCGAGTTTGCTGCCTCAAGGGGAATATACAGCGAGAAGGCCTAACTTGAAAGGAGGCCGGATTTCCTTGCAGTGGCTTGAATACAGGCTCGTCTTTCATCTCACAACATGAAGGGATGTCTGAATCCCCTGTGGAGACCTTAGAGAAAGCCCTAGGTCCCTGCCTCATTTTGACGGAATGCCTCAGATCCCGCTGACACCACGAGAGGCACGCGGAGTTCATTGCTTCAAAGGGTGACGATGCCTGACTCCTCTTGAATACTGATAGGAATCCCAAAATCGCTGTGGCTACTGGAAAGGGTCCTTGGGTGCCCTGCCTCACATTGAGAAGCGTCCCTTTTGCCCGGACAAGCCTCAAAGAGATTCATGAGGTGTCCCTCGTTACTAGACAGGAGTCCTGACGTCACTGAAGAGACTCGTGTTTTGAAGGGCCATCCTCGCCGTAAGTCGAGAACATACCCCAAGTCCTCGCCGCAACTCGAGAAAAACCATGAGACTTCCCCATAGAAGCGAGATGGGGCCCCATTCCCCTGCAGTGCATGCAGAGCTATTCTGTGATCCCGTTAAAACAAGTCAGGAGTTTCGACTTGCTTAATGGTTCTCGAAACAGTCCCCAAGAACACTGTCACCAGTCTAGACGGACCCTGAGGTCACCCCAGCAACGCAAAGCAGCTCCATGTGCCCCAAATCAACTCGAGATGAGGCCCGATTCCCCTGCATTGACTCCAGAGCCATTCCCCGTTCCACATTCAACACCACCGGTGGCTCGACTTCCTTCAGGCAACTCAGAGATGCCCCGAGAACACTGTCCCAAGTCTAGAGGAACACCAACTTCAGCACAGCAACTCGAGGAATGCTCCATGTACCCCAAAACGTCTCGAGATGAGAGCTGATTCCCTGGCCTAGGCTCAAGACGTATGCCAACTTTCCAACAGCACCTCAGGAGGAGGCTTCTCTCAGCAATAGGTATGTGGGAGGGACCCCGAGTTTGCTGCCTCAAGGGGAATATACAGCGAGAAGCCCTAACTTGAAAGGAGGCCGGATTTCCTTGCAGTGGCTTGAATACAGGCCCGTCTTTCATCTCACAACATGAAGGGATGTCTGAATCCCCTGTGGAGACCTTAGAGAAAGCCCTAGGTCCCTGCCTCATTTTGACGGAATGCCTCACATCCCGCTGACACCTCGAGAGGCACGCGGAGTTCATTGCTTCAAAAGGTGACGATGCCTGACTCCTCTTGAATAATGATAGGAATCCCAAAATCCCTGTGGCTCCTGGAAAGGGTCCTTGGGTGCCCTGCCTCACCTCGAGATGCGTCCCTTTTGCCCTGCCAAGCCTCGAAGAGATTCCTGAGGTGTTCCTCTTTACTAGACAGGAGTCCTGACCTCACTGAAGAAACTCGTGTTTTGAAGGGCCATCCCCGCCGTATTTCGAAAACATACCCCAGGTCCCCGCCGCAACTCAAAAAAAACCATGAGACTTCCCCATAGAAGCAAGATGAGGCGCCATTCCACTGCAGTGCATGCAGAGCTATTCCGTGCTCCCGTTCAAACAGTCAGGAGCTTCGACTTGCTTAATGGTTCTCGAGACAGTCCCCAAGAACACTGTCACCAGTCTAGACGGACCCTGAGGTCACCCCAGCAAAGCAAAGTAGCTCCATGTGCCCCAATTCAACTCGAGATGAGGCCCGATTCCCCTGCATTGACTCCAGAGCCATTCCCCGTTCCCCATTCAACACGACCGGTGGCTCGACTTCCTTCAGGCAACTCCAGAGATGCCACGAGAACACTGACCCAAGTCTAGAGGAAAACCAATTTCAGCACAGCAACTCGAGGAATGCTCCATGTACCCCAAATCGTCTCGAGATGAGAGCTGATTCCGTGGCTTAGGCTCAAGACGTATGCCAACTTTCCAGAAGCACCTCAGGAGGAGGCTTCTCTCAGCAATAGGTATGTGGGAGGGACCCCGAGATTGCTGCCTCAAGGGAATATACAGCGAGAAGCCCTAACTTGAAAGGAGGCCGGATTTCCTTGCAGTGGCTTGAATACAGGCCCGTCTTTCATCTCACAACATGAATGGATGTCTGAATCCCCTGTGGAGACCTTAGAGAAAGCCCTAGGTCCCTGCCTCATTTTGACGGAATGCCTCACATCCCGCTGACACCTCGAGAGGCACGCGGAGTTCATTGCTTCAAAAGGTGACGATGCCTGACTCCTCTTGAATACTGATAGGAATCCCAAAATCCCTGTGGCTACTGGAAAGGGTCCTTGGGTGCCCTGCCTCACCTCGAGAAGCGTCCCTTTTGCCCTGACAAGCCTCGAAGAGATTCCTGAGGTGTCCCTCGTTATTAGACAGGAGTCCTGACTTCACTGAAGAGACTCGTGTTTTGAAGGACCATCACCGCCGTAAGTCGAGAACATGCCCCAAGTCCCCGCCGCAACTGGAAAAAAACCATGAGACTTCCCCATAGAAGCAAGATGAGGCCCCATTCCCCTGCAATGCATGCAGAGCTATTCTGTGATCCCGTTGAAACAACTCAGGAGCTTCGACTTGCTTAATGGTCCTCGAGACAGTCCCCAAGAACACTGTCACCAGTCTAGACGGACCCTGAGGTCACCCCAGCAACGCAAAGCAGTTCCATGTGCCCCAAATCAACTCGAGATGAGGCCCGATTCCCCTGAATTGCTTCCAGAGCCATTCCCCGTTCCCGATTCAACACGACCGGTGGCTCGACTTCCTTCAGGCAACTCCAGAGATGCCCCGAGAACACTGTCCCAAGTCTAGAAAAACACCAACTTCAGCACAGCAACTCGAGGAATGCTACGTGTACCCAAAATCGTCTCGAGATGAGAGCTGATTCCCTGGCTTAGGCTCAAGACGTATGCCAACTTTCCAGAAGCACCTCAGGATGAGGCTTCTCTCAGCAATAGGTATGTGGGAGGGACCCCGAGTTTGCTGCCTCAAGGGGAATATACAGCGAGAAGGCCTAACTTGAAAGGAGGCCGGATTTCCTTGCAGTGGCTTGAATACAGGCTCGTCTTTCATCTCACAACATGAAGGGATGTCTGAATCCCCTGTGGAGACCTTAGAGAAAGCCCTAGGTCCCTGCCTCATTTTGACGGAATGCCTCAGATCCCGCTGACACCACGAGAGGCACGCGGAGTTCATTGCTTCAAAGGGTGACGATGCCTGACTCCTCTTGAATACTGATAGGAATCCCAAAATCGCTGTGGCTACTGGAAAGGGTCCTTGGGTGCCCTGCCTCACATCGAGAAGCGTCCCTTTTGCCCGGACAAGCCTCAAAGAGATTCATGAGGTGTCCCTCGTTACTAGACAGGAGTCCTGACGTCACTGAAGAGACTCGTGTTTTGAAGGGCCATCCTCGCCGTAAGTCGAGAACATACCCCAAGTCCTCGCCGCAACTCGAGAAAAACCATGAGACTTCCCCATAGAAGCGAGATGGGGCCCCATTCCCCTGCAGTGCATGCAGAGCTATTCTGTGATCCCGTTAAAACAAGTCAGGAGTTTCGACTTGCTTAATGGTTCTCGAAACAGTCCCCAAGAACACTGTCACCAGTCTAGACGGACCCTGAGGTCACCCCAGCAACGCAAAGCAGCTCCATGTGCCCCAAATCAACTCGAGATGAGGCCCGATTCCCCTGCATTGACTCCAGAGCCATTCCCCGTTCCACATTCAACACCACCGGTGGCTCGACTTCCTTCAGGCAACTCAGAGATGCCCCGAGAACACTGTCCCAAGTCTAGAGGAACACCAACTTCAGCACAGCAACTCGAGGAATGCTCCGTGTACCCCAAAACGTCTCGAGATGAGAGCTGATTCCCTGGCCTAGGCTCAAGACGTATGCCAACTTTCCAACAGCAGCTCAGGAGGAGGCTTCTCTCAGCAATAGGTATGTGGGAGGGACCCCGAGTTTGCTGCCTCAAGGGGAATATACAGCGAGAAGCCCTAACTTGAAAGGAGGCCGGATTTCCTTGCAGTGGCTTGAATACAGGCCCGTCTTTCATCTCACAACATGAAGGGATGTCTGAATCCCCTGTGGAGACCTTAGAGAAAGCCCTAGGTCCCTGCCTCATTTTGACGGAATGCCTCACATCCCGCTGACACCTCGAGAGGCACGCGGAGTTCATTGCTTCAAAAGGTGACGATGCCTGACTCCTCTTGAATAATGATAGGAATCCCAAAATCCCTGTGGCTCCTGGAAAGGGTCCTTGGGTGCCCTGCCTCACCTCGAGAAGCGTCCCTTTTGCCCTGCCAAGCCTCGAAGAGATTCCTGAGGTGTTCCTCTTTACTAGACAGGAGTCCTGACCTCACTGAAGAAACTCGTGATTTGAAGGGCCATCCCCGCCGTATTTCGAAAACATACCCCAGGTCCCCGCCGCAACTCAAAAAAAACCATGAGACTTCCCCATAGAAGCAAGATGAGGCGCCATTCCACTGCAGTGCATGCAGAGCTATTCCGTGCTCCCGTTCAAACAGTCAGGAGCTTCGACTTGCTTAATGGTTCTCGAGACAGTCCCCAAGAACACTGTCACCAGTCTAGACGGACCCTGAGGTCACCCCAGCAAAGCAAAGTAGCTCCATGTGCCCCAATTCAACTCGAGATGAGGCCCGATTCCCCTGCATTGACTCCAGAGCCATTCCCCGTTCCCCATTCAACACGACCGGTGGCTCGACTTCCTTCAGGCAACTCCAGAGATGCCACGAGAACACTGACCCAAGTCTAGAGGAAAACCAATTTCAGCACAGCAACTCGAGGAATGCTCCATGTACCCCAAATCGTCTCGAGATGAGAGCTGATTCCGTGGCTTAGGCTCAAGACGTATGCCAACTTTCCAGAAGCACCTCAGGAGGAGGCTTCTCTCAGCAATAGGTATGTGGGAGGGACCCCGAGATTGCTGCCTCAAGGGAATATACAGCGAGAAGCCCTAACTTGAAAGGAGGCCGGATTTCCTTGCAGTGGCTTGAATACAGGCCCGTCTTTCATCTCACAACATGAATGGATGTCTGAATCCCCTGTGGAGACCTTAGAGAAAGCCCTAGGTCCCTGCCTCATTTTGACGGAATGCCTCACATCCCGCTGACACCTCGAGAGGCACGCGGAGTTCATTGCTTCAAAAGGTGACGATGCCTGACTCCTCTTGAATACTGATAGGAATCCCAAAATCCCTGTGGCTACTGGAAAGTGTCCTTGGGTGCCCTGCCTCACCTCGAGAAGCGTCCCTTTTGCCCTGACAAGCCTCGAAGAGATTCCTGAGGTGTCCCTCGTTACTAGACAGGAGTCCTGACGTCACTGAAGAGACTCGTGTTTTGAAGGGCCATCCCCGCCGTAAGTCGAGAATATGCCCCAAGTCCCCGCCGCAACTGGAGAAAAACCATGAGACTTCCCCATAGAAGCAAGATGAGGCCCCATTCCCCTGCAATGCATGCAGAGCTATTCTGTGATCCCGTTCAAACAACTCAGGAGCTTCGACTTGCTTAATGGTCCTCGAGACAGTCCCAAAGAACACTGTCACCAGTCCAGACGGACCCTGAGGTCACCCCAGCAACGCAAAGCAGTTCCATGTGCCCCAAATCAACTCGAGATGAGGCCCGATTCCCCTGCATTGACTCCAGAGCCATTCCCCGTTCCCGATTCAACACGACCGGTGGCCCGACTTCCTTCAGGCAACTCCAGAGATGCCCGGAGAACACTGTCCCAAGTCTAGAAAAACACCAACTTCAGCACAGCAACTCGAGGAATGCTACGTGTACCCCAAATCGTCTCGAGATGAGAGCTGATTCCCTGGCTTAGGCTCAAGACGTATGCCAACTTTCCAGAAGCACCTCAGGAGGAGGCTTCTCTCAGCAATAGGTATGTGGGAGGGACCCCGAGTTTGCTGCCTCAAGGGGAATATACAGCGAGAAGGCCTAACTTGAAAGGAGGCCGGATTTCCTTGCAGTGGCTTGAATACAGGCTCGTCTTTCATCTCACAACATGAAGGGTTGTCTGAATCCCCCATGGAGACCTTAGAGAAAGCCCTAGGTGCCTGCCTCATTTTGACGGAATGCCTCAGATCCCGCTGACACCACGAGAGGCACCCGGAGTTCATTGCTTCAAAGGGTGACGATGCCTGATACCTCTTGAATACTGATAGGAATCCCAAAATCCCTGTGGCTACTGGAAAGGGTCCTTGGGTGCCCTGCCTCACATCGAGAAGCGTCCCTTTTGCCCGGACAAGCCTCAAAGAGATTCATGAGGTGTCCCTCGTTACTAGACAGGAGTCCTGACGTCACTGAAGAGACTCGTGTTTTGAAGGGCCATCCCCGCCGTAAGTCGAGAACATACCCCAAGTCCCCGCCGCAACTCGAGAAAAACCATGAGACTTCCCCATAGAAGCGAGATGGGGCCCCATTCCCCTGCAGTGCATGCAGAGCTATTCTGTGATCCCGTTAAAACAAGTCAGGAGTTTCGGCTTACTTAATGGTTCTCGAGACAGTCCCCAAGAACACTGTCACCAGTCTAGACGGACCCTGAGGTCACCCCAGCAACGCAAAGCAGCTCCATGTGCCCCAAATCAACTCGAGATGAGGCCCGATTCCCCTGCATTGACTCCAGAGCCATTCCCCGTTTCCCATTCAACATGACCGGTGGCTCGACTTCCTTCAGGCAACTCCAGAGATTCCCCGAGAACACTGTCCCAAGTCTAGAGGAACACCAACTTCAGCACAGCAACTCGAGGAATGCTCTGTGTACCCCCAATCGTCTCGAGATGAGAGCTGATTCCGTGGCTTAGGCTCAAGACGTATGCCAACTTTCCAGAAGCACCTCAGGAGGAGGCTTCTCTCAGCAATAGGTATGTGGGAGGGACCCCGAGATTGCTGCCTCAAGGGGAATATACAGCGAGAAGCCCTAACTTGAAAGGAGGCCGGATTTCCTTGCAATGGCTTGAATACAGGCTCGTCTTTCATCTCACAACATGAAGGGATGTCTGAATCCCCTGTGGAGACCTTAGAGAAAGCCCTAGTTCCCTGCCTCATTTTGACAGAATGCCTCACATCCCGCTGACACCTCGAGAGGCACGTGGAGTTCATTGCTTCAAAAGGTGACGATGCCTGACTCCTCTTGAATACTGATAGGAATCCCAAAATCCCTGTGGCTACTGGAAAGGGTCCTTGGGTTCCCTGCCTCACTTCGAGAAGCGTCCCTTTTGCCCTGACAAGCCTCGAAGAGATTCCTGAGGTGTCCCTCGTTACTAGACAGGAGTCCTGACGTCACTGAAGAGACTCGTGTTTTGAAGGGCCAACCCCGCTTTAAGTCGAGAACATACCCCAAGTCCCCGCCGCAACTCGAGAAAAACCATGAGACTTCCCCATAGAAGCGAGATGGGGCCCCATTCCCCTGCAGTGCATGCAGAGCTATTCTGTGATCCTGTTCAAACAAGTCAGGAGTTTCGGCTTACTTAATGGTTCTCGAGACAGTCACCAAGAACACTGTCACCAGTCTAGACGGACCCTGAGGTCACCCCAGCAACGCAAAGCAGCTCCATGTGCCCCAAATCAACTCGAGATGAGGCCCGATTCCCCTGCATTGACTCCAGAGCCATTCCCCGTTCCACATTCAACACGACCGGTGGCTCGACTTCCTTCAGGCAACTCCAGAGATGCCCCGAGAACACTGTCCCAAGTCTAGAGGAACACCAACTTCAGCACAGGAACTCGAGGAATGCTCCGTGTACCCCAAATCGTCTCGAGATGAGAGCTGATTCCCTGGCTTAGGCTCAAGACGTATGCAACTTTCCAGAAGCACCTCAGTAGGAGGCTTCTCTCAGCAATAGGTATGTGGGAGGGACCCCGAGTTTTCTGCCTCAAGGGGAATATACAGCGAGAAGCCCTAACTTGAAAGGAGGCCGGATTTCCTTGCAGTGGCTTGAATACAGGCTCGTCTTTCATCTCACAACATGAAGGGATTTCTGAATCCCCTGTGGAGACCTTAGAGAAAGCCCTAGGTCCCTGCCTCATTTTGACGGAATGCCTCACATCCCGCTGACACCTCGAGAGGCACGGGGAGTTCATTGCTTCAAAAGGTGACGATGCCTGACTCCTCTTGAATACTGATAGGAATCCCAAAATCCCTGTGGCTACTGGAAAGGGTCCTTGGGTGCCCTGCCTCACCTCGAGAAGCGTCCCTTTTGCCCTGACAAGCCTCGAAGAGATTACTGAGGTGTCCCTCGTTATTAGACAGGAGTCCTGACTTCACTGAAGAGACTCGTGTTTTGAAGGACCATCCCCGCCGTAAGTCGAGAACATGCCCCAAGTCCCCGCCGCTACTGGAGAAAAACCATGAGACTTCCCCATAGAAGCAAGATGAGGCCCCATTCCCCTGCAGTGCATGCAGAGCTATTCTGTGATCCCGTTCACACAAGTCAGGAGCTTCGACTTGCTTAATGGATCTCGAGACAGTCCCCAAGAACACTGTCACCAGTCTAGACGGACCCTGAGGTCACCCCAGCAACGCAAAGCAGCTCCATGTGCCCCAAATCAACTCGAGATGAGGCCCGATTCCCCTGCATTGACTCCAGAGCCATTCCCCATTCCTCATTCAACACGACCGGTGGCTCGACTTCCTTCAGGCAACTCAGAGATGCCCCGAGAACACTGTCCCAAGTCTAGAGGAACACCAACTTCAGCACAGCAACTCGAGGAATGCTCCGTGTACCCCAAATCGTCTCGAGATGAGAGCTGATTCCCTGGCTTAGGCTCAAGACGTATGCCAACTTTCCAGAAGCACTTCAGGAGGAGGCTTCTCTCAGCAATAGGTATGTGGGAGGGACCCCGAGTTTGCTGCCTCAAGGGGAATATACAGCGAGAAGCCCTAACTTGAAAGGAGGCCGGATTTCCTTGCAGTGGCTTGAATACAGGCACGTCTTTCAGCTCACAACATGAAGGGATGTCTGAATCCCCTGTGGAGACCTTAGAGAAAGCCCTAGGTTCCTGCCTCATTTAGACGGAATGCCTCACATCCCGCTGACACCTCGAGAGGCACGCGGAGTTCATTGCTTCAAAAGGTGACGATGCCTGACTCCTCTTGAATACTGATAGGAATCCCAAAATCCCTGTGACTACTGGAAAGGTTCCTTGGGTGTCCTGCCTCACCTCGAGAAGCGTCCCTTTTGCCCTGCCAAGCCTCGAAGAGATTCCTGAGGTGTCCCTCGTTACTAGACAGGTGTCCTGACGTCACTGAAGAAACTCGTGTTTTGAAGGGCCATCCCCGCCGTAAGTCGAGAACATACCCCAGGTCCCCGCCGCAACTCGAGAAAAACCATGAGACTTCCCCCTAGAGGGGAGATGAGGCCCCATTCCCCTGCAGTGCATGCAGAGGTATTCCGTGATCCCATTCAAAAAAGTCAGGAGCTTCGACTTGCTTAATGGATCTCGAGACAGTCCCCAAGAACACTGTCACCAGTCTAGACGGACCCTGAGGTCACCCCAGCAAGGCAAAGCAGCTCCATGTTCCCCAATTCAACATGAGATGATTCCCGATTCCCCTGAATTGACTCCAGAGCCATTCCCAGTTCCCGATTCAACACGACCGGTGGCTCGACTTCCTTCAGGCATCTCCAGAGATGCCCCGAGAACACTGTCCCAAGTCTAGAAAAACACCAACTTCAGCACAGCAACTCGAGGAATGCTACGTGTACCCCAAATCGTCTCGAGATGAGAGCTGATTCCCTGGCATAGGCTCAAGACGTATGCCAACTTTCCAGAAGCACCTCAGGAGGAGGCTTCTCTCAGCAATTGGTATGTGGGAGGGACCCCGAGTTGCTGCCTCAAGGGGAATATACAGCGAGAAGGCCTAACTTGAAAGGAGGCCGGATTTCCTTGCAGTGGCTTGAATACAGGCTCGTCTTTCATCTCACAACATGAAGGGATGTCTGAATCCCCTGTGGAGACCTTAGAGAAAGCCCTAGGTCCCTGCCTCATTTTGACGGAATGCCTCAGATCCCGCTGACACCACGAGAGGCACGCGGAGTTCATTGCTTCAAAGGGTGACGATGCCTGACTCCTCTTGAATACTGATAGGAATCCCAAAATCCCTGTGGCTACTGGAAAGGGTCCTTGGGTGCCCTGCCTCACATCGAGAAGCGTCCCTTTTGCCCGGACAAGCCTCAAAGAGATTCATGAGGTGTCCCTCGTTACTAGACAGGAGTCCTGACGTCACTGAAGAGACTCGTGTTTTGAAGGGCCAACCCCGCTTTAAGTCGAGAACATACCCCAAGTCCCCGCCGCAACTCGAGAAAAACCATGAGACTTCCCCATAGAAGCGAGATGGGGCCCCATTCCCCTGCAGTGCATGCAGAGCTATTCTGTGATCCTGTTCAAACAAGTCAGGAGTTTCGGCTTACTTAATGGTTCTCGAGACAGTCACCAAGAACACTGTCACCAGTCTAGACGGACCCTGAGGTCACCCCAGCAACGCAAAGCAGCTCCATGTGCCCCAAATCAACTCGAGATGAGGCCCGATTCCCCTGCATTGACTCCAGAGCCATTCCCCGTTCCACATTCAACACGACCGGTGGCTCGACTTCCTTCAGGCAACTCCAGAGATGCCCCGAGAACACTGTCCCAAGTCTAGAGGAACACCAACTTCAGCACAGGAACTCGAGGAATGCTCCGTGTACCCCAAATCGTCTCGAGATGAGAGCTGATTCCCTGGCTTAGGCTCAAGACGTATGCAACTTTCCAGAAGCACCTCAGTAGGAGGCTTCTCTCAGCAATAGGTATGTGGGAGGGACCCCGAGTTTTCTGCCTCAAGGGGAATATACAGCGAGAAGCCCTAACTTGAAAGGAGGCCGGATTTCCTTGCAGTGGCTTGAATACAGGCTCGTCTTTCATCTCACAACATGAAGGGATTTCTGAATCCCCTGTGGAGACCTTAGAGAAAGCCCTAGGTCCCTGCCTCATTTTGACGGAATGCCTCACATCCCGCTGACACCTCGAGAGGCACGGGGAGTTCATTGCTTCAAAAGGTGACGATGCCTGACTCCTCTTGAATACTGATAGGAATCCCAAAATCCCTGTGGCTACTGGAAAGGGTCCTTGGGTGCCCTGCCTCACCTCGAGAAGCGTCCCTTTTGCCCTGACAAGCCTCGAAGAGATTACTGAGGTGTCCCTCGTTATTAGACAGGAGTCCTGACTTCACTGAAGAGACTCGTGTTTTGAAGGACCATCCCCGCCGTAAGTCGAGAACATGCCCCAAGTCCCCGCCGCTACTGGAGAAAAACCATGAGACTTCCCCATAGAAGCAAGATGAGGCCCCATTCCCCTGCAGTGCATGCAGAGCTATTCTGTGATCCCGTTCAAACAAGTCAGGAGCTTCGACTTGCTTAATGGATCTCGAGACAGTCCCCAAGAACACTGTCACCAGTCTAGACGGACCCTGAGGTCACCCCAGCAACGCAAAGCAGCTCCATGTGCCCCAAATCAACTCGAGATGAGGCCCGATTCCCCTGCATTGACTCCAGAGCCATTCCCCATTCCTCATTCAACACGACCGGTGGCTCGACTTCCTTCAGGCAACTCAGAGATGCCCCGAGAACACTGTCCCAAGTCTAGAGGAACACCAACTTCAGCACAGCAACTCGAGGAATGTTCCGTGTACCCCAAATCGTCTCGAGATGAGAGCTGATTCCCTGGCTTAGGCTCAAGACGTATGCCAACTTTCCAGAAGCACCTCAGGAGGAGGCTTCTCTCAGCAATAGGTATGTGGGAGGGACCCCGATTTTGCTGCCTCAAGGGGAATATACAGCGAGAAGCCCTAACTTGAAAGGAGGCCGGATTTCCTTGCAGTGGCTTGAATACAGGCTCGTCTTTCAGCTCACAACATGAAGGGATGTCTGAATCCCCTGTGGAGACCTTAGAGAAAGCCCTAGGTTCCTGCCTCATTTAGACGGAATGCCTCACATCCCGCTGACACCTCGAGAGGCACGCGGAGTTCATTGCTTCAAAAGGTGACGATGCCTGACTCCTCTTGAATACTGATAGGAATCCCAAAATCCCTGTGGCTACTGGAAAGTGTCCTTGGGTGCCCTGCCTCACCTCGAGAAGCGTCCCTTTTGCCCTGACAAGCCTCGAAGAGATTCCTGAGGTGTCCCTCGTTACTAGACAGGAGTCCTGACGTCACTGAAGAGACTCGTGTTTTGAAGGGCCATCCCCGCCGTAAGTCGAGAATATGCCCCAAGTCCCCGCCGCAACTGGAGAAAAACCATGAGACTTCCCCATAGAAGCAAGATGAGGCCCCATTCCCCTGCAATGCATGCAGAGCTATTCTGTGATCCCGTTCAAACAACTCAGGAGCTTCGACTTGCTTAATGGTCCTCGAGACAGTCCCAAAGAACACTGTCACCAGTCTAGACGGACCCTGAGGTCACTCCAGCAACGCAAAGCAGTTCCATGTGCCCCAAATCAACTCGAGATGAGGCCCGATTCCCCTGCATTGACTCCAGAGCCATTCCCCGTTCCCGATTCAACACGACCGGTGGCTCGACTTCCTTCAGGCAACTCCAGAGATGCCCCGAGAACACTGTCCCAAGTCTAGAAAAACACCAACTTCAGCACAGCAACTCGAGGAATGCTACGTGTACCCCAAATCGTCTCGAGATGAGAGCTGATTCCCTGGCTTAGGCTCAAGACGTATGCCAACTTTCCAGAAGCACCTCAGGAGGAGGCTTCTCTCAGCAATAGGTATGTGGGAGGGACCCCGAGTTTGCTGCCTCAAGGGGAATATACAGCGAGAAGGCCTAACTTGAAAGGAGGCCGGATTTCCTTGCAGTGGCTTGAATACAGGCTCGTCTTTCATCTCACAACATGAAGGGATGTCTGAATCCCCTGTGGAGACCTTAGAGAAAGCCCTAGGTGCCTGCCTCATTTTGACGGAATGCCTCAGATCCCGCTGACACCACGAGAGGCACCCGGAGTTCATTGCTTCAAAGGGTGACGATGCCTGACTCCTCTTGAATACTGATAGGAATCCCAAAATCCCTGTGGCTACTGGAAAGGGTCCTTGGGTTCCCTGCCTCACTTCGAGAAGCGTCCCTTTTGCCCTGACAAGCCTCGAAGAGATTCCTGAGGTGTCCCTCGTTACTAGACAGGAGTCCTGACGTCACTGAAGAGACTCGTGTTTTGAAGGGCCAACCCCGCTTTAAGTCGAGAACATACCCCAAGTCCCCGCCGCAACTCGAGAAAAACCATGAGACTTCCCCATAGAAGCGAGATGGGGCCCCATTCCCCTGCAGTGCATGCAGAGCTATTCTGTGATCCTGTTCAAACAAGTCAGGAGTTTCGGCTTACTTAATGGTTCTCGAGACAGTCACCAAGAACACTGTCACCAGTCTAGACGGACCCTGAGGTCACCCCAGCAACGCAAAGCAGCTCCATGTGCCCCAAATCAACTCGAGATGAGGCCCGATTCCCCTGCATTGACTCCAGAGCCATTCCCCGTTCCACATTCAACACGACCGGTGGCTCGACTTCCTTCAGGCAACTCCAGAGATGCCCCGAGAACACTGTCCCAAGTCTAGAGGAACACCAACTTCAGCACAGGAACTCGAGGAATGCTCCGTGTACCCCAAATCGTCTCGAGATGAGAGCTGATTCCCTGGCTTAGGCTCAAGACGTATGCAACTTTCCAGAAGCACCTCAGTAGGAGGCTTCTCTCAGCAATAGGTATGTGGGAGGGACCCCGAGTTTTCTGCCTCAAGGGGAATATACAGCGAGAAGCCCTAACTTGAAAGGAGGCCGGATTTCCTTGCAGTGGCTTGAATACAGGCTCGTCTTTCATCTCACAACATGAAGGGATTTCTGAATCCCCTGTGGAGACCTTAGAGAAAGCCCTAGGTCCCTGCCTCATTTTGACGGAATGCCTCACATCCCGCTGACACCTCGAGAGGCACGGGGAGTTCATTGCTTCAAAAGGTGACGATGCCTGACTCCTCTTGAATACTGATAGGAATCCCAAAATCTCTGTGGCTACTGGAAAGGGTCCTTGGGTGCCCTGCCTCACCTCGAGAAGCGTCCCTTTTGCCCTGACAAGCCTCGAAGAGATTCCTGAGGTGTCCCTCGTTATGAGACAGGAGTCCTGACTTCACTGAAGAGACTCGTGTTTTGAAGGACCATCCCCGCCTTAAGTCGAGAACATGCCCCAAGTCCCCGCCGCAACTGGAGAAAAACCATGAGACTTCCCCATAGAAGCAAGATGAGGCCCCATTCCCCTGCAGTGCATGCAGAGCTATTCTGTGATCCCGTTCAAACAAGTCAGGAGCTTCGACTTGCTTAATGGATCTCGAGACAGTCCCCAAGAACACTGTCACCAGTCTAGACGGAACCTGAGGTCACCCCAGCAAGGCAAAGCAGCTCCATGTTCCCCAATTCAACATGAGATGATTCCCGATTCCCCTGAATTGACTCCAGAGCCATTCCCAGTTCCCGATTCAACACGACCGGTGGCTCGACTTCCTTCAGGCATCTCCAGAGATGCCCCGAGAACACTGTCCCAAGTCTAGAAAAACACCAACTTCAGCACAGCAACTCGAGGAATGCTACGTGTACCCCAAATTGTCTCGAGATGAGAGCTGATTCCCTGGCATAGGCTCAAGACGTATGCCAACTTTCCAGAAGCACCTCAGGAGGAGGCTTCTCTCAGCAATAGGTATGTGGGAGGGACCCCGAGTTGCTGCCTCAAGGGGAATATACAGCGAGAAGTCCTAACTTGAAAGGAGGCAGGATTTCCTTGCAGTGGCTTAAATACAGGCCCGTCTTTCATCTCACAACATGAAGGGATGTCTGAATCCCCTGTGGAGACCTAAGAGAAAGCCCTACGTCCCTGCCTCCTTTTTAAGGAATGCCTCACATCCCGCTGACACCTCGAGAGGCACGCGGAGTTCATTGCTTCAAAAGGTGACGATGCCTGCCTCCTCTTGAATACTGATAGGAATCCCAAAATCCCTGTGGCTACTGGAAAGGGTCCTTGGGTGCCCTGCCTCACCTCGAGAAGCGTCCCTTTTGCCCTGCCAAGCCTCGAAGAGATTCCTGAGGTGTCCCTCGTTACTAGACAGGAGTCCTGATGTCACTGAAGAAACTCGTGTTTTGAAGGGCCATCCCCGCCGTATTTCGAAAACATACCCCAGGTCCCTGCCGCAACTCGAGAAAAACCATGAGACTTCCCCATAGAAGCAAGATGAGGCCCGATTCCCCTGCAGTGCATGGAGAGCTACTCCGTGCTCCCGTTCAAACAAGTCAGGAGCTTCGACTTACTTAATGGTTCTCGAGACAGTCCCCAAGAACACTGTCACCAGTCTAGACGGACCCTGAGGTCACCCCAGCAACGCAAAGCAGCTCCATGTGCCCCAAATCAACTCGAGATGAGGCCCGATTCCCCTGCATTGACTGAAGAGCCATTACCCGTTCCCCATTCAACACGACCGGTGGCTCGACTTCCTTCAGGCAACTCCAGAGAAGCCCCGAGAACACTGTCCCAAGTCTAGAGGAACACCAACTTCAGCACAGCAACTCGAGGAATGCTCCGTGTACCCCTAATCGTCTCGAGATGAGAGCTGATTCCCTGGCTTAGGCTCAAGACGTATGCCAACTTTCCAGAAGCACCTCAGGAGGAGGCTTCTCTCAGCAATATGTATGTGGGAGGGACCCCGAGTTTGCTGCCTCAAGGGGAATATACAGCGAGAAGCCCTAACTTGAAAGGAGGCCGGATTTCCTTGCAGTGGCTTGAATACAGGCTCGTCTTTCATCTCACAACATGAAGGGATGTCTGAATCCCCTGTGGAGACCTTAGAGAAAGCCCTAGGTCCCTGCCTCATTTTGACGGAATGCCTCAGATCCCGCTGACACCTCGAGAGGCACGCGGAGTTCATTGCTTCAAAAGGTGACGATGCCTGACTCCTCTTGAATACTGATAGGAATCCCAAAATCCCTGTGGCTACTGGAAAGTGTCCTTGGGTGCCCTGCCTCACCTCGAGAAGCGTCCCTTTTGCCCTGACAAGCCTCAAAGAGATTCCTGAGGTGTCCCTCGTTACTAGACAGGAGTCCTGACGTCACTGAAGAGACTCGTGTTTTGAAGGGCCATCCCCGCCGTAATTCGAGAACATGCCCCAAGTCCCCGCCGCAACTGGAGAAAAACCATGAGACTTCCCCATAGAAGCAAGATGAGGCCCCAATCCCCTACAATGCATGCAGAGCTATTCTGTGATCCCGTTCAAACAACTCAGGAGCTTTGACTTGCTTAATGGTTCTCGAGACAGTCCCCAAGAACACTGTCACCAGTCTAGACGGACCCTGAGGTCACCCCAGCAACGCAAAGCAGTTCCATGTGCCCCAAATCAACTCGAGATGATGCCCGATTCCCCTGAATTGACTCCAGAGCCATTCCCCGTTCCCGATTCAACACGACCGGTGGCTCGACTTCCTTCAGGCAACTCCAGAGATGCCCCGAGAACACTGTCCCAAGTCTAGAAAAACACCAACTTCAGCACAGCAACTCGAGGAATGCTACGTGTACCCCAAATCGTCTCGAGATGAGAGCTGATTCCCTGGCTTAGGCTCAAGACGTATGCCAACTTTCCAGAAGCACCTCAGGAGGAGGCTTCTCTCAGCAATAGGTATGTGGGAGGGACCCCTAGTTTGCTGCCTCAAGGGGAATATACAGCGAGAAGGTCTAACTTGAAAGGAGGCCGGATTTCCTTGCAGTGGCTTGAATACAGGCTCGTCTTTCATCTCACAACATGAAGGGATGTCTGAATCCCCTGTGGAGACCTTAGAGAAAGCCCTAGGTCCCTGCCTCATTTTGACGGAATGCCTCAGATCCCGCTGACACCTCGAGAGGCACGCGGAGTTCATTGCTTCAAAGGGTGACGATGCCTGACTCCTCTTGAATACTGATAGGAATCCCAAAATCCCTGTGGCTACTGGAAAGGGTCCTTGGGTGCCCTGCCTCACATCGAGAAGCGTCCCTTTTGCCCGGACAAGCCTCAAAGAGATTCATGAGGTGTCCCTCGTTACTAGACAGGAGTCCTGACGTCACTGAAGAGACTCGTGTTTTGAAGGGCCAACCCCGCTTTAAGTCGAGAACATACCCCAGGTCCCCGCCGCAACTCGAGAAAAACCATGAGACTTCCCCATAGAAGCGAGATGGGGCCCCATTCCCCTGCAGTGCATGCAGAGCTATTCTGTGATCCCGTTAAAACAAGTCAGGAGTTTCGGCTTACTTAATGGTTCTCGAGACAGTCCCCAAGAACACTGTCACCAGTCTAGACGGACCCTGAGGTCACCCCAGCAACGCAAAGCAGCTCCATGTGCCCCAAATCAACTCGAGATGAGGCCCGATTCCCCTGCATTGACTCCAGAGCCATTCCCCGTTCCCCATTCAACACGACCGGTGGCTCGACTTCCTTCAGGCAACTCCAGAGATGCCCCGAGAACAATGTCCCAAGTCTAGAGGAACACCAACTTCAGCACAGCAACTCGAGGAATGCTCTGTGTACCCCAAATCGTCTCGAGATGAGAGCTGATTCCGTGGCTTAGGCTCAAGACGTATGCCAACTTTCCAGAAGCACCTCAGGAGGAGGATTCTCTCAGCAATAGGTATGTGGGAGGGACCCCGAGATTGCTGCCTCAAGGGGAATATACAGCGAGAAGCCCTAACTTGAAAGGAGGCCGGATTTCCTTGCAATGGCTTGAATACAGGCTCGTCTTTCATCTCACAACATGAAGGGATGTCTGAATCCCCTGTGGAGACCATAGAGAAAGCCCTAGTTCCCTGCCTCATTTTGACAGAATGCCTCACATCCCGCTGACACCTCGAGAGGCACGCGGAGTTCATTGCTTCAAAAGGTGACGATGCCTGACTCCTCTTGAATACTGATAGGAATCCCAAAATCACTGTGGCTACTGGAAAGGGTCCTTGGGTTCCCTGCCTCACTTCGAGAAGCGTCCCTTTTGCCCTGACAAGCCTCGAAGAGATTCCTGAGGTGTCCCTCGTTACTAGACAGGAGTCCTGACGTCACTGAAGAGACTCGTGTTTTGAAGGGCCAACCCCGCTTTAAGTCGAGAACATACCCCAAGTCCCCGCCGCAACTCGAGAAAAACCATGAGACTTCCCCATAGAAGCGAGATGGGGCCCCATTCCCCTGCAGTGCATGCAGAGCTATTCTGTGATCCCGTTCAAACAAGTCAGGAGTTTCGGCTTACTTAATGGTTCTCGAGACAGTCCCCAAGAACACTGTCACCAGTCTAGACGGACCCTGAGGTCACCCCACCAACGCAAAGCAGCTCCATGTGCCCCAAATCAACTCGAGATGAGGCCCGATTCCCCTGCATTGACTAAAGAGCCATTCCCCTTCCCCATTCAACAGGACCGGTGGCTCGACTTACTTCAGGGAACTCCAGAGATGCCCCGAGAACACTGTCCCAAGTCTAGAGGAACACCAACTTCAGCACAGCAACTCGAGGAATGCTCCGTGTACCCCAAATCGTCTCGAGATGAGAGCTGATTCCCTGGCTTAGGCCTAAGACGTATGCAACTTTCCAGAAGCACCTCAGTAGGAGGCTTCTCTAAGCAATAGGTATGTGGGAGGGACCCCGAGTTTGCTGCCTCAAGGGGAATATACAGCGAGAAGCCCTAATTTGAAAGGAGGCCGGATTTCCTTGCAGTGGCTTGAATACAGGCTCGTCTTTCAACTCACAACATGAAGGGATTTCTGAATCCCCTGTGGAGACCTTAGAGAAAGCCCTAGGTCCCTGCCTCATTTTGACGGAATGCCTCACATCCCGCTGACACCTCGAGAGGCACGGGGAGTTCATTGCTTCAAAAGGTGACGATGCCTGACTCCTCTTGAATACTGATAGGAATCCCAAAATCCCTGTGGCTACTGGAAAGGGTCCTTGGGTGCCCTGCCTCACCTCGAGAAGCGTCCCTTTTGCCCTGACAAGCCTCGAAGAGATTCCTGAGGTGTCCCTTGTTATTAGCCAGGAGTCCTGACTTCACTGAAGAGACTCGTGTTTTGAAGGACCATCCCCGCCTTAAGTCGAGAACATGCCCCAAGTCCCCGCCGCAACTGGAGAAAAACCATGAGACTTCCCCATAGAAGCAAGATGAGGCCCCATTCCCCTGCAGTGCATGCAGAGCTATACTGTGATCCCGTTCAAACAAGTCAGGAGCTTCGTCTTGCTTAATGGATCTCGAGAAAGTCCCCAAGAACACTGTCACCAGTCTAGACGGACCCTGAGGTCACTCCAGCAACGCAAAGCAGTTCCATGTGCCCCAAATCAACTCGAGATGAGGCCCGATTCCCCTGCATTGACTCCAGAGCCATTCCCCGTTACCCATTCAACACGACCGGTGGCTCGACTTCCTTCAGGCAACTCCAGAGATGCCCCGACAACACTCTCCCAAGTCTAGAGGAAAACCAACTTAAGCACAGCAACTCGAGGAATGCTCCGTGTACCCCAAATCGTCTCGAGATGAGAGCTGATTCCCTGGCTTAGGCTCAAGACGTATGCCAACTTTCCAGAAGCACCTCAGGAGGAGGCTTCTCTCAGCAATAGGTATGTGGGAGGGACCCCGAGTTTGCTACCTCAAGGGGAATACACAGCGAGAAGCCCTAACTTGAAAGGAGGCCGGATTTCCTTGCAGTGGCTTAAATACAGGCCCGTCTTTCATCTCACTACATGAAGGGATGTCTGAATCCCCTGTGGAGACCTTAGAGAAAGCCCTAGGTCCCTGACTCATTTTGACGGAATGCCTCACATCCCGCTGACACCTCGAGAGGCACGCGGAGTTCATTGCTTCAAAAGGTGACGATGCCTGCCTCCTCTTGAATACTGATAGGAATCCCAAAATCCCTGTGGCTACTGGAAAGGTTCCTTGGGTGTCCTGCCTCACCTCGAGAAGCGTCCCTTTTGCCCTGCCAAGCCTCGAAGAGATTCCTGAGGTGTCCCTCGTTACTAGACAGGTGTCCTGACGTCACTGAAGAAACTCGTGTTTTGAAGGGCCATCCCCGCCGTAAGTCGAGAACATACCCCATGTCCCTGCCGCAACTCGAGAAAAACCATGAGACTTCCCCCTAGAGGGGAGATGAGGCCCCATTCCCCTGCAGTGCATGCAGAGGTATTCCGTGATCCCATTCAAAAAAGTCAGGAGCTTCGACTTGCTTAATGGATCTCGAGACAGTCCCCAAGAACACTGTCACCAGTCTAGACGGACCCTGAGGTCACCCCAGCAAGGCAAAGCAGCTCCATGTGCCCCAATTCAACATGAGATGATTCCCGATTCCCCTGAATTGACTCCAGAGCCATTCGCAGTTCCCGATTCAACACGACCGGTGGCTCGACTTCCTTCAGGCATCTCCAGAGATGCCCCGAGAACACTGTCCCAAGTCTAGAAAAACACCAAGTTCAGCACAGCAACTCGAGGAATGCTACGTGTACCCCAAATCGTCTCGAGATGAGAGCTGATTCCCTGGCTTAGGCTCAAGACGTATGCCAACTTTCCAGAAGCACCTCAGGAGGAGGCTTCTCTCAACAATAGGTATGTGGGAGGGACCCCGAGTTGCTGCCTCAAGGGGAATATACAGCGAGACGTCCTAACTTGAAAGGAGGCAGGATTTCCTTGCAGTGGCTTAAATACAGGCCCGTCTTTCATCTCACAACATGAAGGGATGTCTGAATCCCCTGTGGAGACCTTAGAGAAAGCCCTAGGTCCCTGCCTCCTTTTGACGGAATGCCTCACATCCCGCTGACACCTCGAGAGGCACGCGGAGTTCATTGCTTCAAAAGGTGACGATGCCTGACTCCTCTTGAATACTGATTGGAATCCCAAAATCCCTGTGCTACTGGAAAGGGTCCTTGTGTGCCCTGCCTCACCTCGAGAAGCGTCCGTTTTGCCCTGCCAAGCCTCGAAGAGATTCCTGAGGTGTCCCTCGTTACTAGACAGGAGTCCTGACGTCACTGAAGAAACTCGTGTTTTGAAGGGCCAACCCGCCGTAAGTCGAGAACATACCACAGGTCCCCGCCGCAACTCGAGAAAAACCATGAGAGTTTCCCCTAGAGGCGAGATGAGGCCCCATTCCCCTGCAGTGCATGCAGAGCTATTCCGTGATCCCATTCAAACAAGGCAGGAGCTTCGACTTGCTTAATGGATCTCGAGACAGTCCTCAAGAACACTGTCACCAGTCTAGACGGACCCTGAGGTCACCCCAGCAACGCAAAGCAGCTCCATGTGCCCCAGATCAACTCGAGATGAGGCCCGATTCCCCTGCATTGACTCCAGAACCATTCCCCGTTCCCCATTCAACACGACCGGTGGCTCGACTTCTTTCAGGCAACTGCAGAGATGCCCCGAGAACACTGTCCCAAGTCTAGAGGAACACCAACTTCAGCACAGCACCTCGAGGAATGCTCCGTGTACCCCAAATCGTCTCGAGATGAGAGCTGATTCCCTGGCTTAGGCTCAAGACGTATGCCAACTTTCCAGAAGCACCTCAGGAGGAGGCTTCTCTCAGCAATAGCTATGTGGGAGGGACCACAAGTTTGCTGCCTCAAGGGGAATATACAGCGAGAAGCCCTAACTTGAAAGGAGGCCGGATTTCCTTGCAGTGGCTTGAATACAGGCTCGTCTTTCATCTCACAACATGAAGGGATGTCTGAATCCCCTGTGGAGACCTTAGAGAAAGCCCTAGGTCCCTGCCTCATTTTGACGGAATGCCTCACATCCCGCTGACACCTCGAGAGGCACGCGGAGTTCATTGCTTCAAAAGGTGACGATGCCTGACTCCTCTTGAATACTGATAGGAATCCCAAAATCCCTGTGGCTACTGGAAAGTTTCCTTGGGTGTCCTGCCTCACCTCGAGAAGCGTCCCTTTTGCCCTGCCAAGCCTCGAAGAGATTCCTGAGGTGTCCCTCGTTACTAGACAGGAGTCCTGACGTCACTGAAGAAACTCGTGTTTTGCAGGGCCATCCCCGCCGTAAGTCGAGAACATACCCCCGGTCCCTGCCGCAACTCGAGAAAAACCATGAGACTTCCCCCTAGAGGGGAGATGAGGCCCCATTCCCTGCAGTGCATGCAGAGCTATTCCGTGATCCCATTCAAACAAGGCAGGAGCTTCGACTTGCTTAATGGATCTCGAGACAGTCCCCAAGAACACTGTCACCAGTCTAGACGGACCCTGAGGTCACCCCAGCAACGCAAAGCAGCTCCATGTGCCCCAAATCAACTCGAGATGAGGCCCGATTCCCCGGAATTGACTCCAGAGCCTTTCCCAGTTCCCCATTCAACACGACCTGTGGCTCGACTTCCTTCAGGCAACTCCAGACATGCCCCGAGAACACTGTCCCAAGTCTAGAGGAACACCAACTTCAGCACAGGAACTCGAGGAATGCTCCGTGTACCCCAAATTGTCTCGAGATGAGAGCTGATTCCCTGGCTTAGGCTCAAGACGTATGCAACTTTCCAGAAGCACCTCAGTAGGAGGCTTCTCTCAGCAATAGGTATGTGGGAGGGACCCCGAGGTTTCTGCCTCAAGGGGAATATACAGCAAGAAGCCCTAACTTGAAAGGAGGCCGGATTCCCTTGCAGTGGCTTGAATACAGGCTCGTCTTTCATCTCACAACATGAAGGGATTTCTGAATCCCCTGTGGAGACCTTAGAGAAAGCCCTAGGTCCCTGCCTCATTTTGACGGAATGCCTCACATCCCGCTGACACCTCGAGAGGCACGGGGAGTTCATTGCTTCAAAAGGTGACGATGCCTGACTCCTCTTGAATACTGATAGGAATCCCAAAATCCCTGTGGCTACTGGAAAGGGTCCTTGGGTGCCCTGCCTCACCTCGAGAAGCGTCCCTTTTGCCCTGACAAGCCTCGAAGAGATTCCTGAGGTGTCCTTCGTTATTAGACAGGAGTCCTGACTTCACCGAAGAGACTCGTGTTTTGAAGGACCATCCCCGCCTTAAGTCGAGAACATGCCCCAAGTCCCCGCCGCAACTGGAGAAAAACCATGAGACTTCCCCATAGAAGCAAGATGAGGCCCCATTCCCCTGCAGTGCATGCAGAGCTATTCTGTGATCCCGTTCAAACAAGTCAGGAGCTTCGACTTGCTTAATGGATCTCGAGACAGTCCCCAAGAACACTGTCACCAGTCTAGACGGACCCTGAGGTCACCCCAGCAACGCAAAGCAGTTCCATGTGCCCCAAATCAATTCGAGATGATGCCCGATTCCCCTGCATTGACTCCAGAGCCATTCCCCGTTCCCCATTCAACACGACCGGTGGCTCGACTTCCTTCAGGCAACTACAGAGATGCCCCGACAACACTGTCCCAAGTCTAGAGGAACACCAACTTCAGCACAGCAACTCGAGGAATGCTCTGTGTACCCCAAATCGTCTCGAGATGAGAGCTGATTCCGTGGCTTAGGCTCAAGACGTATGCCAACTTTCCAGAAGCACCTCAGGAGGAGGCTTCTCTCAGCAATAGGTATGTGGGAGGGACCCCGAGATTGCTGCCTCAAGGGGAATATACAGCGAGAAGCCCTAACTTGAAAGGAGGCCGGATTTCCTTGCAATGGCTTGAATACAGGCTCGTCTTTCATCTCACAACATGAAGGGATGTCTGAATCCCCTGTGGAGACCTTAGAGAAAGCCCTAGTTCCCTGCCTCATTTTGACAGAATGCCTCACATCCCGCTGACACCTCGAGAGGCACGCGGAGTTCATTGCTTCAAAAGGTGACGATGCCTGACTCCTCTTGAATACTGATAGGAATCCCAAAATCCCTGTGGATACTGGAAAGGGTCCTTGGGTTCCCTGCCTCACTTCGAGAAGCGTCCCTTTTGCCCTGACAAGCCTCGAAGAGATTCCTGAGGTGTCCGTCGTTACTAGACAGGAGTCCTGACGTCACTGAAGAGACTCGTGTTTTGAAGGGCCAACCCCGCTTTAAGTCGAGAACATACCCCAAGTCCCCGCCGCAACTCGAGAAAAAACATGAGACTTCCCCATAGAAGCGAGATGGGGCCCCATTCCCCTGCAGTGCATGCAGAGCTATTCTGTGATCCCGTTCAAACAAGTCAGGAGTTTCGGCTTACTTAATGGTTCTGGAGACAGTCCCCAAGAACACTGTCACCAGTCTAGACGGACCCTGAGGTCACCCCAGCAACGCAAAGGAGCTCCATGTGCCCCAAATCAACTCGAGATGAGGCCCGATTCCCCTGCATTGACTGAAGAGCCATTCCCCATTCCCCATTCAACAGGACCGGTGGCTCGACTTCCTTCAGGCAACTCCAGAGATGCCCCGAGAACACTGTCCCAAGTCTAGAGGAACACCAACTTCAGCACAGGAACTCGAGGAATGCTCCGTGTACCCCAAATCGTCTCGAGATGAGAGCTGATTCCCTGGCTTAGGCTCAAGACGTATGGCAACTTTCCAGAAGCACCTCAGGAGGAGGCTTCTCTCAGCAATAGGTATGTGGGAGGGACCCCGAGTTTGCTGCCTCAAGGGGAATATACAGCGAGAAGCCCTAACTTGAAAGGAGGCCGGATTTCCTTGCAGTGGCTTGAATCCCGGCTCGTCTTTCATCTCACAACATGAAGGGATTTCTGAATCCCCTGTGGAGACCTTAGAGAAAGCCCTAGGTCCCTGCCTCATTTTGACGGAATGCCTCACATCCCGCTGACACCTCGAGAGGCACGGGGAGTTCATTGCTTCAAAAGGTGACGATGCCTGACTCCTCTTGAATACTGATAGGAATCCCAAAATCCCTGTGGCTACTGGAAAGGGTCCTTGGGTGCCCTGCCTCACCTCGAGAAGCGTCCCTTTTGCCCTGACAAGCCTCGAAGAGATTACTGAGGTGTCCCTCGTTATTAGACAGGAGTCCTGACTTCACTGAAGAGACTCGTGTTTTGAAGGACCATCCCCGCCGTAAGTCGAGAACATGCCCCAAGTCCCCGCCGCAACTGGAGAAAAACCATGAGACTTCCCCATAGAAGCAAGATGAGGCCCCATTCCCCTGCAGTGCATGCAGAGCTATTCTGTGATCCCGTTCAAACAAGTCAGGAGCTTCGACTTGCTTAATGGATCTCGAGACAGTCCCCAAGAACACTGTCACCAGTCTAGACGGACCCTGAGGTCACTCAAGCAACGCAAAGCAGTTACATGTGCCCCAAATCAACTCGAGATGAGGCCCGATTCCCCTGCATTGACTCCAGAGCCATTCCCCGTTCCCCATTCAAGACGACCGGTGGCTCGACTTCCTTCAGGCAACTCCAGAGATGCCCCGACAACACTGTCCCAAGTCTAGAGGAACACCAACTTAAGCACAGCAACTCGAGGAATGCTCCGTGTACCCCAAATCGTCTCGAGATGAGAGCTGATTCCCTGGCTTAGGCTCAAGACGTATGCCAACTTTCCAGAAGCACCTCAGGAGGAGGCTTCTCTCAGCAATAGGTATGTGGGAGGGACCCCGAGTTTGCTACCTCAAGGGGAATACACAGCGAGAAGCCCTAACTTGAAAGGAGGCCGGATTTCCTTGCAGTGGCTTAAATACAGGCCCATCTTTCATCTCACTACATGAAGGGATGTCTGAATCCCCTGTGGAGACCTTAGAGAAAGCCCTAGGTCCCTGCCTTATTTTGACGGAATGCCTCACATCCCGCTGACACCTCGAGAGGCACGCGGAGTTCATTGCTTCAAAAGGTGACGATGCCTGACTCCTCTTGAATACTGATAGGAATCCCAAAATCCCTGTGGCTACTGGAAAGGGTCCTTGGGTGCCCTGCCTCACCTCGACAAGCGTCCCTTTTGCCCTGCCAAGCCTCGAAGAGATTCCTGAGGTGTCCCTCGTTACTAGACAGGAGTCCTGACGTCACTGAAGAAACTCGTGTTTTGAAGGGCCAAGCCGCCGTAAGTCGAGAACATACCCCAGGTCCCCGCAGCAACTCGAGAAAAACCATGAGACTTCGCCCTAGAGGCGAGATGAGGCCCCATTCCCCTGCAGTGCATGCAGAGCTATTCCTTGATCCCGTTCAAACAAGTCAGGAGCTTCGACTTGCTTAATGGTTCTCGAGACAGTCCCCAGGAACACTGTCACCAGTTTAGACGGACCCTGAGGTCACCCCAGCAACGCAAAGCAGCTCCATGTGCCCCAAATCAACTCGAGATGAGGCCTGATTCCCCTGCATTGACTCCAGAGCCATTCCCCGTTCCCCATTCAACACGACCGGTGGCTCGACTTCCTTCAGGCAACTCCAGAGATGCCCCGAGAACACTGTCCCAAGGCTAGAGGAACACCAACTTCAGCACAGCAACTCGAGGAATGCTCCGTGTACCCCAAATCGTCTCGAGATGAGAGCTGATTCCCTTGCTTAGGCTCAAGACGTATGCCAACTTTCCAGAAGCACCTCAGGAGGAGGCTTCTCTCAGCAATAGGTATGTGGGAGGGACCCCGAGTTTGCTGCCTCAAGGGGAATATACAGCGAGAAGCCCTAACTTGAAAGGAGGCCGGATTTCCTTGCAGTGGCTTAAATACAGGCCCGTCTTTCATCTCACAACATGAAGGGATGTCTGAATCCCCTGTGGAGACCTTAGAGAAAGCCCTAGGTCCCTGCCTCATTTTGACGGAATGCCTCACATCCCGCTGACACCTCGAGAGGCACGCGGAGTTCATTGCTTCAAAAGGTGACGATGCCTGACTCCTCTTGAATACTGATAGGAATCCCAAAATCCCTGTGGCTACTGGAAAGGGTCCTTGGATGCCCTGCCTCACCTCGACAAGCGTCCCTTTTGCCCTGCCAAGCCTCGAAGAGATTCCTGAGGTGTCCCTCGTTACTAGACAGGAGTCCTGACGTCACTGAAGAAACTCGTGTTTTGAAGGGCCATCCCCGCCGTAAGTCGAGAACATACCCCATGTCCCCGCCGCAACTCGAGAAAAACCATGAGACTTCCCCATAGAGGCGAGATGAGGCCCCATTCCCCTGCAGTGAATTCAGAGCTATTCTGTGAACCCGTTCAAACAAGTCAGGAGCTTCGACTTGCTTAATGGATCTCGAGACAGTCCCCAAGAACACTGTCACCAGCCTAGACGTACCCTGAGGTCCCACCAGCAACACAAAGCAGCTCCATGTGCCCCATATCAACTCGAGATGAGGCCCGATTCCCCTGCATTGACTCCAGAGCCATTCCCCGTTCCCCATTCAACACGACCGGTGGCTCTACTTCCTTCAGGCAACTCCAGAGATGCCCCGAGAACACTGTCCCAAGTCTAGAGGAACACTAACTTCAGTACAGCAACACGAGGAATGCTCCGTGTACCCCAAATCGTCTCGAGATGAGAGCTGATTCCCTGGCTTAGGCTCAAGACGTATGCCAACTTTCCAGAAGCACCTCAGGAGGAGGCTTCTCTCAGCAATAGGTATGTGGGAGGGACCCCGAGTTTGCTGCCTCAAGGGGAATATACAGCGAGAAGCCCTAACTTGAAAGGAGGCCGGATTTCCTTGCAGTGGCTTGAATACAGGCTCGTCTTTCATCTCACAACATGAAGGGATGTCTGAATCCCCTGTGGAGACCTTAGAGAAAGACCTAGGTCCCTGCCTCATTTTGACGGAATGCCTCACATCCCGCTGACACCTCGAGAGGCACGCGGAGTTCATTGCTTCAAAAGGTGACGATGCCTGACTCTTCTTGAATACTGATAGGAATCCCAAAATCCCTGTGGCTACTGGAAAGGGTCCTTGGGTGCCCTGCGTCACCTCGAGAAGCGTCCCTTTTGCCCTGCCAAGCCTCGAAGAGATTCCTGAGGTGTCCCTCGTTACTAGACAGGAGTCCTGACGTCACTGAAGAAACTCGTGTTTTGAAGGGCCATCCCCGCCGTAAGTCGAGAACATACCCCATGTCCACGCCGCAACTCGAGAAAAACCATGAGACTTCCCCATAGAAGCGAGATGAGGCCCCATTCCCCTGCAGTGCATTCAGAGCTATTCTGTGAACCCGTTCAAACAAGTCAGGAGCTTCGACTTGCTTAATGGATCTCGAGACATTCCCCAAGAACACTGTCACCAGCCTAGACGGACCCTGAGGTCACCCCAGCAACGCAAAGCAGCTCCATGTGCCCCAAATCAACTCTTGATGAGGCCCGATTCCCCTGCATTGACTCCAGAGCGATTCCCCGTTCCCCATTCAACACGACCGTTGGCTCGACTTCCTTCAGGCAACTCCAGAGATGCCCCGAGAACACTGCCCCAAGGCTAGAGGAACACCAACTTCAGCACAGCAACTCGAGGAATGCTCCGTGTACCCCAAATCGTCTCGAGATGTGAACTGATTCCCCTGCTTAGGCTCAAGACGTATGCCAACTTTCCAGAAGCACCTCAGGAGGAGGCTTCTCTCAGCAATAGGTATGTGGGAGGGACCCCGAGTTTGCTGCCTCAAGGGGAATATACAGCGAGAAGCCCTAACTTGAAAGGAGGCCGGATTTCCTTGCAGTGGCTTGAATACAGGCTCGTCTTTCATCTCACAACATGAAGGGATGTCTGAATCCCCTGTGGAGACCTTAGAGAAAGCCCTAGGTCCCTGCCTCATTTTGACGGAATGCCTCACATCCCGCTGACACCTCGAGAGGCACGCGGAGTTCATTGCTTCAAAAGGTGACGATGCCTGACTCTTCTTGAATACTGATAGGAATCCCAAAATCCCTGTGGCTACTGGAAAGGGTCCTTGGGTGCCCTGCCTCACCTCGAGAAGCGTCCCTTTTCCCCTGCCAAGCCTCGAAGAGATTCCTGAGCTGTCCCTCGTTACTAGACAGGAGTCCTGACGTCACTGAAGAAACTCGTGTTTTGAAGGGCCATCCCCGCCGTAAGTCGAGAACATACCCCATGTCCACGCCGCAACTCGAGAAAAACCATGAGACTTCCCCATAGAAGCGAGATGAGGCCCCATTCCCCTGCAGTGCATTCAGAGCTATTCTGTGAACCCATTCAAACAAGTCAGGAGCTTCGACTTGCTTAATGGATCTCGAGACATTCCCCAAGAACACTGTCACCAGCCTAGACGGACCCTGAGGTCCCACCAGCAACGCAAAGCAGCTCCATGTGCCCCAAATCAACTCTTGATGAGGCCCGATTCCCCTGCATTGACTCCAGAGCCATTCCCCGTTCCCCATTCAACACGACCGGTGGCTCGACTTCCTTCAGGCAACTCCAGAGATGCCCCGAGAACACTGTCCCAAGGCTAGAGGAACACAAACTTCAGCACAGGAACTCGAGGAATGCTCCGTGTACCCCAAATCGTCTCGAGATGAGAGCTGATTCCGTGGCTTAGGCTGAAGACGTATGCAACTTTCCAGAAGCACCTCAGTAGGAGGCTTCTCTCAGCAATAGGTATGTGGGAGGGACCCCGAGTTTGCTGCCTCAAGGGGAATATACAGCGAGAAGCCCTAACTTGAAAGGAGGCCGGATTTCCTTGCAGTGGCTTGAATCCCGGCTCGTCTTTCATCTCACAACATGAAGGGATTTCTGAATCCCCTGTGGAGACCTTAGAGAAAGCCCTAGGTCCCTGCCTCATTTTGACGGAATGCCTCACATCCCGCTGACACCTCGAGAGGCACGCGGAGTTCATTGCTTCAAAAGGTGACGATGCCTGCCTCCTCTTGAATACTGATAGGAATCCCAAAATCCCTGTGGCTACTGGAAAGGGTCCTTGGGTGCCCTGCCTCACCTCGAGAAGCGTCCCTTTTGCCCTGACAAGCCTCGAAGAGATTACTGAGGTGTCCCTCGTTATTAGACAGGAGTCCTGACTTCACTGAAGAGACTCGTGTTTTGAAGGACCATCCCCGCCGTAAGTCGAGAACATGCCCCAAGTCCCCGCCGCAACTGGAGAAAAACCATGAGACTTCCCCATAGAAGCAAGATGAGGCCCCATTCCCCTGCAGTGCATGCAGAGCTATTCTGTGATCCCGTTCAAACAAGTCAGGAGCTTCGACTTGCTTAATGGATCTCGAGACAGTCCCCAAGAACACTGTCACCAGTCTAGACGGACCCTGAGGTCACTCAAGCAACGCAAAGCAGTTACATGTGCCCCAAATCAACTCGAGATGAGGCCCGATTCCCCTGCATTGACTCCAGAGCCATTCCCCGTTCCCCATTCAAGACGACCGGTGGCTCGACTTCCTTCAGGCAACTCCAGAGATGCCCCGAGAACACTGTCCCAAGTCTAGAGGAACACCAACTTAAGCACAGCAACTCGAGGAATGCTCCGTGTACCCCAAATCGTCTCGAGATGAGAGCTGATTCCCTGGCTTAGGCTCAAGACGTATGCCAACTTTCCAGAAGCACCTCAGGAGGAGGCTTCTCTCAGCAATAGGTATGTGGGAGGGACCCCGAGTTTGCTACCTCAAGGGGAATAAACAGCGAGAAGCCCTAACTTGAAAGGAGGCCGGATTTCCTTGCAGTGGCTTAAATACAGGCCCGACTTTCATCTCACTACATGAAGGGATGTCTGAATCCCCTGTGGAGACCTTAGAGAAAGCCCTAGGTCCCTGACTCATTTTGACGGAATGCCTCACATCCCGCTGACACCTCGAGAGGCACGCGGAGTTCATTGCTTCAAAAGGTGACGATGCCTGCCTCCTCTTGAATACTGATAGGAATCCCAAAATCCCTGTGGCTACTGGAAAGGGTCCTTGGGTGCCCTGCCTCACCTCGAGAAGCGTCCCTTTTGCCCTGCCAAGCCTCGAAGAGATTCCTGAGGTGTCCCTCGTTACTAGACAGGAGTCCTGAAGTCACTGAAGAAACTCGTGTTTTGAAGGGTCAACCCGTCGTAAGTCGAGAACATACCCCAGGTCCCCGCCGCAACTCGAGAAAAACCATGAGACTTCCCCCTAGAGGCGAGATGAGGCCCCATTTACCTGCAGTGCATGTAGAGCTATTCCTTGATCCCGTTCAAACAAGTCAGGAGCTTCGACTTGCTTAATGGTTCTCGAGACAGTCCCCAAGAACACTGTCACCAGCCTAGACGGACCCTGAGGTCCCACCAGCAACGCAAAGCAGCTCCATGTGCCCCAAATCAACTCTTGATGAGGCCCGATTCCCCTGCATTGACTCCAGAGCCATTCCCCGTTCCCCATTCAACACGACCGGTGGCTCGACTTCCTTCAGGCAACTCCAGAGATGCCCCGAGAACACTGTCCCAAGGCTAGAGGAACACCAACTTCAGCACAGCAACTCGAGGAATGCTCCGTGTACCCCAAATCGTCTCGAGATGAGAGCTGATTCCCTTGCTTAGGCTCAAGACGTATGCCAACTTTCCAGAAGCACCTCAGGAGGAGGCTTCTCTCAGCAATAGGTATGTGGGAGGGACCCCGAGTTTGCTGCCTCAAGGGGAATATACAGCGAGAAGCCCTAACTTGAAAGGAGGCCGGATTTCCTGCAGTGGCTTAAATACAGGCCCGTCTTTCATCTCACAACATGAAGGGATGTCTGAATCCCCTGTGGAGACCTTAGAGAAAGCCCTAGGTCCCTGCCTTATTTTGACGGAATGCCTCACATCCCGCTGACACCTCGAGAGGCACGCGGAGTTCATTGCTTCAAAAGGTGACGATGCCTGACTCCTCTTGAATACTGATAGGAATCCCAAAATCGCTGTGGCTACTGGAAAGGGTCCTTGGGTGCCCTGCCTCACCTCGACAAGCGTCCCTTTTGCCCTGCCAAGCCTCGAAGAGATTCCTGAGGTGTCCCTCGTTACTAGACAGGAGTCCTGACGTCACTGAAGAAACTCGTGTTTTGAAGGGCCAAGCCGCCGTAAGTCGAGAACATACCCCAGGTCCCCGCAGCAACTCGAGAAAAACCATGAGACTTCGCCCTAGAGGCGAGATGAGGCCCCATTCCCCTGCAGTGCATGCAGAGCTATTCCTTGATCCCGTTCAAACAAGTCAGGAGCTTCGACTTGCTTAATGGATCTCGAGACAGTTCCCAAGAACACTGTCACCAGCCTAGACGTACCCTGAGGTCCCACCAGCAACACAAAGCAGCTCCATGTGCCCCATATCAACTCGAGATGAGGCCCGATTCCCCTGCATTGACTCCAGAGCCATTCCCCGTTCCCCATTCAACACGACCGGTGGCTCTACTTCCTTCAGGCAACTCCAGAGATGCCCCGAGAACACTGTCCCAAGTCTAGAGGAACACTAACTTCAGTACAGCAACTCGAGGAATGCTCCGTGTACCCCAAATCGTCTCGAGATGAGAGCTGATTCCCTGGCTTAGGCTCAAGACGTATGCCAACTTTCCAGAAGCACCTCAGGAGGAGGCTTCTCTCAGCAATAGGTATGTGGGAGGGACCCCGAGTTTGCTGCCTCAAGGGGAATATACAGCGAGAAGCCGTAACTTGAAAGGAGGCCGGATTTCCTTGCAGTGGCTTGAATACAGGCTCGTCTTTCATCTCACAACATGAAGGGATGTCTGAATCCCCTGTGGAGACCTTAGAGAAAGCCCTAGGTCCCTGCCTCATTTTGACGGAATGCCTCACATCCCGCTGACACCTCGAGAGGCACGCGGAGTTCATTGCTTCAAAAGGTGACGATGCCTGACTCTTCTTGAATACTGATAGGAATCCCAAAATCCCTGTGGCTACTGGAAAGGGTCCTTGGGTGCCCTGCCTCACCTCGAGAAGCGTCCCTTTTCCCCTGCCAAGCCTCGAAGAGATTCCTGAGCTGTCCCTCGTTACTAGACAGGAGTCCTGACGTCACTGAAGAAACTCGTGTTTTGAAGGGCCATCCCCGCCGTAAGTCGAGAACATACCCCATGTCCACGCCTCAACTCGAGAAAAACCATGAGACTTCCCCATAGAAGCGAGATGAGGCCCCATTCCCCTGCAGTGCATTCAGAGCTATTCTGTGAACCCGTTCAAACAAGTCAGGAGCTTCGACTTGCTTAATGGATCTCGAGACATTCCCCAAGAACACTGTCACCAGCCTAGACGGACCCTGAGGTCCCACCAGCAACGCAAAGCAGCTCCATGTGCCCCAAATCAACTCTTGATGAGGCCCGATTCCCCTGCATTGACTCCAGAGCCATTCCCCGTTCCCCATTCAACACGACCGGTGGCTCGACTTCCTTCAGGCAACTCCAGAGATGCCCCGAGAACACTGTCCCAAGTCTAGAGGAACACCAACTTCAGCACAGCAACTCGAGGAATGCTCCGTGTACCCCAAATAGTCTCGAGATGAGAGCTGATTTCCTGGCTTAGGCTCAAGACGTATGCCAACTTTCCAGAAGCACCTCAGGAGGAGGCTTCTCTCAGCAATAGGTATGTGGGAGGGACCCCGAGTTTGCTGCCTCAAGGGGAATATACAGCGAGAAGCCCTAACTTGAAAGGAGGCCGGATTTCCTTGCAGTGGCTTGAATACAGGCTCGTCTTTCATCTCACAACATGAAGGGATGTCTGAATCCCCTGTGGAGACCTTAGAGAAAGCCCTAGGTCCCTGCCTCATTTTGACGGAATGCCTCACATCCCGCTGACACCTCAAGAGGCACGCGGAGTTCATTGCTTCAAAAGGTGACGATGCCTGACTCCTCTTGAATACTGATAGGAATCCCAAAATCCCTGTGGCTACAGGAAAGGGTCCTTGGGTGCCCTGCCTCACATCGAGAAGCGTCCCTTTTGCCCTGCCAAGCCTCGAAGAGATTCCTGAGTTGTCCCTCGTTACTAGACAGGAGTCCTGAAGTCACTGAAGAAACTCGTGTTTTGAAGGGCCATCCCCGCCGTTGCTCGAGAACATACGCCAGGTCCCCGCCACAACTCGAGAAAAACCATGAGACTTCCCCCTAGAGGCGAGATGAGGCCCCATTCCCCTGCAGTGCATACAGAGCTATTCCGTGATCCCATTCAAACAAGTCAGGAGCTTCGACTTGCTTAATGGATCTCGTGACAGACCCCAAGAACACTGTCACCAGTCTAGACGGACCCTGAGGTCACCCCAGCAATGCAAAGCAGCTCCATGTTCCCCAAATCAACTCGAGATGAGGCCCGATTCCCCTGCATTGACTCCAGAGCCATTCCCCGTTCCCCATTCAACAGGACCGGTGGCTCGACTTCCTTCAGGCAACTCCAGAGATGACCCGAGAACACTGTCCCAAGTCTAGAGGAACACGAACTTCAGCACAGCAACTCGAGGAATGCACCGTGTACCCCAAATCGTCTCGAGATGAGAGCTGATTCCGTGGCTTAGGCTCAAGACATATGCCAACTTTCCAGAAGCACCTCAGGAGGAGGCTTCTCTTAGCAATAGGTATGTGGGAGGGACCCCGAGTTTGCTGCCTCAGGGGGAATATACAGCGAGAAGCCCTAACTTGAAAGGAGGCCGGATTTCCTTGCAGTGGCTTAAATACAGGCCCGTCTTTCATCTCACAACATGAAGGGATGTCTGAATCCCCTGTGGAGACCTTAGAGAAAGCCCTAGGTCCCTGCCTCATTTTGACGGAATGCCTCACATCCCGATGACACCTCGAGAGGCACGCGGAGTTCATTGCTTCAAAAGGTGACGATGCCTGACTCCTCTTGAATACTGATAGGAATCCCAAAATCCCTGTGGCTACTGGAAAGGGTCCTTGGGTGCCCTGCCTCACCTCGAGAAGCGTCCCTTTTGCCCTGCCAAGCCTCGAAGAGATTCCTGAGGTGTCCCTCGTTACTAGACAGGAGTCCTGACGTCACTGAAGAAACTCGTGTTTTGAAGGGCCATCCCCGCCGTAAGTCGAGAACATACCCCATGTCCACGCCGCAACTCGAGAAAAACCATGAGACTTCCCCATAGAAGCGAGATGAGGCCCCATTCCCCTGCAGTGCATGCAGAGCTATTCTGTGAACCCGTTCAAACAAGTCAGGAGCTTCGACTTGCTTAATGGATCTCGAGACAGTCCCCAAGGACACTGTCACCAGCCTAGACGGATCCTGAGGTCCCACCAGCAATGCAAAGCAGCAACATGTGCCCCATATCAACTCGGGATGAGGCCCGATTCCCCGGCATTGACTCCAGAGCGATTCCCCGTTCCCCATTCAACACGACCGGTGGCTCGACTTCCTTCAGGCAACTCCAGAGATGCCCCGAGAACACTGTCCCAAGGCTAGAGGAACACCAACTTCAGCACAGCAACTCGAGGAATGCTCCGTGTACCCCAAATCGTCTCGAGATGAGAGCTGATTCCCTTGCTTAGGCTCAAGACGTATGCCAACTTTACAGAAGCACCTCAGGAGGAGGCTTCTCTCAGCAATAGGTATGTGGGAGGGACCCCGAGATTGCTGCCTCAAGGGGAATATACAGCGAGAAGCCCTAACTTGAAAGGAGGCCGGATTTCCTTGCAGTGGCTTAAATACAGGCCCGTCTTTCATCTCACAACATGAAGGGATGTCTGAATCCCCTGTGGAGACCTTAGAGAAAGCCGTAGGTCCCTGCCTCATTTTGACGGAATGCCTCACATCCCGCTGACACCTCGAGAGGCACACGGAGTTCATTGCTTCAAAAGGTGACGATGCCTGACTCCTCTTGAATACTCATAGGAATCCCAAAATCCCTGTGGCTACTGGAAAGGGTCCTTGGGTGCCCTGCCTCACCTCGACAAGAGTCCCTTTTGCCCTGCCAAGCCTCGAAGAGATTCCTGAGGTGTCCCTCGTTACTAGACAGGAGTCCTGACGTCACTGAAGAAACTCGTGTTTTGAAGGGCCAAGCCGCCGTAAGTCGAGAACATACCCCAGGTCCCCGCCGCAACTCGAGAAAAACCATGAGACTTCCCCCTAGAGGCGAGATGAGGGCCCATTCCCCTGCAGTGCATGCAGAGCTATTCCTTGATCCCGTTCAAACAAGTCAGGAGCTTCGACTTGCTTAATGGTTCTCGAGACAGTCCCCAAGAACACTGTCACCAGTTTAGACGGACCCTGAGGTCACCCCAGCAACGCAAAGCAGCTCCATGTGCCCCAAATCAACTCGAGATGAGGCCTGATTCCCCTGCATTGACTCCAGAGCCATTCCCCGTTCCCCATTCAACACGACCGGTGGCTCGACTTCCTTCAGGCAACTCCAGAGATGCCCCGAGAACACTGTCCCAAGTCTAGAGGAACACCAAGTTCAGTACAGCAACTCGAGGAATGCTCCCTGTACCGCAAATCGTCTCGAGATGAGAGTTGATTTCCTGGCTTAGGCTCAAGACATATGCCAACTTTCCAGAAGCACCTCAGGAGGAGGCTTCTCTCAGCAATAGGTATGTGGGAGGGACCCCGAGTTTGCTGCCTCAAGGGGAATATACAGCGAGAAGCCCTAACTTGAAAGGAGGCCGGATTTCCTTGCAGTGGCTTGAATACAGGCTCGTCTTTCATCTCACAACATGAAGGGATGTCTGAATCCCCTGTGGAGACCTTAGAGAAAGCCCTAGGTCCCTGCCTCATTTTGACGGAATGCCTCACATCCCGCTGACAGCTCGAGAGGCACGCGGAGTTCATTGCTTCAAAAGGTGACGATGCCTGACTCCTCTTGAATACTGATAGGAATCCCAAAATCCCTGTGGCTACAGGAAAGGGTCCTTGGATGCCCTGCCTCACCTCGACAAGCGTCCCTTTTGCCCTGCCAAGCCTCGAAGAGATTCCTGAGGTGTCCCTCGTTACTAGACAGGAGTCCTGACGTCACTGAAGAAACTCGTGTTTTGCAGGGCCATTCCCGCCGTAAGTCGAAAACTTACCCCAGGTCCCCGCCGCAACTCGAGAAAAACCATGAGACTTCCCCATAGAGGCGAGATGAGGCCCCATTCCCCTGCAGTGCATGCAGAGCTATTCTGTGATCCCGTTCAAACAAGTCAGGAGCTTCGACCTGCTTAATGGATCTCGAGACAGTCCGCAGGAACACTGTCACCAGTCTAGACGGACCCTGAGGTCACCCCAGCAACGCAAAGCAGCTCCATGTGCCCCAAATCAACTCGAGATGAGGCCCGATTCCCCTGCATTGACTCCAGAGCCATTCCCCATTCCCCATTCAACACGACCGGTGGCTTGACTTCCTTCAGGCAACTCCAGAGATGCCCCGAAAACACTGTCCCAAGTCTAGAGGAACACCAACTTCAGCACAGCAACTCGAGGAATGCTCCGTGTACCCCAAATCGTCTCGAGATGAGAGCTGATTCCCTGGCTTAGGCTCAAGACGTATGCCAACTTTCCAGAAGCACCTCAGGAGGAGGCTTCTCTCAGCAATAGGTATGTGGGAGGGACCCCGAGTTTGCTGCCTCAAGGGGAATATACAGCAAGGAGCCCTAACTTGAAACGAGGCAGGATTTCCTTGCAGTGGCTTGAATACAGGCTCGTCTTTCATCTCACAACATGAAGGGATGTCTGAATCCCCTGTGGAGAACTTAGAGAAAGCCCTAGGTCCCTGCCTCATTTTGACGGAATGCCTCACATCCCGCTGACACCTCGAGAGGCACGCGGAGTTCATTGCTTCAAAAGGTGACGATGCCTGACTCCTCTTGAATACTGATAGGAATCCCAAAATCCCTGTGGCTACTGGAAAGGGTCCTTGGGTGCCCTGAGTCACCTCGAGAAGCGTCCCTTTTGCCCTGCCAAGCCTCGAAGAGATTCCTGAGGTGTCCCTCGTTACTAGACAGGAGTCCTGAGGTCACTGAAGAAACTCGTGTTTTGAAGGGCCAACCCGCAGTAAGTCGAGAACATACCCCAGGTCCCCGCTGCAACTTGAGTAAAACCATGAGACTTCCCCCTAGAGGCGAGATGAGGCCGCATTCCACTGCAGTGCACACAGAGCTATTCCTTGATCCCATTTATACAAGTCAGGAGCTTCGACTTGCTTAATGGATCTCGAGACAGTCCCCAAGAACACTGTCACCAGTCTAGACGGACCCTGAGGTCACCCCAGCAACGCAAAGCAGCTCCACGTGCCCCAAATCAACTCGAGATGAGGCCCGATTCCCCTGCATTGACTGAAGAGCCATTCCCCGTTCCCCATTCAACAGGACCGGTGGCTCGACTTCCTTCAGGCAACTCCAGAGATGCCCCGAGAACACTGTCCCAAGTCTAGAGGAACACCACCTTCAGCACAGCAACTCGAGGAATGCTCCGTGTACCCCAAATCGTCTCGAGATGGGAGCTGATTCCCTGGCTTAGGCTCAAGACGTATGCCACCTTTCCAGAAGCACCTCAGGAGGAGGCTTCTCTCAGCAATAAGTATGTGGGAGGGACCCCGAGTTTGCTGCCTCAAGGGGAATATACAGCGAGAAGCCCTAACTTGAAAGGAGGGCGGATTTCCTTGCAGTGGCTTGAATACAGGCTCGTCTTTCATCTCACAACATGACGGGATGTCTGAATCCCCTGTGGAGACCTTAGAGAAAGCCCTAGGTCCCTGCCTAATTTTGACGGAATGCCTCACATCGCCCTGACACCTCGAGAGGCACGCGGAGTTCATTGCTTCAAAAGGTGACGATGCCTGACTCCTCTTGAATACTGATAGGAATCCCAAAGTCCCTGTGGCTACTGGAAAGGGTCCTTGGGTGCCTTGCCCCAATTCGAGAAGCGTCCCTTTTGCCCTGCCAAGCCTCGAAGAGATTCCTGAGTTGTTCCTCGTTACTAGACAGGAATCCTGACGTCACTGAAGAAACTCGTGTTTTGCAGGGCCATCCCCGCCGTAAGTCGAGAACATACCCCAGGTCCCTGCCGCAACTCGAGAAAAACCATGAGACTTCCCCCTAGAGGCGAGATGAGGCCCCATCCCCCTGCAGTGCATGCAGAGCTATTCTGTGATCCCGTTCAAACAAGTCAGGAGCTTCGACCTGCTTAATGGATCTCGAGACAGTCCCCAAGAACACTGTCACCAGTCTAGACGGACCCTGAGGTCACCCCAGCAACGCAAAGCAGCTCCATGTGCCCCAAATCAACTCGAGATGAGGCCCGATTCCCCTGCATTGATTCCAGAGCCATTCCCCGTTCCCCATTCAACACGACCGGTGGCTCGACTTCCTTCAGGCAACTCAAGAGATGACCTGAGAACACTGTCCCAAGTCTAGAGGAACACCAACTTCCGCACAGCATCTCGAGGAATGCTCCGTGTACCCCAAATCGTCTCGAGATGAGAGCTGATTCCCTGGCTTAGGGTCAAGACGTATGCCAACTTTCTGGAAGCACCTCAGGAGGAGGCTTCTCTCAGCAATAGGTATGTGGGAGGGACCCCGAGCTTGCTGCCTCAAGGGGAATATACAGCGAGAAGCCCTAACTTGAAAGGAGGCAGGATTTCCTTGCAGTGGCTTGAATACAGGCTCGTCTTTCATCTCACAACATGAAGGGATGTCTGAATCCCCTGTGGAGACCTTAGAGAAAGCCCTAGGTCCCTGCCTGATTTTGACGGAATGCCTCACATCCCGCTGACACCTCGAGAGGCACGCGGAGTTCATTGCTTCAAAAGGTGATGATGCCTGACTCCTCTTGAATACTGATAGGAATCCCAAAATCCCTGTGGCTACTGGAAAGGGTCCTTGGGTGCCCTGCCTCACCTCGAGAAGCGTCCCTTTTGCCCTGCCAAGCCTCGAAGAGATTCCTGAGGTGTTCCTCGTTACTAGACAGGAGTCCTGACGTCACTGAAGAAACTCGTGTTTTGAAGGGCCATCCCCGCCGTAAGTCGAGAACATATCCCATGTCCACGCCGCAACTCGAGAAAAACCATGAGACTTCCCCATAGAAGCGAGATGAGGCCCCATTCCCCTGCAGTGCATGCAGAGCTATTCTGTGATCCCGTTCAAACAAGTCAGGAGCTTCGACTTGCTTAATCGTTCTCGAGACAGTCCCCAAGAACACTGTCACCAGTCTAGACGGACCCTGAGGTCACCCCAGCAACGCAAAGCAGCTCCATGTGCCCCAAATCAACTCGAGATGAGGCCCGATTCCCCTGCATTGACTCCAGAGCCATTCCCCGTTCCCCATTCAACACTACCGGTGGCTCGACTTCCTTCAGGCAACTCCAGAGATGCCCCGAGAACACTGTCCCAAGTCTAGAGGAAGACCAACTTCAGCACAGCAACTCGAGGAATGCTCCGTGTACCCCAAATCGTCTCGAGATGAGAGCTGATTCCGTGGCTTAGGCTCAAGACGTATGCCAACTTTCCAGAAGCACCTCAGGAGGAGGCTTCTCTCAGCAATAGGTATGTGGGAGGGACCCCGAGTTTGCTGCCTCAAGGGGAATATACAGCGAGAAGCCCTAACTTGAAAGGAGGCCGGATTTCCTCGCAGTGGCTTGAATACAGGCCCGTCTTTCATCTCACAACATGAAGGGATGTCTGAATCCCCTGTGGAGACCTTAGAGAAAGCCCTAGGTCCCTGCCTCATTTTGACGGAATGCCTCACATCCCGCTGACAGCTCGAGAGGCACGCGGAGTTCATTGCTTCAAAAGGTGACGATGCCTGACTCCTCTTGAATACTGATAGGAATCCCAAAATCCCTGTGGCTACTGGAAAGTGTCCTTGGGTGCCCTGAGTCACTTCGAGAAGCGTCCCTTTTGCCCTGCCAAGCCTCGAAGAGATTCCTGAGGTGTCCCTCGTTACTAGACAGGAGTCCTGAGGTCACTGAAGAAACTCGTGTTTTGAAGGGCCAACCCACAGTAAGTCGAGAACATACCCCAGGTCCCCACTGCAACTTGAGTAAAACCATGAGACTTCCCCCTAGAGGTGAGATGAGGCCGCATTCCACTGCAGTGCACACAGAGCTATTCCTTGATCCCATTTAAAGAAGTCAGGAGCTTCGACTTGCTTAATGGATCTCGAGACATTCCCCAAGAACACTGTCACCAGTCTAGACGGACCCTGAGGTCACCCCAGCAACGCAAAGCAGCTCCACGTGCCCCAAATCAACTCGAGATGAGGCCCGATTCCCCTGCATTGACTGAAGAGCCATTCCCCGTTCCCCATTCAACAGGACCGGTGGCTCGACTTCCTTCAGGCAACTCCAGAGATGCCCCGAGAACACTGTCCCAAGTCTAGAGGAACACCAACTTCAGCACAGCAACTCGAGGAATGCTCCGTGTACCCCAAATCGTCTCGAGATGGGAGCTGATTCCCTGGCTTAGGCTCAAGACATATGCCACCTTTCCAGAAGCACCTCAGGAGGAGGCTTCTCTCAGCAATAAGTATGTGGGAGGGACCCCGAGTTTGCTGCCTCAAGGGGAATATACAGCGAGAAGCCCTAACATGAAAGGAGGCCGGATTTCCTTGCAGTGGCTTGAATACAGGCTCGTCTTTCATCTCACAACATGACGGGATGTCTGAATCCCCTGTGGAGACCTTAGAGAAAGCCCTAGGTCCCTGCCTAATTTTGACGGAATGCCTCACATCGCGCTGACACCTCGAGAGGCACGCGGAGTTTATTGCTTCAAAAGGTGACGATGCCTGACTCCTCTTGAATACTGATAGGAATCCCAAAGTCCCTGTGGCTACTGGAAAGGGTCCTTGGGTGCCTTGCCCCACTTCGAGAAGCGTCCCTTTTGCCCTGCCAAGCCTCGAAGAGATTCCTGAGGTGTCCCTCGTTACTAGACAGGAGTCCTGACGTCACTGAAGAAACTCGTGTTTTGCAGGGCCATTCCCGCCGTAAGTCGAGAACATACCCCAGGTCCCCGCCGCAACTCGAGAAAAACCATGAGACTTCCCCCTAGAGGGGAGATGAGGCCCCATTCCCCTGCAGTGCATGCACAGCTATTCCGTGATCCCATTGAAACAAGTCAGGAGCTTCGACTTGCTTAATGGATCTCGAGACGGTCCCCAAGAACACTGTCACCAGTCTAGACGGACCCTGAGGTCACCCCAGCAACGCAAAGCAGCTCCATGTGCCACAAATCAACTCGAGATGATTCCCGATTCCCCTGCATTGACTCCAGAGCCATTCCCCGTTCCCCATTCAACACGACCGGTGGCTCGACTTCCTTCAGACAACACCAGAGATGCCCCGAGAACACTGTCCCAAGTCTAGAGGAACACCAACTTCAGCACAGCAACTCGAGGAATGCTCCGTGTACCCCAAATCGTCTCAAGATGAGAGCTCATTCCCTGGCTTAGGCTCAAGATGCATGCCAACTTTCCAGAAGCACCTCAGGAGGAGGCTTCTCTCAGCAATAGGTATGTGGGAGGGACCCCGAGTTTGCTGCCTCAAAGGGAATATACAGCGAGAAGCCCTAACTTGAAAGGAGGCAGGATTTCCTTGCAGTGGCTTGAATACAGGCTTGTCTTTCATCTCACAAAATGAAGGGATGTCTGAATCCCCTGTGGAGACCTTACAGAAAGCCCTAGGTCCCTGCCTCATTTTGACGGAATGCCTCACATCCCGCTGACACCTCGAGAGGCACGCGGAGTTCATTGCTTCAAAAGGTGACGATGCCTGACTCCTCTTGAATACTGATAGGAATCCTAAAATCCCTGTGGCTACAGGAAAGGGTCCTTGGGTGCCCTGCCTCACCTCGAGAAGCGTCCCTTTTGCCCTGCCAAGCCTCGAAGAAATTCCTGAGGTGTCCCTCGTTACAAGACAGGAGTCCTGACGTCACTGAAGAAACTCGTGTTTTGAAGGGCCATCCCCGCCGTAAGTCGAGAACATACCCCAGGTCCCCGCCGCAACTCGAGAAAAACCATGAGACTTCCCCATAGAAGCAAGATGAGGCCCCATTCCCCTGCAGTGCATGCATAGCTATTCTATGATCCCGTTCAAACATGTCAGGAGCTTCGAATTGCTTAATCGTTCTCGAGACAGTCCCCAAGAACACTGTCACCAGTCTAGACGGACCCTGAGGTCACCCCAGCAACGCAAAGCAGCTCCACGTGCCCCAAATCAACTCCAGATGAGGCCCGATTCCCCTGCATTGACTGAAGAGCCATTCCCCGTTCCCCATTCAACAGGACCGGTGGCTCGACTTCCTTCAGGCAACTCCAGAGATGCCCCGAGAACACTGTCCCAAGTCTAGAGGAACACCAACTTCAGCACAGCAACTCGAGGAATGCTCCGTGTACCCCAAATCGTCTCGAGATGAGAGCTGATTCCCTGGCTTAGGCTCAAGACGTATGACAACTTTCCAGAAGCACCTCAGGAGGAGGCTTCTCTCAGCAATAGGTATGTGGGAGGGACCCCGAGTTTGCTGCCTCAAGGGGAATATACAGCGAGAAGCCCTAACTTGAAAGGAGGCCGGATTTCCTTGCAGTGGCTTGAATACAGGCTCGTCTTTCATCTCACAACATGAAGGGATGTCTGAATCCCCTGTGGAGACCTTAGAGAAAGCTCTAGGTCCCTGCCTCATTTTGACGGAATGGCTCACATCCCGCTGACACCTTGAGAGCCACGCGGAGTTCATGCTTCAAAATGTGACGATGCCTGACTCCTCTTGAACACTGATAGGAATACCAAAATCCCTGTGGCTACTGGAAAGGGTCCTTGGGTTCCTTGCCTCACCTCGAGAAGCGTCCCTTTTGCCCTGCCAAGCCTCGAAGAGATTTCTGAGGTGTCCCTCGTTACTAGACAGGAGTCCTGACGTCACTGAAGAAACTCGTGTTTTGCAGGGCCATCCCCGCCATAAGTCGTGAACATACCCCAGGTCCCCGCCGCAACTCGATAAAAACCATGAGACTTCCCCCTAGAGGCGAGATGAGGCCCCATTCCCCTGCAGTGCATGCAGAGCTATTCTGTGATCCTGTTCAAACAAGTCAGGAGCTTCGACTTGCTTAATCGTTCTCGAGACAGTCCCCAAGAACACTGTCACGAGTCTAGATGGACCCTGAGGTCACCCCAGCAACGCAAAGCAGCTCCATGTGCCCCAAATCAACTCGAGATGAGGCCCGATTCCCCTGCATTGACTGCAGAGCCATTCCCCGTTCCCCATTCAACACGACCGGTGGCTCGACTTCCTTCAGGCAACTCCAGAGATGCCCCGAGAACACTGTCCCAAGTCTAGAGGAACACTACCTTCAGCACAGCAACTCGAGGAATGCTCCGTGTACCCCAAATCGTCTCGAGATGAGAGCTGATTCCCTGGCTTAGGCTCAAGACGTATGCCAACTTTCCAGAAGCACCTCAGGAGGAGGCTTCTCTCAGCAATAGGTATGTGGGAGGGACCCCGAGTTTGCTGCCTCAAGGGGAATATACAGCGAGAAGCCCTAACTTGAAAGGAGGCCGGATTTCCTCACAGTGGCTTAAATACAGGCCCGTCTTTCATCTCACAACATGAAGGGATGTCTGAATCCCCTGTGGAGACCTTAGAGAAAGCCCTAGGTCCCTGCCTCATTTTGACGGAATGCCTCACATCCCGCTGACACCTCGAGAGGCACGCCGAGTTCATTGCTTCAAAAGGTGACGATGCCTGACTCCTCTTGAATACTGATAGGAATCCCAAAACCCCTGTGGCTACTGGAAAGGGTCCTTGGGTGCCTTGCCTCACCTCGAGAAGCGTCCCTTTTGCCCTGCCAAGCCTCGAAGAGATTCCTGAGGTGTCCCTCGTTACTAGACAGGAGTCCTGACGTCACTGAAGAAACTCTTGTTTTGCAGGGCCATCCCCGCCGTAAGTCGAGAACATACCCCAGGTCCCCGCCGCAACTCGAGAAAAACCATGAGACTTCCCCTTAGAGGCGAGATGAGGCCCCATCCCCCTGCAGTGCATGCAGAGCTATTCTGTGATCCCATTCAAACAAGTCAGGAGCTTCGACTTGCTTAATGGATCTCGAGACAGTCCCCAAGAACACTGTCACCAGTCTAGACGGACCCTGAGGTCACCCCAGCAACGCAAAGCAGCTCCATGTGCCCCAAATCAACTCGAGATGAGGCCCGATTCCCCTGCATTGACTCCAGAGCCATTCACGGTTCCCCATTCAACACGACCGGTGGCTCGACTTCCTTCAGGCAAATCCAGAGATGCCCCGAGAACACTGTCCCAAGTCTAGAGGAACACCAACTTCAGCAGAGCAACTTGAGGAATGCTCCGTGTACCCCAAATCGTCTCGAGATGAGAGCTGATTCCCTGGCTTAGGCTCAAGACGTAGGGCAACTTTCCAGAAGCACCTCAGGAGGAGGATTCTCTCAGCAATAGGTATGTGGGAGGGACCCCGAGTTTGCTGCCTCAAGGGGAATATACAACGAGAAGCCCTAACTTGAATGGAGGCCGGATTTCCTTGCAGTGGCTTGAATACAGGCTCGTCTTTCATCTCACAACATGAAGGGATGTCTGAATCCCCTGTGGAGACCTAAGAGAAAGCCCTAGGTCCCTGCCTCATTTTGACGGAATGCCTCACATCCCGCTGACACATCGAGAGGCACGCGGAGTTCATTGCTTCAAAAGGTGACGATGCCTGACTCCTCTTGAATACTGATAGGAATCCCAAAATCCCTGTGGCTCCTGGAAAGGGTCCTTGGGTGCCCTGCCTCACCTCGAGAAGCGTCCCTTTTGCCCTGCCAAGCCTCGAAGGGATTCCTGAGGTGTTCCTCGTTACTAGACAGGAGTCCTGACGTCACTGAAGAAACTCGTGTTTTGAAGGGCCATCCCCGCCGTAAGTCGAGAACATACCCCATGTCCACGCCGCAACTCGAGAAAAACCATGAGACTTCCCCATAGAAGCGAGATGAGGCCCCATTCCCCTGCAGTGCATTCAGAGCTATTCTGTGATCCCGTTCAAACAAGTCAGGAGCTTCGACTTGCTTAATGGATCTCGAGACAGTCCCCAAGAACACTGTCACCAGTCTAGACGGAACCTGAGGTCACCCCAGCAACGCAAAGCAGCTCCATGTGCCCCAAATCAACTTAAGATGAGGCCCGATTCCCCTGCATTGACTCGAGAGCCATTCCCCATTCCCCATTCATCACGACCGGTGGCTCGACTTCCTTCAGGCAACTCCAGAGATGCCCCGAGAACACTGTCCCAAGTTTAGAGGAACACCAACTTCAGCACAGCAACTCGAGGAATGCTCCGTGTACCACAAATCGTCTCGAGATGAGAGCTGATTCCCTGGCTTAGGCTCAAGACGTATGCCAACTTACCAGAAGCACCTCAGGAGGAGGCTTCTCTCAGCAATAGGTATGTGTGAGGGACCCCGAGTTTGCTGCCTCAAGGGGAATATACAGCGAGAAGCCCTAACTTGAAAGGAGGCAGGATTTCCTTGCAGTGGCTTGAATACAGGCTCGTCTTTCATCTCACAACAGTAAGGGATGTCTGAATCCCCTGTGGAGACCTTAGAGAAAGCCCTAGGTCCCTGCCTCATTTTGACGGAATGCCTCACATCCCGCTGACACCTCGAGAGGCACGCGGAGTTCATTGCTTCAAAAGGTGATGATGCCTGACTCCTCTTGAATACTGATATGAATCCCAAAATCCCTGTGGCTACTGGAAAGGGTCCTTGGGTGCCCTGCCTCACCTCGAGAAGCGTCCCTTTTGCCCTGCCAAGCCTCGAAGAGATTCCTGAGTTGTTCCTCGTTACTAGACAGGAGTCCTGACGTCACTGAAGAAACTCGTGTTTTGAAGGGCCATCCCCGCCGTAAGTCGAGAACATACCCCATGTCCACGCCGCAACTCGAGAAAAACCATGAGACTTCCCCATAGAAGCGAGATGAGGCCCCATTCCCCTGCAGTTCATTCAGAGCTATTCTGTGATCCCGTTCAAAGAAGTCAGGAGCTTCAACTTGCTTAATGGATCTCGAGACAGTCCCCAAGAACACTGTCACCAGTCTAGACGGACCCTTAGGTCACGCCAGCAAGGCAAAGCAGCTCCTTATGCCCCTAATCAACTCGAGATTAGACCCGATTCCCATGCATTGACTCGAGAGCCATTCCCCATTCCCCATTCAACACGACCGGTGGCTCGACTTCCTTCAGGCAACTCCAGATATTGCCCGAGAACACTGTCCCAAGTCTAGAGGAACACCAACTTCAGCACAGCAACTCGAGGAATGCTCCGTGTACACCAAATCGTCTCGAGATGAGAGCTGATTCCCTGGCTTAGGCTCAAGACGTATGCCAACTTTCCAGAAACACCTCAGGAGGAGGCTTCTCTCAGCAATAGGTATGTGGGAGGGACCCCGAGTTTGCTGCCTCAAGGGGAATATACAGCGAGAAGCCCTAACTTGAAAGGAGGCCGGATTTCCTTGCAGTGGCTTGAATACAGGCCCGTCTTTCATCTCACAACATGAAGGGATGTCTGAATCCCCTGTGGAGACCTTAGAGAAAGCCCTAGGTCCCTGCCTCATTTTGACGGAATGCCTCACATCCCGCTGACACCTCGAGAGGCACGCGGAGATCATTGCTTCAAAAGGTGACGATGCCTGACTCCTCTTGAATACTGATAGGAATCCCAAAATCCCTGTGGCTACTGGAAAGGGTCCTTGGGTGCCCTGAATCACCTCGAGAAGCGTCCCTTTTGCCCTGCCAAGCCTCGAAGAGATTCCTGAGGTGTCCCTCGTTACTAGACAGGAGTGCTGACGTCACTGAAGAAACTCGTGTTTTGAAGGGCCATCCCCGCCATAAGTCGAGAACATACCCCAGGTCCCCGCCGCAACTCGAGAAAAACCATGAGACTTCCCCCTAGAGGCGAGATGAGGCCGCATTCCCCTGCAGTGCACGCAGAGCTATTCCGTGATACCACTCAAACAAGTCAGGAGGTTTGACTTGCTTAATGGGTCTCGAGAGAGTCCCCAAGAACACTGTCACCAGTCTAGACGGACCCTGAGGTCACCCCAGCAACGCAAAGCAGTTCCCTTTGCCCCAAATCAACTCGAGATGAGCCCCGATTCCCCTGCATTGACTCCAGAGCCATTCCCCGTTCCACATTCAACACGACCAGTGGCTCGACTTCCTTCAGACAACACCAGAGATGCCCCGAGAACACTGTCCCAAGTCTAGAGGAACACCAACTTCAGCACAGCAACTCGAGGAATGCTCCGTGTACCCCAAATCGTCTCAAGATGAGAGCTCATTCCCTGGCTTAGGCTCAAGATGCATGCCAACTTTCCAGAAGCACCTCAGGAGGAGGCTTCTCTCAGCAATAGGTATGTGGGAGGGACCCCGAGTTTGCTGCCTCAAGGGGAATATACAGCGAGAAGCCCTAACTTGAAAGGAGGCCGGATTCCCTTGCAGTGGCTTGAATACAGGATCGTCTTTCATCTCACAACATGAAGGGATGTCTGAATCCCCTGTGGAGACCTTAGAGAAAGCCCTAGGTCCCTGCCTCATTTTGACGGAATGCCTCACATCCTGCTGACACCTCGAGAGGCACGCGGAGTTCATTGCTTCAAAAGGTGACGATGCCTGACTCCTCTTGAATACTGATAGGAATCCCAAAATCCCTGTGGCTACAGGAGAGGGTCCTTGGGTGCCCTGCCTCACCTCGAGAAGCGTCCCTTTTGCCCTGCCAAGCCTCGAAGAGATTCCTGAGGTGTGCCTCGTTACTAGACAAGAGTCCTGACGTCACTGAAGAAACTCGTGTTTTGAACGGCCATCCCCGCCGTAAGTCGAGAACATTCCCCAGGTGCCCGCCGCAACTCGAGAAAAACCATGAGACTTCCCCCTAGAGGCAAGATGAGGCCCCATTCCCCTGCAGTGCATGCAGAGCTATTCCGTGATCCCATTCAAACAAGTCAGGAGCTTCGACTTGCTTAATGGATCTCGAGACAGACTCCAAGAACACTGTCACCAGTCTAGACGGACCCTGAGTTCAACCCAGCAAAGCAAAGCAGCTCCATGTGCCCCAAATCAACTCGAGATGAGGCCCGATTCCCCTGCATTGACTCCAGAGCCATTCCCCGTTCCCCATTCAACACGACCGGTGGCTCGACTTCCTTCAGGCAACTCCAGAGATGCCCCGAGAACACTGTCCCAAGTCTAGAGGAACACCAACTTCAGCACAGCAACTCGAGGAATGCTCCGTGTACCCCAAATCGTCTCGAGATGAGAGCTGATTCCCTGGCTGAGGCTCAAGACGTATGTCAACTTTCCAGAAGCACCTCAGGAGGAGGCTTCTCTCAGCAATAGGTATGTGGGAGGAACCCCGAGTTTGTTGCCTCAAGGGGAATATACAGCGAGAAGCCCTAACTTGAAAGGAGGCCGGATTTCTTTGCAGTGGCTTGAATACAGGCTCGTCTTTGATCTCAAAACATGAAGAGATGTTTGAATCCCCTGTGGAGACCTTAGAGAAAGCCCTAGGTCCCTGCCTCATTTTGACGGAATGCCTCACATCCCGCTGACACCTCGAGAGGCACGCGGAGTTCATTGCTTCAAAAGGTGACAATGCCTGACTCCTCCTGAATACTCATAGGAATCCCAAAATCCTTGTGGCTACTGGAAATGGTCCTTGGGTGCCCTGCCTCACCTCGAGAAGCGTCCCTTTTGCCCTGCCAGGCCTCGAAGAGATTCCTGAGGTGTCCCTCGTTACTAGACAGGAGTCCTGACGTCACTGAAGAAACTCGTGTTTTGAAGGGCCATCCCCGCCGCAAGTCGAGAACATACCCCAGGTGTCCGCCGCAACTCGAGAAAAACCATGAGACTTACCCCTAGAGGCGGGATGAGGCCCCATTCCCCTGCTGTGCATGCAGAGCTATTCCGTGATCCCATTCAAACAAGTCAGGAGCTTCGTCTTGCTTAAAGGATCTCGAGACAGTCCCCAAAAACACTGTCACCAGTCTAGACGGACCCTCAGGTCACCCCAGCAACGCAAAGCAGCTGCATGTGCCCCAAATCAACTCGAGATGAGGCCCGATTCCACTGCATTGACTCCAGAGCCATTCCCCGTTCCCCATTCAACACGACCGGTGGCTCGACTTCCTTCAGGCAACTCCAGAGATGCCCCGAGAACACTGTCCGAAGTCTAGAGGAACACCAACTTCAGCACAGCAACTCGAGGAATGCTCCGTGTACCCCAAATCGGCTCGAGATGAGAGCTGATTCCCTGGCTGAGGCTCAAGACGTATGCCAACTTTCCAGAAGCACCTCAGGAGGAGGATTCTCTCAGCAATAGGTATGAGGGAGGGACCCCGAGTTTGCTGCCTCAAGGGGCATATACAGCGAGAAGCCCTAACTTGAAAGGAGGCCGAATTTCCTTGCAGTGGCTTGAATACAGGCTCGTCTTTCATCTCACAACATGAAGGGATGTCTGAATCCCCTGTGGAGACCTTAGAGAAAGCCCTAGGTCCCTGCCTCATTTTGACGGAATGCCTCACATCCCGCTGACACCTCGAGAACCCGCGCAGTTCATTGCTTCAAAAGGTGACGATGCCTGACTCCTCGTGAATACTGATAGGAATCCCAAAATCCCTGTGGCTACGGGAAAGGGTCCTTGGGTGCCCTGCCTCACCTTGAGAAGTGTCCCTTTTGCCCTGCCAAGCCTCGAAGAGATTACTGAGGTGTCCCTCTTTACTAGACAAGAGTGCTGACGACACTGAAGAAACTCGTGTTTTGAAGGGCCATCCCCGCCGTAAGTCGAGAACATACCCCAGGTCCCCGCCGCAACTCGAGAAAAACCATGAGACTTCCCCCTAGAGGCAAGATGAGGCCCCGTTCCCCTGCAGTGCATGCAGAGCTATTCCGTGATCCCATTCAAACAAGTCAGGAGTTTCGACTTGCTTAATGGATCTCGAGACAGTCCCCAAGAACACTGTCACCAGTCTAGACGGACCCTGACGTCACCCCAGCAACACAGAGCAGCTCCATGTGCCCGAAATCAACTCGAGATGAGGCCCGATTCCCCTGCATTGACACCAGAGCCATTCCCCGTTCCCCATTCAACACGACCGGTGGCTCGACTTCCTTCAGGCAACTCCAGAGATGCCCCGAGAACACTGTCCCAAGTCTAGAGGAACACCAACTTCAGCACAGCAACTCGAGGAATGCTCCGTGTACCCCAAATTGTCTCGAGATGAGAGCTGATTCCCTGGCTGAGGCTCAAGACGTATGCCAACTTTCCAGAAGCACCTCAGGAGGAGGCTTCTCTCAGCAATAGGTATGTGGGAGGGACCCCGAGTTTGCTGCCTCAAGGGGAATATACAGCGACAAGCCCTAACTTGAAAGGAGGCCGGATTTCCTTGCAGTGGCTTGAATACAGGCTCGTCTTTGATCTCAAAACATGAAGGGATGTCTGAATACCCTGTGGAGACCTTAGAGAAAGCCCTAGGTCCCTGCCTCATTTTGACGGAATTCCTCAATACCGCTGACACCTCGAGAGGTACACGGAGTTCATTGCTCCAAAAGGTGACGATGCCTGACTCCTCCTGGATACTCATACGTATCCCAAAATCCGTGTGGCTCCTGGAAAGGGTCCTTGGGTGCCCTGCCTCACCTCGAGAAGCGTCCCTTTTGCCCTGCCAAGCCTCGAAGAGATTCCTGAGGTGTCCCTCGTTACTAGACAGGAGTGCTGACGTCACTGAAGAAACTCGTGTTTTGAAGGGCCATCCCCGCCATAAGTCGAGAACATACCCCAGGTCCCCGCCGCAACTCGAGAACAACCATGAGACTTCCCCCTAGAGGCGAGATGAGGCCGCATTCCCCTGCAGTGCACGCAGAGCTATTCCGTGATACCACTCAAACAAGTCAGGAGGTTTGACTTGCTTAATGGATCTCGAGACAGTCCCCAAGAACACTGTCACCAGTCTAGACGGACCCTGAGGTCACCCCAGCAACGCAAAGCAGTTCCCTTTGCCCCAAATCAACTCGAGATGAGCCCCGATTCCCCTGCATTGACTCCAGAGCCATTCCCCGTTCCACATTCAACACGACCGGTGGCTCGACTTCCTTCAGACATCACCAGAGATGCCCCGAGAACACTGTCCCAAGTCTAGAGGAACACCACCTTCAGCACAGCAACTCGAGGAATGCTCCGTGTACCCCAAATCGTCTCGAGATGAGAGCTGATTCCCTGGCTTAGGCTCAAGACGTATGCCAACTTTCCAGAAGCACCTCAGGAGGAGGCTTCTCTCAGCAATAGGTATGTGGGAGGGACCCCGAGTTTGCTGCCTCAAGGGGAATATACAGCGAGAAGCCCTAACTTGAAAGGAGGCCGGATTTCCTTGCAGTGGCTTGAATACAGGCTCGTCTTTCATCTCACAACATGAAGGGATGTCTGAATCCGCTGTGGAGACCTTAGAGAAAGCCCTATGTCCCTGCCTCATTTTGACGGAATGCCTCACATCCCGCTGACACCTCGAGAGGCACGCGGAGTTCATTGCTTCAAAATGTGACGATGCCTGACTCCTCTTGAATACTGATAGGAATCCCAAAATCCCTGTGGCTACTGGAAAGGGTCCTTGGGTGCCTTGCCTCACCTCGAGAAGTGTCCCTTTTGCCCTGCCAAGCCTCGAAGAGATTCCTGAGGTGTCCCTCGTTACTAGACAGGAGTCCTGACGTCACTGAAGAAACTCGTGTTTTGCAGGGCCATCCCCGCCGTAAGTCGAGAACATAACCCAGGTCCCTGCCGCAACTCGAGAAAAACCATGAGACTTCCCCCTAGAGGCGAGATAAGGCCCCATTCCCCTGCAGTGCATGGAGAGCTATTCTGTGATCCCGTTCAAACAAGTCAGGAGCTTCGACCTGCTTAATGGATCTCGAGACAGTCCCCAAGAACACTGTCACCAGTCTAGACGGACCCTGAGGTCACCCCTGCAACGCAAAGCAGCTCCATGTGCCCCAAATCAACTCGAGATGAGGCCCGATTCCCCTGCATTGACTCCCGAGCCATTCACCGTTCCCCATTCAACATGACCGGTGGCTCGACTTCCTTCAGGCAAATCCAGAGATGCCCCGAGAACACTGTCCCAAGTCTAGAGGACCACCAACTTCAGCACAGCAACTTGAGGAATGCTCCGTGTACGCCAAATCGTCTCGAGATGAGAGCTGATTCCCTGGCTTAGGCTCAAGACGTAGGCCAACTTTCCAGAAGCACCTCAGGAGGAGGCTTCTTTCAGCAATAGGTATGTGGGAGGGACCCCGAGTTTGCTGCCTCAAGGGGAATATACAGCGAGAAGCCCTAACTTTAATGGAGGCCGGATTTCCTTGCAGTGGCTTGAATACAGGCTCGTCTTTCATCTCCCAACATGAAGGGATGTCTGAATCCCCTGTGGAGAACTTAGAGAAAGCCCTAGGTCCCTGCCTCATTTTGACGGAATGCCTCACATCCCGCTGACACATCGAGAGGCACGCGGAGTTCATTGCTTCAAAAGGTGACGATGCCTGACTCCTCTTGAATAGTGATAGGAATCCGAAAATCCCTGTGGCTACAGGAAAGGGTCCTTGGATGCCCTGCCTCACCTCGAGAAGCGTCCGTTTTGCCCTGCCAAGCCTCGAAGAGATTCCTGAGGTGTCCCTCGTTACTAGACAGGAGTCCTGACGTCACTGAAGAAACTCGTGTTTTGAAGGGCCATCCCCGCCGTAAGTCGAGAACATACCCTAGGTCCCCGCCACAACTCGAGGAAAACCATGAGACTTCCCCCTAGAGGCGAGATGAGGCCGCATTCCCCTGCAGTGCATGCAGAGCTATTCCGTGATCCCATTCAAACAAGTCAGGAGCTTCGACTTGCTTAACCGATGTCGAGACAGTCCCCAAGAACACTGTCACCAGTCTAGACGGACCCTGAGGTCACCCCAGCAACGCAAAGCAGCTCCATGTGCCCCAAATCAACTCGAGATGAGGCCCGATTCCCCTGCATTGACTCCAGATCCATTCCCCGTTCCCCATTCAACACGACCGGTGGCTCGACTTCCTTCAGGCAACTCCAGAGATGTCCCGAGAACACTGTCCCAAATCTAGAGGAACACCAACTTCAGCACAGCAACTCGAGGAATGCTCCGTGTACACCAAATCATCTCGAGATGAGAGCTGATTCCCTGGCTTAGGCTCAAGACGTATGCCAACTTTCCAGAAGCACCTCAGGATGAGGCTTCTCTCAGCAATAGGTATGTGGCAGGGACCCCGAGTTTGCTGCCTCAAGGAGAATATACAGCGAGAAGCCCTAACTTGAAAGGAGGCCGGATTTCCTTGCAGTGGCTTGAATACAGGCTCGTCTTTCATCTCACAACATGAAGGGATGTCTGAATCCCCTGTGGAGACCTTAGAGAAAGCCCTAGGTCCCTGCCTCATTTTGACGGAATGCCTCACATCCCGCTGACACCTTGAGAGGCACGCGGAGTTCATTGCTTCAAAAGGTGACGATGCCTGACTCCTCTTGAATACTGATAGGAATCCCAAAATCCCTGTGTCTACTGGAAAGGGTCCTTGGGTGCCCTGCCTCACCTCGAGAAGGGTCCCTTTTGCCCTGCCAAGCCTCGAAGAGATTCCTGAGGTGTCCCTCGTTACTAGACAGGAGTCCTGACGTCACTGAAGAAACTCGTGTTTTGAAGGGCCATCCCCGCCGTAAGTCGAGAACATACCCCAGGTCCCCGCCGCAACTCGAGAAAAACCATGAGACTTCCCCCTAGAGGCGAGATGAGGCCGCATTCCCCTGCAGTGCATGCAGAGCTATTCCGTGATCCCACTCAAACAAGTCAGGAGCTTCGACTTGCTTAATGGATCTCGAGACAGTCCCCAAGAACACTGTCACCAGTCTAGACGGACCCTGAGGTCACCCCAGCAACGCAAAGCAGCTCCATGTGCCCCAAATCAACTCGAGATGAGGCCCGATTCCCCTGCATTGACTCCAGTGCCATTCCCCGTTCCCCATTCAACACGACCGGTGCCTCGACTTCCTTCAGGCAACTCCAGAGATGCCCCGAGAACACTCTCCCAAGTCTAGAGGAACACCAACTTCAACACAGCAACATGAGGAATGCTCCGTGTACCCCAAATCGTCTCGAGATGAGAGCTCATTTCCTGGCTTAGGCTCAAGATGCATGCCAACTTTCCAGAAGCACCTCAGGAGGAGGCTTCTCTCAGTATAGGTATGTGGGAGGGACCCCGAGTTTGCTGCCTCAAGGGGAATATAGAGCGAGAAGCCCTAACTTGAATGGAGGCCGGATTTCCTTGCAGTGGCTTGAATACAGGCTTGTCTTTCATCTCACAACATGAAGGGATGTCTGAATCCCCTGTGGAGACCTTGGAGAAAGCCCTAGGTCCCTGCCTCATTTTGACGGAATGATTCACATCACGCTGACACCTCGAGAGGCACACGGAGTTCATTCTTCCAAAAGGTGACGATGCCTGACTCCTCCTGAATACTCATAGGAATCCCAAAATCACTGTGGCTACTGGAAAGGGTCCTTGGGTGCCCTGCCTCACCTCGAGAAGCGTCCCTTTTGCCCTGCCAAGCCTCGAAGAGATTCCTGAGGTGTCCCTCGTTACTAGAGAGGAGTGCTGACGTCACTGAAGAAACTCGTGTTTTGAAGGGCCATCCTCGCCGTAAGTCGAGAACATACCCCAGGTCCCCGCCGCAACTCGAGAAAAACCATGAGACTTCCCCCTAGAGGCGAGATGAGGCCGCATTCCCCTGCAGTGCACGCAGAACTATTCCGTGATCCCATTCAAACAAGTCAGGAGCTTTGACTTGCTTAATGGATTTCGAGACAGTCCCCAAGAACACTGTCACCAGTCTAGACCGACCCTGAGGTCACCCCAGCAACGCAAAGCAGCTCCATGTGCCCCAAATCAACTCGAGATGAGGCCCGATTCCCCTGCATTGACTCCAGAGCCATTCCCCGTTCCACATTCAACACGACCGGTGGATCGACTTCCTTCAGGCATCTCCAGAGATGCCCCGAGAACACTGTCCCAAGTCTAGAGGAACACCAACTACAGCACAGCAACTCGAGGAATGCTCCGTGTACCCCAAATCGTCTCGAGATGAGAGCTGATTCCGTGGCTTATTCTCAAGATGCATGCCAACTTTCCAGAAGCACCTCAGGAGGAGGCTTCTCTCAGCAATAGGTATGTGGGAGGGACCCCGAGTTTGCTGCCTCAAGGGGAATATACAGCGAGAAGCCCTAACTTGAAAGGAGGCCGGATTTCCTTGCAGTGGCTTGAATACAGGCTCGTCTTTCATCTCACAACATGAAGGGATGTCTGAATCTCCTGTGGAGACCTTAGAGAAAGCCCTAGGTCCCTGCCTCACTTTGACGGAATGCCTCACATCCCGCTGACACCTCGAGAGGCACGCGGAGTTCATTGCTTCAAAAGATGACGGTGCCTGACTCCTCTTGAATACTGATAGGAATGCCAAAATCCCTGTGGCTACCGGAAAGGGTCCTTGGGTGCCCTGCCTCACCTCGAGAAGCGTCCCTTTTGCCCTGCCAAGCCTCGAAGAGATTACTGAGGTGTGTCTCGTTACTAGACAAGAGTCCTGACGTCACTGAAGAAACTCGTGTTTGGAAGGGCCATCCCCGCCGTAAGTCGAGAACATACCCCAGGTGTCCGCCTCAACTCGAGAAAAACCATGAGACTTCCCCCTAGAGGCGGGATGAGGCCCCATTCCCCTGCTGTGCATGCAGAGCTATTCCGTGATCCCATTCAAACAAGTCAGGAGCTTCGTCTTGCTTAAAGGATCTCGAGACAGTCCCCAAGAACACTGTCACCAGTCTAGACGGACCCTCCGGTCACCCCAGCAACGCAAAGCAGCTGCATGTGCCCCAAATCAATTCGAGATGACGCCCGATTCCCCTGCATTGACTCCAGAGCCATTCCCCGTTCCCCATTCAACACGACCGGTGGCTCGACTTCCTTCAGGCAACTCCAGAGATGCCCCGAGAACACTGTCCCAAGTCTAGAGGAACACCAACTTCAGCACAGCAACTCGAGGAATGCTCCGTGTACCCCAAATCGTCTCGAGATGAGAGCTGATTCCCTGGCTGAGGCTCAAGACGTATGCCAACTTTCCAGAAGCACCTCAGGAGGAGGCTTCTCTCAGCAATAGGTATGTGGGAGGGACCCCGAGTTTGCTGCCTCAAGGGGCATATACAGCGAGAAGCCCTAACTTGAAAGGAGGCCGATTTTCCTTGCAGTGGCTTGAATACAGGCTCGTCTTTCATCTCACAACATGAAGGGATGTCTGAATCCCCTGTGGAGACCTTAGAGAAAGCCCTAGGTCCCTGCCTCATTTTGAAGGAATGCCTCACATCCCGCTGACACCTCGAGAGGCACGCGCAGTTCATTGCTTCAAAAGGTGACGATGCCTGACTCCTCGTGAATACTGATAGGAATCCCAAAATCCCTGTTTCTACGGGAAAGGGTCCTTGGGTGCCCTGCCTCACCTTGAGAAGTGTCCCTTTTGCCCTGCAAAGCCTCGAAGAGATTACTGAGGTGTCCCTCTTTACTAGACAAGAGTGCTGACGACACTGAAGAAACTCGTGTTTTGAAGGGCCATCCCCGCCGTAAGTCGAGAACATACCCCAGGTCCCCGCCGCAACTCGAGAAAAACCATGAGACTTCCCCCTAGAGGCAAGATGAGGCCCCATTCCCCTGCAGTGCATGCAGAGCTATTCCGTGATCCAATTCAAACAAGTCAGGAGTTTCGACTTGCTTAATGGATCTCGAGACAGTCCCCAAGAACACTGTCACCAGTCTAGACGGACGCTGACGTCACCCCAGCAACACAAAGCTGCTCCATGTGCCCGAAATCAACTCGAGATGAGGCCCGATTCCCCTGCATTGACTCCAGAGCCATTCCCCGTTCCCCATTCAACACGACCGGTGGCTCGACTTCCTTCAGGCAACTCCAGAGATGCCCCGAGAACACTGTCCCAAGTCTAGAGGAACACCAACTTCAGCACAGCAACTCGAGGAATGCTCCGTGTACCCCAAATCGTCTCGAGATGAGAGCTGATTCCCTGGCTTAGGCTCAAGACGTAGGCCAACTTTCCAGAAGTACCTCAGGAAGAGGCTTCTCTCAGCAATAGGTATGTGGGAGGGACCCCGAGTTTGCTGCCTCAAGGTGAATATACAGCGAGAAGCCCTAACTTGAAAGGAGGCCGGATTTCCTTGCAGTGGCTTGAATACAGGCTCGTCTTTCATCTCACAACATGAAGGGATGTCTGAATCCCCTGTGGAGACCTTAGAGAAAGCCCTAGGTCCCTGCCTCATTTTGACGGAATGCCTCACATCCCGCTGACACCTCGAGAGGCACGCGGAGTTCATTGCTTCAAAAGGTGACGATGCCTGACTCCTCTTGAATACTGATAGGAATCCCAAAATCCCTGTGGCTACTGGAAAGGGTCCTTGGGTGCCTTGCCTCACATCGAGAAGCGTCCCTTTTGCCCTGCCAAGCCTCGAAGAGATTCCTGAGGTGTCCCTCGTTACTAGACAGGAGTCCTGACGTCACTGAAGAAACTCGTGTTTTGAAGGGCCATCCCCGCCGTAAGTCGAGAACATACCCTAGGTCCCCGCCACAACTCGAGGAAAACCATGAGACTTCCCCCTAGAGGCGAGATGAGGCCGCATTCCCCTGCAGTGCATGCAGAGCTATTCCGTGATCCCATTCAAACAAGTCAGGAGCTTCGACTTGCTTAACCGATGTCGAGACAGTCCCCAAGAACACTGTCACCAGTCTAGACGGACCCTGAGGTCACCCCAGCAACGCAAAGCAGCTCCATGTGCCCCAAATCAACTCGAGATGAGGCCCGATTCCCCTGCATTGACTCCAGATCCATTCCCCGTTCCCCATTCAACACGACCGGTGGCTCGACTTCCTTCAGGCAACTCCAGAGATGTCCCGAGAACACTGTCCCAAATCTAGAGGAACACCAACTTCAGCACAGCAACTCGAGGAATGCTCCGTGTACACCAAATCATCTCGAGATGAGAGCTGATTCCCTGGCTTAGGCTCAAGACGTATGCCAACTTTCCAGAAGCACCTCAGGATGAGGCTTCTCTCAGCAATAGGTATGTGGCAGGGACCCCGAGTTTGCTGCCTCAAGGAGAATATACAGCGAGAAGCCCTAACTTGAAAGGAGGCCGGATTTCCTTGCAGTGGCTTGAATACAGGCTCGTCTTTCATCTCACAACATGAAGGGATGTCTGAATCCCCTGTGGAGACCTTAGAGAAAGCCCTAGGTCCCTGCCTCATTTTGACTGAATGCCTCACATCCCGCTGACACCTTGAGAGGCACGCGGAGTTCATTGCTTCAAAAGGTGACGATGCCTGACTCCTCTTGAATACTGATAGGAATCCCAATATCCCTGTGTCTACTGGAAAGGGTCCTTGGGTGCCCTGCCTCACCTCGAGAAGGGTCCCTTTTGCCCTGCCAAGCCTCGAAGAGATTCCTGAGGTGTCCCTCGTTACTAGACAGGAGTCCTGACGTCACTGAAGAAACTCGTGTTTTGAAGGGCCATCCCCGCCGTAAGTCGAGAACATACCCCAGGTCCCCGCCGCAACTCGAGAAAAACCATGAGACTTCCCCCTAGAGGCGAGATGAGGCCGCATTCCCCTGCAGTGCATGCAGAGCTATTCCGTGATCCCACTCAAACAAGTCAGGAGCTTCGACTTGCTTAATGGATCTCGAGACAGTCCCCAAGAACACTGTCACCAGTCTAGACGGACCCTGAGGTCACCCCAGCAACGCAAAGCAGCTCCATGGGCCCCAAATCAACTCGAGATGAGGCCCGATTCCCCTGCATTGACTCCAGTGCCATTCCCCGTTCCCCATTCAACACGACCGGTGCCTCGACTTCCTTCAGGCAACTCCAGAGATGCCCCGAGAACACTCTCCCAAGTCTAGAGGAACACCAACTTCAACACAGCAACATGAGGAATGCTCCGTGTACCCCAAATCGTCTCGAGATGAGAGCTCATTCCCTGGCTTAGGCTCAAGATGCATGCCAACTTTCCAGAAGCACCTCAGGAGGAGGCTTCTCTCAGTATAGGTATGTGGGAGGGACCCCGAGTTTGCTGCCTCAAGGGGAATATAGAGCGAGAAGCCCTAACTTGAATGGAGGCCGGATTTCCTTGCAGTGGCTTGAATACAGGCTTGTCTTTCATCTCACAACATGAAGGGATGTCTGAATCCCCTGTGGAGACCTTGGAGAAAGCCCTAGGTCCCTGCCTCATTTTGACGGAATGATTCACATCACGCTGACACCTCGAGAGGCACACGGAGTTCATTCTTCCAAAAGGTGACGATGCCTGACTCCTCCTGAATACTCATAGGAATCCCAAAATCACTGTGGCTACTGGAAAGGGTCCTTGGGTGCCCTGCCTCACCTCGAGAAGCGTCCCTTTTGCCCTGCCAAGCCTCGAAGAGATTCCTGAGGTGTCCCTCGTTACTAGAGAGGAGTGCTGACGTCACTGAAGAAACTCGTGTTTTGAAGGGCCATCCTCGCCGTAAGTCGAGAACATACCCCAGGTCCCCGCCGCAACTCGAGAAAAACCATGAGACTTCCCCCTAGAGGCGAGATGAGGCCGCATTCCCCTGCAGTGCACGCAGAACTATGCCGTGATCCCATTCAAACAAGTCAGGAGCTTTGACTTGCTTAATGGATTTCGAGACAGTCCCCAAGAACACTGTCACCAGTCTAGAGCGACCCTGAGGTCACCCCAGCAACGCAAAGCAGCTCCCTTTGCCCCAAATCAACTCGAGATGAGGCCCGATTCCCCTGCATTGACTCCAGAGCCATTCCCCGTTCCACATTCAACACGACCGGTGGATCGACTTCCTTCAGGCATCTCCAGAGATGCCCCGAGAACACTGTCCCAAGTCTAGAGGAACACCAACTACAGCACAGCAACTCGAGGAATGCTCCGTGTACCCCAAATCGTCTCGAGATGAGAGCTGATTCCGTGGCTTATTCTCAAGATGCATGCCAACTTTCCAGAAGCACCTCAGGAGGAGGCTTCTCTCAGCAATAGGTATGTGGGAGGGACCCCGAGTTTGCTGCCTCAAGGGGAATATACAGCGAGAAGCCCTAACTTGAAAGGAGGCCGGATTTCCTTGCAGTGGCTTGAATACAGGCTCGTCTTTCATCTCACAACATGAAGGGATGTCTGAATCTCCTGTGGAGACCTTAGAGAAAGCCCTAGGTCCCTGCCTCACTTTGACGGAATGCCTCACATCCCGCTGACACCTCGAGAGGCACGCGGAGTTCATTGCTTCAAAAGATGACGGTGCCTGACTCCTCTTGAATACTGATAGGAATGCCAAAATCCCTGTGGCTACCGGAAAGGGTCCTTGGGTGCCCTGCCTCACCTCGAGAAGCGTCCCTTTTGCCCTGCCAAGCCTCGAAGAGATTACTGAGGTGTGTCTCGTTACTAGACAAGAGTCCTGACGTCACTGAAGAAACTCGTGTTTGGAAGGGCCATCCCCGCCGTAAGTCGAGAACATACCCCAGGTGTCCGCCTCAACTCGAGAAAAACCATGAGACTTCCCCCTAGAGGCGGGATGAGGCCCCATTCCCCTGCTGTGCATGCAGAGCTATTCCGTGATCCCATTCAAACAAGTCAGGAGCTTCGTCTTGCTTAAAGGATCTCGAGACAGTCCCCAAGAACACTGTCACCAGTCTAGACGGACCCTCAGGTCACCCCAGCAACGCAAAGCAGCTGCATGTGCCCCAAATCAATTCGAGATGACGCCCGATTCCCCTGCATTGACTCCAGAGCCATTCCCCGTTCCCCATTCAACACGACCGGTGGCTCGACTTCCTTCAGGCAACTCCAGAGATGCCCCGAGAACACTGTCCCAAGTCTAGAGGAACACCAACTTCAGCACAGCAACTCGAGGAATGCTCCGTGTACCCCAAATCGGCTCGAGATGAGAGCTGATTCCCTGGCTGAGGCTCAAGACGTATGCCAACTTTCCAGAAGCACCTCAGGAGGAGGCTTCTCTCAGCAATAGGTATGTGGGAGGGACCCCGAGTTTGCTGCCTCAAGGGGCATATACAGCGAGAAGCCCTAACTTGAAAGGAGGCCGATTTTCCTTGCAGTGGCTTGAATACAGGCTCGTCTTTCATCTCACAACATGAAGGGATGTCTGAATCCCCTGTGGAGACCTTAGAGAAAGCCCTAGGTCCCTGCCTCATTTTGAAGGAATGCCTCACATCCCGCTGACACCTCGAGAGGCACGCGCAGTTCATTGCTTCAAAAGGTGACGATGCCTGACTCCTTGTGAATACTGATAGGAATCCCAAAATCCCTGTTTCTACGGAAAAGGGTCCTTGGGTGCCCTGCCTCACCTTGAGAAGTGTCCCTTTTGCCCTGCAAAGCCTCGAAGAGATTACTGAGGTGTCCCTCTTTACTAGACAAGAGTGCTGACGACACTGAAGAAACTCGTGTTTTGAAGGGCCATCCCCGCCGTAAGTCGAGAACATACCCCAGGTCCCCGCCGCAACTCGAGAAAAACCATTAGACTTCCCCCTAGAGGCAAGATGAGGCCCCATTCCCCTGCAGTGCATGCAGAGCTATTCCGTGATCCAATTCAAACAAGTCAGGAGTTTCGACTTGCTTAATGGATCTCGAGACAGTCCCCAAGAACACTGTCACCAGTCTAGACGGACGCTGACGTCACCCCAGCAACACAAAGCAGCTCCATGTGCCCGAAATCAACTCGAGATGAGGCCCGATTCCCCTGCATTGACTCCAGAGCCATTCCCCGTTCCCCATTCAACACGACCGGTGGCTCGACTTCCTTCAGGCAACTCCAGAGATGCCCCGAGAACACTGTCCCAAGTCTAGAGGAACACCAACTTCAGCACAGCAACTCGAGGAATGCTCCGTGTACCCCAAATCGTGTCGAGATGAGAGCTGATTCCCTGGCTGAGGCTCAAGACGTATGCCAACTTTCCAGAAGCACCTCAGGAGGAGGCTTCTCGCAGCAATAGGTATGTGGGAGGGACCCCGAGTTTGCTGCCTCAAGGGGAATATACAGCGACAAGCCCTAACTTGAAAGGAGGCCGGATTTCCTTGCAGTGGCTTGAATACAGGCTCGTCTTTGATCTCAAAACATGAAGGGATGTCTGAATACCCTGTGGAGACCTTAGAGAAAGCCCTAGGTCCCTGCCTCATTTTGACGGAATTCCTCAATACCGCTGACACCTCGAGAGGTACACGGAGTTCATTGCTCCAAAAGGTGACGATGCCTGACTCCTCCTGGATACTCATACGTATCCCAAAATCCGTGTGGCTCCTGGAAAGGGTCCTTGGGTGCCCTGCCTCACCTCGAGAAGCGTCCCTTTTGCCCTGCCAAGCCTCGAAGAGATTCCTGAGGTGTCCCTCGTTACTAGACAGGAGTGCTGACGTTACTGAAGAAACTCGTGTTTTGAAGGGCCATCCCCGCCATAAGTCGAGAACATACCCCAGGTCCCCGCCGCAACTCGAGAAAAACCATGAGACTTCCCCCTAGAGGCGAGATGAGGCCGCATTCCCCTGCAGTGCACGCAGAGCTATTCCGTGATACCACTCAAACAAGTCAGGAGGTTTGACTTGCTTAATGGATCTCGAGACAGTCCCCAAGAAGACTGTCACCAGTCTAGACGGACTCTGAGGTCACCCCAGCAACGCAAAGCAGTTCCCTTTGCCCCAAATTAACTCGAGATGAGCCCCGATTCCCCTGCATTGACTCCAGAGCCATTCCCCGTTCCACATTCAACACGACCGGTGGCTCGACTTCCTTCAGGCAACTCCAGAGATGCCCCGAGAACACTGTCCCAAGTCTAGAGGAACACCAACTTCAGCACAGCAAAACGAGGAATGCACCGTGTACCCCAAATCGTCTCGAGATGAGAGCTGATTCCCTGGCTTATGCTCAAGACGTATGCCAACTTTCCAGAAGCACCTCAGGAGGAGGCTTCTCTCAGCAATAGGTATGTGAGAGGGACCCCGAGTTTGCTGCCTCAAGGGGAATATACAGCGAGAAGCCCTAACTTGAAAGGAGGCCGGATTTCCTTGCAGTGGC